AAGCTTAAGCGAAGCGTAAGCGTAGGCAGTAATTAAAACAAAAGAAAATGAAACTTAAGAAAAATAGTAGACACGTACTCGTTTCGCTACTAAAAAAGGCCTATTAGCCTAATATGCATACAGATAGCGCCGCGTAGGCGCGGCGACGGCGGGCCGCCTACCCTACTTATCGTTATCCTCCTCCTCGTCCTCCTCTTCGATGCCTATAGCAGTATCGATAGTAGCGACGGCGTTAGCGCCGACGCGCTAAGCGAGGTTCTAGTACGGTTAGTATGCGAAGCGCAAGTGAAACGAGGCTATAGGAAAAAACTATACCTAACGACCGATCTCTACTAAACTAGCTAGGTTAGTGCCGATATGCTCGAGCGCACTAAGTAAGTTAACGTCTGTAAGGGACCCGCTAGCGGCCCCCTTACGGGCTAGGGCTTTGCCGCCTAGGGTTACCTTATTCTTATTAGTATAAAAGACGTTAAGCGTAGATAGGATGACTAATATCGAGGTTAGTATACGGAGCGTAAGCGAAGCGCGTATAAAACATATATGCGACAATAGAGTCTAACTCGGCCTAGAGTGCCTCTAAGGCCTCGTCCGACTCCTCGACGGAGTCGTAGCTATCTAGGTTATACAAGTCGCGCGCGGAGCGCGCGGCGCGAATGCGGGCTAGTAGCGAGACGAGGGAGCGTGCCGTAATAGGAGTATAGGGGTAATAACTGCTACGGTAGCGATTATAGTTGCGCTTAGTAGCTAGGTCTATATTGCCGCCTATATAAAGCTTAGTTAGGTCTACTAAAGCGAGTTAGTTGCGAAGCGTATGCGCGTAGCAAGTAGCGAGAAAACGTACCGTTAGCCGTTATATGCTTAAAGCAACGGGTACAGCCCTCTAGGACTTTTAGGGGGCGCTAGGCAGGCGTAGTAGGTATCGAGGGCAGAGCGCCTACGGCGCGCTTGCCCGAGGCACGCGAAGGAGTAGCTATACTAGTAATGTTTTTTTAGATAGATATTTAAAAAAGAAAAATCTTTAAGTAATACTAGGAGGGCGTAGGAGGGGAGTAGGCGGGGGGTAGGCGGGTAGTATTCGGAGCGCTTAGAAAAAGAAGAAGTTTTTAAGCGGGCTTCGAATGCTTTAAATACTCGCCTCGCTTTCGGACAGCTTGCGTTCTCGCGTAGCTACCGCGTTCTTAGAAATTTAGGCAACCTCTAGTTAGTGCTAGAAGCAGCCGCGCTTTAAATCTATAAACAAACAAGCAACTACAAGGCAAATTATAACGTGCCTAGCAACTATAGCCTAGCGATAGGTACGTATAAAACGCGCAAGTATAGCGTAGAGTGTAAGAAATGGTATAATTTACTATATTACCCTATAGCTAGGACAGCTATACCGGGGGAAGGAGATAATTGTAAGAACCTAAGTAAGTAAAGTCTCCTGTCCTGCCTTAGCAAGCCTATATAACAATTATGTAATGTTATCATATATAGTACGATGCAGCCGCGCTAGCGATAAGCTTGCTTAGCGCATGCGCGTAATACTCGATTATACGTACGGACATACTCGGTAGCCGGTACGGCAGATATGCTATCCGTGCTAGGCCTAGTTAATAGTAGTCGCTCTGCCCTGTTCTAAGAAAGGCACGGTTTAGTTCTACTTTCTACTACGGCGATTAGTAGAGGGTGTTCTATACGTTGCTATATACCTATTTTCTTACAACTGCCTATCTCGCTAGGGGCGGGAGTTCCCCTTCCGACTTATAATAAGGCACTTATCCTAAGGGCGTTCAAAGTGTTACGGTTACTCGCGACAGATCGTTAGGTGACTTCTTATTACGTATAAGCCGAGGCTTCTTTAGAGAGGCTAATACAAGCGGGAGGCAGAGACAGAATAATTGGTACAAAGGTAATTCCAATTAGTAAGTAGGTAATATAAGTTAAACGCCTCGAGCTATAAGGGCATTCCGGCGTTCCTAAATACAAAGGAGATATCTTGTCTATAGTCGTAAGCGACGTAAGCGACGCTGTCGCTCTCGACCGCTCCTATCGCTCCTAGTAAGATAGAGCGACAGCTTAGCCTACTAGTCTTAGCATCGCTCTAAGATTATATAAGGACTCTAACCAATCAGATCCGTAATACTAAGCCTAGCAAGCAGAAGAAGAAGAAGGATAGCAATAAGGTTATAATAGACGAGACCGATAGCTAGCTTTAGCAATATAAGGCTATTCGTAGGGCGTACGCCTATATCGACCTATAGTATACCCTTAGAAGGCAGGCTAACGTTATAGGCTATTATAAGCTTATAGGTCGACACTATAAGCTAACCGCTATAATACTAACCTTCTAGAGGGACTAGATGTCTCTTAATAATAAGTGCTTAGTCGAGGCACTAAACAAGAAGGTTATCGAAGAGATAATGCGGTACTATAGAGTTAAACACCCCGACGATAACGACTAAGGCAAGGCTAGCAAAGGTAAGAAGCAAGAGCCGGCGGTACAATAGTAATATTACTATTATAGTGCGCCTTAACTATCGCCTAATTTATAGTTATATCCGCCGCCGCCGCTATACTATTATTAGCAACCTATTACTCCGTAGGCACCTTAGTTAAGCGCTCCTTAACTAAGCGCTCTACGGTTAAGTCTGCCTATTGCTAACGACGAGACTAATACAGCCGTTCTTATTATCTATTGCCGCTAGCTTCGGAAGCGCTATCTAATGCTTGCTATAAGCATTAAGGTAGGACAGGATTAGATAGCTTCTAAGGACTAGAGCTTAGATATAATTAAGGATAAGGAGAAGGCTATAGAGCTACGTAAATAGGTGCCTTCCGACGGTGCTTATTTTAGGCTAAAGAGTAAAGTAGACCGGTTCTTAAGGCATTATAGGGCTAAGCGGATACCTAAGGATATGTTAAGTCTACTAGAAGAGGTAGAAGATAGGGTAGAGGGCTAGGCGTATAGCAAGCCGAGGAGGTCGGCTTTATAGTCGCGCTATAGCACTACTACTACGTAAGAGATCGTTACGAAAGTTATAGATAAGTTAGTCTATATAGTTTGCTTAGATCCTGTCTATTTAGTTTTTCTATATATTATTTGTATAGTATATGCTACGTGCATTTCGTCGCCTTAATCCTCTTAGTCGTGCCGCTAAGACCCCGCTTTTAGACCCTAAACCCTCTCGGCTTTTCGTAGCTTTTCTATATATATCTTAATACTATACTATAGAATATATATAGATAGCGAAGATACATTTCCTAATCGATTCTATATATCTTTAAATAATTTACGAAAAATCGGCATATCGATGCGTACTATATATACTATATTATAGACGTTTAAAATATATAGAGTCGGCTTCTATAAGACAAGCTTGCGACTAGGCGTCTTAGTACTATTATATAATGCAGTATACTATATTCGAATCGATACTACTCGACTAAACCCGATCCGATTAGGACTATTTTTAAATGCTATTATAGCGCTAATACTAAGCTCTTATTTCTATATCTAATCGCCCTATTCTAACCGCTAGAAGGTAATATATAAAGCCGACTTGCTAGGCGTTAATACTAGCCCTACGGAAGAGCTTGCTATAGTCTACACCCTTACCCTAACTATTAATTGCTAGCTGTAAGAAGCGCTTAAAAGCGGCCTGCTAATCGTCTCCTAGACTATATTTAGGCATTATATCCTAGTGTCTCTTTATCTAGTGTTTAAACAAGCTAAATAAAGGTTCTATTAGGTTCAAATATAGCGAATATAGTAGCAAGAAGTTAGCAATAACGCCGTACTAATAGTATACATTACGGACGGCTCTTCTATTATAAGTTAAGTAGTTATCTATAATAATAACGGACCGTAGACCTAGAAATGGATTATACTAAGGAAGGATCTTCGTTTAAAGCCAATTTAGGAAGGACTAGCTATCGACACTGCCTTGCTTAATAAGTGTAGCACCTAGAAGCTAGCCGTCTATTATATATACTAGAAGTATACTATATCGTTATAGACGGTATAAATAGTAAGTGCTTATATAAGGGAAGCCTTTAGGTGCCTATCTACGCCTTCGAATAGCTAATCGCTTACTAGTATATATCTCGTCTATAAAGACAATCTACTCGCTTGTCTAGTAAGATATATTAATTAAGTATACAAGTTCTGCCTCTTTAGAGCGTTAAGAAGCCTTCCGCTATGCGACTTTGTATATAAAGTCCTTCTAGTAGATATACCGCTCTATTGTCCTTATACTAATATAGGTCCCGAATTCAAGTAATAACTAGTCTTATATCTCGTCTATCTAGGTCGTACCTTTAGTAGTAAGAATGTCTATTATAAAATCCCTTATATATAGCAATATCCTCTTCGGCCGGCCTAGTTGTCCTTAGCTATAGACTGAACCTAACCTCTTCTAATTCGTACTATACCGCTTTACTACTATAAACGACCTATTTAAATACTCTTTACGCTACGATAACTAGATATCCTTCGCCGATATACTATCCGCTAATAGCTGTCTAATAATAGCCTTGTCTTGCTTGGTAAGAGGCGCTATATTAACTAGAAAGACCTCGAAGGCGAGTCTAGGGCGCGGTAGAAGAAGCGACGGTAAGGTATAGCGATAGTAGCGGCGATCGTAGTAGTAGAAACTCGATAGACCGATAGCAAGAATAATAACGAGTAACAACACCAATTATTGGAATTATAGACTAGATATAGCGATAGCTAATTGCTTAGTTTGTTACCAAATTAGTATAAGAGGCAGAGCTAAGGAAGTGCGGCTTAAAAAGCTCAGGGTTTTTGTCGCTGAGAATATTCGGTGGTCTCGGCTACATCTCGGCCGAAGCTCTGCACTCACTGCGCGGCGCGTGCTTGACTTCTCTCGTCAGGCTCCAATGGTAATGGTAATAATGCCTCTCCGAGTCTCATCGAGAGCCTTTTGCGACACGACGACGACGTTATGAGCTCCGAGCATTCCCGGTCGGCCACGGCGCCGTCCGCTCCACCCCCAGGCATCAAACTGCGGTCGTATCAGACGGAAATGCTGGAGGCCAGCGTTCAGAAGAATATCATCGTCGCCATGGACACGGGATCTGGCAAGACACATATCGCACTGGCTCGAATCCGCGTCGAGCTGGAACGAAACGACAAGGTATGCATGCGTCGGGCCGGGTGCTTGCGCGGCCTTGCTTGCCTGCACATCTAATAACGTGCGTGTGCGGCACAGCTTGTATGGTTCCTCACGCCGTCCAAGACACTTGCGGAACAGCAGCATCAAGTCTTGTCCGCAGAGCTTTCCGGCTATGGCACGCGCCTGCTCACGGGCGCCGATGCCTGCGACAAATGGAGCGACCAAGGCCTGTGGACCGCCGCTCTCACCAACGTCAGGCTCGTCGTGGCCACTCCCGCCATTCTGCTCGACGCACTGACTCATGCATTCATGCACATGACGAGACTCGCCCTCTGCGTGTTCGACGAAGGTACTGTAGCACGTGCGGAATCCCACGAGTCTCTCGCAGCCATTGCTAAGAGCCAATAGCGCATCACTGCACCAAGAAGCACCCCATGAACAGCATCATGCAATTGTTCTATCGTCCTGCTCGAGAGCGTGGCGAGAGCGTGCCTCACATTCTCGGTCTGAGTGCAAGCCCCGTAAGTATGCCATGCCAGCAAATGGCACCTCGTTTGCCTTGCTATCCCGAGTGCTAATTCCACCACCACGCTTCCCCAGGTGATCAGCAGCAAAGAAGGAACGCTTCAGTATGTGCAGCATCTTCCTGAAGCCGCAGCTGCTGACCATGTCCGTAGAACCATTGAGAGCAATCTGAACGCCATCACTGTCACGCCCAAACAGCATAGACGGGAGCTAGACACCTTTGTGCATCCTCCCGACGTCCAAAACATTGTCTATACAGCCCCATCAGGAGGCGCTCTGCCAGGACGCTTGAGCACAGCTCTTGCCTACCTGACGCGGACGTACGATCTGTCTACAGACCCATATGTGCTTGAGCTGACTGAGCAAGACGACGAGAGGTCTCGAAAACAACTCCAAAAGACAATGATGAAGCGGAAGACCTACTGTCTTGACCAGCTTCGCGCTCTAGACATACGCGCTGGATTCTTGCTGGAACAGCTTGGTGCGAGTATGGCAGACTGGTACGTGGCAGCATGCATTCGCCGATTCAGGGCTGGTTTGATGTCGGAGTGTATTGTGCTACCCGATCTGTCGGAGAAGGAACGTCAGCATCTTGCACGCATTTTCGACCGCATTCGGGAGCTCGCCCCAGCAACACCTGACACAAACGGATCGGACATTACAGCCAAAGCTACAGAGCTCTTGGAACTTCTGCTGAAGCACGCTGACCCTTCCTTGCGAGGCATCATCTTCGTCGAGCAGCGTGTACTAGTCACAGCGCTAGCTGAATGGCTCCGCGGCTTGCCGCAGCTCAATGATCAATACCAAATTGCTGCATTCGTGGGAACGTCCACATCCACCAACAGGAAGATATCCGTCGCAGATCTCGTAACGTTGCAAGACCAAGCTCGAGATCTTGAAGCTTTCAGACGCGGTGAGAAGAACTTGATGGTAGCCACCAACGTCCTAGAGGAGGGCATCGACATCTCTGCTTGTAACCTCGTAAGTAGACTCAGCGAGTCGAATGCTCTTCTTGGGAGGTGCTAATGAAGAGTATTAGGTGATATGTTTTGATCCACCTCAGAATCTCGTCTCCTTCGTTCAGCGTCGGGGTCGCGCGAGACAGCAGCATTCCAAATATTTTATTTTCACAAAAGCAAATGACATCGGCAAAGCAAAGCAGCCCTGGACGTTGCTTGAGGCGGCAATGAAGGAGCTTTATTCGGATGATACACGACAAGTATGTGAAGCATTAGAGAGCCATGACTTGGACAAGGAAAGCAGGATCTACCAGGTGCAGTCCACACAAGCACTTCTCACGCTTGATAATGCCAAATCGCATCTTTACCATTTCTGCAGCGTGTGCATATCAAACGCTGCCGGGTACGTCGATTTGCGCCCAGAATTCGATACTTCTCAGGATCAAGAGACACACCTCTGGACAGCTACGGTTGATCTGCCGGCATTTGTGCATCCAGACCTCCGTTCGGCGAGATCTGCCGAATCTTGGTCTCGCGAAGAGCTTGCTATCAAAGATGCTGCGTTTGAAGCCTATGTGGCTTTGCATCAGGCTGGACTGATAAATGACAATCTCCTACCACCTCTTCACGAACACGAAGAAAGTGAGAGCAGTGGCCGACACTCTGATCAGTCCAGGCTTGTCGACGGCTCTAACCGCCTCTCAGCATGGCAAAGGCTCGGCCGGCCCATGCCAAACCTGGTTTCGTGGAACAGATGGGAAGTGATCTTGGAACACAAGAACACCGTCGTTGTCAAAATGGAGATGTGGCTGCCCTTCGCGGTAGCGACCGAGATGGCGGCTTTCAAGCTACATTGGAACGAAGAAACAGAGTATACTGCAAGAATCAATCACTACGATGAGACATCACACTATCTGGATGCAGAACGGCTCGATGTGCTGCAACGATGCACCTCTCTTGTGCTGAATTCAGTACACTCCGCTCGCATGCCTAGCAACGCCAGTGAATTTCCAATCCTATTTCAGCCGCAGAACATCCAGGATGTAGGGAAATGGCTTTTAGACTTTGGTGGCCAGGATTCTGCTACTACTTTCGATTCAGGGACTGAGCACGCGGGTCTTGTACATGTAAAGAGTCAACCTGGTCGCTTGTTCTTCTTGCGAAGCAACCATCGTGCGGATAATGGAGATGGCGTGTTACTCACGCCTTTTCCGAAAAGGAAGGACTTCCTGCACCCGGTCCTCGCCACAAACAACACGAGCGTGGCATATTCTTCTGTGGAATCGGTCCCAGCGAGCGAGTGCACGATTGAACGAATGCCCGCGCGGTATGCTCTATTTGCCGCATTCGTACCTTCCATGCTGCACCGCCTCGACCTCGCGTTGACAGCTGCTATCCTGCAAGCCGGAACATTGGGCGACATCGATGTGAAGAATACGACATTGATACTAGATGCCCTCTGCTCCCCTTCCGCAGGAGAACCTGCCGATTATAACAGACTGGAGTATCTGGGCGATCAAATCCTGAAGCACTGCGCAGAGGTTCAAGTCATGGCGCAACATTTGAAGCGGCCAGAAGGGTCCTTGACGTTGCAACGTGACAAGATCGTCCGCAATTCAACCCTCGCAAAAGCGGCACTGCAAGCTGGCTTGGACGAATTCATTATCACGAAACCATTTACAGGTGCAAAGTGGCGTCCTCCGTCCTTCAGCAAGACGTCTGGCCTCGATTGTGGCAAGAGGGAAATCTCAACCAAAACGCTCGCAGATGTCGTAGAGTCCCTGGTTGGCGCAGCTTATCTCGATGGTGGCCTGGCCAAGGGACTTCAATGCATCAAGATCTTATTGCCCAACGAGATATGGCATCCGCTTCCTCACTGCTTCAATCTGTTACTGTCAGATCTCGGTCCAGCGGCAAGTCATGATGGCCTAAGCTTCCTGGAGCGCATGATTGGACACGAGTTCGAGCACAAACAGCTCCTCATGCAAGCAATCACGCATGTCACCTGTCCTTACAAGGGTCAATTATCATACGAGCGGCTTGAGTTTCTGGGAGACAGTGTCTTGGACCTGGTCATCACGCCGCACCTCTTCGCCCACAAGAGACTTCTGCGGCACTGGGAGTTGCACCAAGCTCATGAAGCTTTGGTGAACAAGTACTTTCTGGGATACTGCTGCATGAATTATGCAATCGAACAAGACGAGAACGACATTGTAGCAGTCGCTGATGGCAGCTACAGGGCGATGCCCAAGCTTCGCAAAGTGCACCTGTACGACTTCCTTCGAGCAGATTCGCAGACAGCACAAATGAGGCGGACAGCCGTCGCCAAATTCGACGCAATGGTCCCCGAAATCGCCGAAAGGCTCCAGGGAGGGACAGAATATCCGTGGCCCGAACTCGTCACTCTTTCCCCTCCGAAATTCTTTTCCGATATCATCGAATCCGTTCTCGGCGCGCTTTACATCGACAGTCGAGGCGATTTCGGTGTTTGTGAGGCTTTTCTGGCGCGCCTGGGAATTGTGCAATACATGCGGCGCATGCTGGAGCAGCGTGTCGATTGCCTTCATCCAAAGGAGAGGATCGGGATTCTCGCGGACCAGGACTCAGTACGGTACTCGAGCAAGAGGTTGGAGGCACAGGACGGCAGCAAGTCTTGGACGTGTACGATACAAGTGGGTGGCGCGGAAGTCGTAGCCATTGATGGATGCGCGAGTCAAGAAGAAGGAGAAGTCAAAGCTGCAGCTCAAGCTTGCAGAGTGCTGAAGGGGAGAGAGGCGCCAGCTGTGAAGACACGGAAACGGAAGCTTGAAGGTGACAGACCAGAAGACAGCAAGGGCGAGCAGGCTAGGGCTCCATAACTCCGACTTGCTGCTCAGGTGATTTAATCATCATCATGTTTAAATCAAATCTACCCTATCACTACACACGTTTCTGGGTCTAAATTTCTAAATTTCTGTATCGTCTTATTATCGCTGATGAATGCTTCGTGCACTTGGTGCCTTTTGTAATCATGCATGCTCCTTCTCCTCCAATCTCCCCATTAGACCTTTTAGATGTCCTTGCGGGCATGTTTGGAATAGTTCTTTCGCAAAGTCTCGCCGTACTTGTATAGCACGAACGGGATGGGAATGAATGCAATCGAGAGGAAGGCCAGGGTACTGCTTGCCCAAGCAACCCCGAGATTCTTGTACATGGCACCCGCGAAAAGCGGAAAGCCGGTGCCAAAGGTGCTCCTGAAAAAGTCGTTGCCAGCGAGCACAGAGGCGGCGTAGTCCGGATATGCGTCTGAAAGGTAGTTGAGGACGGAATTGAAGAGCAGGAAGGCACCGATCGAGAACCATGCGCTGCCAATGATAGGCACAATCCAATGTACATCTGGCCTGGTATCGCGAAAATATCAGCATCTAGTAGGCTTTGGAGAACTTGCATAATGTTATTACAACTCACCTCGCGGACCAACCGAACCAAAAGAGGCAGATTGGAATGCAGAAAGCACCGACGAAGCATGGCGTCAAGCGGTATTCAGGCGTGCATTCACCGTTCTCGTCGAACTTGGGCTCCAGATATGTATGGAGGTACCAAAAGAAGGGCGGGATGACCACGAACGATCCGATGAGGATGCCCAGGAATGCCAAGCCTTCTGCGCCGAGTCCAAAGCCGTAAATCTCGACGAATACAATGACGAAGCTCTCGAACCAGATGTACAGTAGACCGTAGATGAGCGCGATGTAAAGGTTGAGGAGGAAGACCATGGGTTCCATGAAGTTCAGGGTGAAAGGTCGAACAGCAGCCATCAACAAGATCTCCTTTCCGGTCATCTGTTCGGACATGAGCTCAGGCTCACATATCAGCTTCTCGTTGCCAGTGATCTTGCGCAAGCGGCGAGTCCGGCGGAGCAAGATATTGTTGGCGCTCGTCTCAGGGAAGCAGAAGAAAAGGAAGACCAGGCAGAATGCCGAGAGCCACATCAACTCCCAGATTGGCCATGTCCACGGAGCAGTGAAACCACCTTTCACGGGTGCGTATTCGACTGCAAAGCCTCCCACAAGCGGACCCAGTGTTGGACCACAAACTGCAGCGACTCCCCAAATGGATATCGCGTAGGCTCGCTTCTTCGGTGACCAAATGTCAGCCAGCGAGGCACCGCCAGTGGCGAGGACAGGACTACCAAAGAAGCCGGTAATGAATCGGAAGGCGAGGAGCATGCCGAAGTTCTCGGCCCTCGCGACGGCAGGCTGAAGACCAACGAAGACAACAAGCGTTCCGAGGTAGATTGGATTTCTGCCAATCTGAGGAATTTCCGACATGGGTGACCAGAGCATTGGGCCGAGACCATATCCTGCGACGAATAGACATAGTCCGAGAGTTGCTGCAACCTGAGAGACGCCAAATGTCGCCATGACGCTTTGGGTGCCGGCCGAGTAGATGGAAGATCCGATGTACACAGAGGTAGTCAACAGGCAAATCTCGAAGGTGACGAAGCACTTCTTGAAAAGGCTCCAGTTCTGGGGGTTCTCAGGATCATTGTCTCCCCACCAGCTCACGAGCGCTCGATCTCGACCTTTCTCGGGGTCGACCTTGACACCGCTCGCGTGGTTGATGCGTGCATCATCGCTGGAGCTTCTCTGTCCACCACTGTCGCCATCAGACGATCTCCGTTCCTTCTCGGGGTCGGGTAAGTCTTCGCCTCGCTCCTCACGCGTTCGAATGCCGCCGAGAGTCTCGGGCTCCGTTCCATCTGCGCGTGGATTCGTATCGCCGTGGTCCGCCAGGTATCCAGACTTTTTCTCATCGATGAAATATTTATACAACGATGGATCCGCCTCTTCCTGATATTGGAGAAACTTCTTCCGTGACACGAATCGTATGAGATGGCCAAAGGCCGTGTCCCGGATCAGGTCTGTCATGGCCAAAGTGTCGGCGCAACGCACGATGCCCAAGCTGTTGCAAGACGCTGAGAGATGGAAGGTTCCCCAAAGAGTGGAAGGTGGAATGGACGAGGAATGTGATTTGTAAGAATGACAAGGAATGCGAAGAAAGGACAAAGACGACTGAGCATATGTATAGTCAGTTATACTCACACATTGTTCGTTCACGGATCGTCCAAGCCATATGCACTCATCACTCATCGTCATGGAAGAAAGCTTAAATCGCGTCGCGCGTTGCTGCGTCAGCCCGTGCGACGATGTCATTATTTGTGGGCAGTACTAACAAGCGGGGACCAAATCGATAACAACGACGTCCGGACCCGTTTTAATGTCGGTGCTTCTAGACCTCGTCCACATGGAGACAAAGGGGTCCGGGTCTTGGAGAAGGTCTTTGTAACACCTCGTAATTGATATTTCGAGGAGCGCATGTACGAGCACGTGCAACTCTGAGTCGGTCGGTCGGTCGACTTGGATTTCTCGAAAGCGAAAGGGGCCATCTTGATCCTGAGACCAAATCACAAAAATGTTCACTGTGGGTAAGGATTGGTACCTGCTTGTTATCGCTTTGGTGCCCGATTGCTAGCATCTCGCGTCATCTGTGCGCGGTGCCACGAGGGCGGCAGATGGCCTCTGGAGATGCGATCGGGCGTGGAAATGGTGCACGGAAAGGGTGGGTGGATGGCGCCGTAGTGCCATCTCTGAGCGTAATGTAAGAGGAAGTTGCGTCTCGCTTGGCGTCGACGGCTTTTTTGGGTTTTTCGCCTCCCGCCTCCCGGGCTCCTGGGATACTCCTGGATCCGAGCCCGATCACGGTCACGGCCACGGTTCACCCCAAGATCTGATGCCAAGCAAAAACATCTACCACATGCTCATCCAGGGTGTGACCTGCATGGGAAGCCGACCGGAGACCAGATCACGAACCGTGCCTCTTGCCCCTGCATCTTCGACAGCACTTCTTGACGAAGGGAGCGCTCTCAAAACATCGCGATGAAGCAATGAGAAAGCATCGTCTCGACATAACTAGCACTGTAGATGGTCAACGCTACCTATTTGATCTCTCGAAGCTCAGACGTTGGTGTCTTGTGATTGAGCTCAATCTCTGCATGCTGCGAGTTTTGAACCCCCAGAAGATCTCCTCCCTTCTCGGCATGATTGGCGCCGCCGAACTTGGTGTCCATCTGTGTCGAATGTCAGCAATCCGGTGCACTGTCGCTCTGCACAGCGAATAACCCACCTCTTCCAGAAGCGTCTTTCTGGTTTCTGGAATAAAGACTACAGCAACGTCAGCCTACGCTCTTCAAGCATGACGACTGACTTCGAACGACTTACACCACACGAAGACCGCCAACATGAAATTGATCCCTGCAAACATATAGAAGGCATAAAAGCCACAGTTTTTCAGAAAGGTCGGGAAGAATTGCCCAACGATAGCTTGTGCGACATTCTGCGTTTGACTCGCCATCCCCACGGCTTGGGCGCGAACATTCATGCTAAAGATTTCCGACGTCCAGATCCAGACCGTCGCACCCCTAGCAAATGTCAGTCAGCATCGCCAGTACGGGAAACACATTGCTCACGCCACCACATACCATGTCGGTTTGTAGAAGAATATGAACAGGAACAGCAGAAACACAATGGAGATGGCGACCGATCTAGGCTTCACGCCATCGGCCAGCGTGGGAGTCTGAGTCTCGACCGAGGCGACAATGATCATGCACATCCCCATACCCATAGCACCGACAATGAATAAGAACTGAGAAGCATTAGCTCTAGCCCGGCAGACGAATCGAAGACACCCACCTTGCGTCCGAATCGATCAGCAGTCCACGCAGCATTGAGCGTGAACAGAATGCCGAACGTTGCGTTTAACGCATTGATCAGCGCAATGGTGGAGCTCCTCTTGAAGACTTTCTTGTAGACGATAGTGCTGTAAGTGTTGAGAGATCCTTGTCCCGTAACCTGCTGACCCGCATTCATGATGAAAGCCAGCAAAAGTCGCTTTCGAAGCGAGCGGTCCTTCCAGAACGCAGAGTACGAGGGTGAGATGGCTTCCTTCTCGAACTCCAAAGCTTCGCGGATCATCAACACTTCATTTTCAACCTCTTGCTCCGATTCTCGGATTCTTCGGAGCGATCTACGAGCTTGCTCGATCTTGTTCTTCTTGATACTCCACCGAGGACTCTCGGGAATGAAGAAGACCTGCGCTAGAATAGTCACCGGCATCAGTAGCTGGAAGACCACGACCATCTTCCAGTCCCATTCTCCGAGAGCTTCCGCGTTTCTGGAGCAGGCGTAGTTGATCCAGTAAGCGATGAAGCTGCCAACACTATAGAACATTTGCCAAAACGTCATAATCGTTCCTCTGATCTCCGGCGGAGCACATTCACCTAAACTCCATATCAGCATCGAAATCCGCGCGAATCGCACTTCGAAAGCACACCGATATATATTGAGCCCGCCGTCAGAGCAAGACCTTGTCCAATACCAATCACAACCCTACCCGCAATGAAGCAGCCGATCTGACCGGTTGGGGAAAACGTCTGCATGAAAGTGGCAACGACAACGCAAGCAGCGCCTGATGCCACGCCAATGCGACGACCGAAGTAGTCAGCAATTGGCCCTGCCATGAAGAATCCCGCAACGATCGCTCCGACGGTGTACGAGGTATTGATAGCGCCGATGATTTGCGCTCCAGGGCTGTCGAAGAAGGCGACCCAGTTATTAGAGCCCTGGACGGCATTGTAGACGCTGGCATCGTAGCCATAGAGCACCATACAAGATGCAGCAACGAGGGAGATGTACCTGCACGGCCATTAGACATTATTGTCGCAACTCAACATCTCAAGAAGAGACCTGCCAATTGTATAATCTGGTCGAAGCAACCATTTTCTTTTTTGCGCGGTCGGGACAAGCGATTCCGCGCAAAGTGCGGACCAAGTCTTTCTATACGCTGTCGTGCAGTCAAGCAGACACGTGGAGCAAGTCCACGTGCGTGTGCTTCCCAGAACCTGATGAAGTCGAGAAATAGATCTCACACAGCTCCAAGCTTCCAACTCGCATGATCATTCCCTCCGTATCGGACCCAATGACTCAAATCGCCTTTTGCGAATCGCAATGTTCCTTCGCTTCGCTTATGCAGACTTACACCACCATCGTGAAGTAGTTTTGCTTCGCTAGAGCGCTGTTGATACTTGACTATGTAGCTTAGAACACCTATAGTAAGCTTCCAAGATGGTGTGTGGATTCCGTGGAGGTGGCTGCCACAGTGGTACTTCCACCACTTATTAAAAGTAATGATGAAGGGATCTGGGGCCGATGATGTGGGGAATGCACCTGGTAAATTGGCTGACCAGGATACCATCGGGCTACTGCCGAGTCGACATGTATTATTGAAATGTGAACTGCCGGGGATCATCAGCAGCAGCGAACGGACTCCATTAGAATTTATCTAGGATGCGAAGTTTGTTATAATGCAGAACCCCAATGCGTGATATTATTGTGCTCACGCCAGATGAGCAGCGCCTGATGAGGAGAACGCTCTTTCCATGCACAGGCAGTAGCCGACCACTCCTCACAAGCCCTCTCCACGCAGGCGCCGACGGCCCCGAAGGCTGCCAATATCATGCCCGGTGGCACCGTCGTGAACAGCTTCGACAGGAGCGACCCCTGGTTCTGTAGGCTTGACGACGTGCTCCACGTGTGTCGTGCCGTTCGGAGCACCAGCAGTGGCCTTCTCATCACCCGCTTTGTGAGCCTCATCGAACTGGACTGCAGGACGGCCGCGACCTTCTTCGGCTTGGCGGCCGAGTGTGCCTTTGTTTTCGGCGGGATGGGCTGGGTCAGCAGCGGCGGTCGTGGCAGCAGCAGCAGCGGGGACCTCACGTACTTCTGGTGCGGTAGTGGTCACAGGGTGCGTTACTGCCTCTGTAACTGTTGGCTTGCCCTTTTGATCTCGACGTCTTCTTGTCCTGTCTCGGAGGCGCGGCAGACATAGGAGGGAGCACCCAATGCAGCACAGTCCTGCGAGTAAAGCCGCTGCAACTGCTGCACCTACGGCAGCGCCAATCTTGACGGCACGATGCTTGCTCGCTCTCTTTTGGTATGTATGGCGGTAGCATTGAGAGTAGCACTCTCGTTCATCAGTGCACGTCGCTTTGGTGAAGAAGTGCTTGTTCTTGGTCGGGGGTTGAATAGCAAATGGCCCGTCAGGCAAGTTGACAAGCGGGAAATACGTGAGTTTTGGATCGGTTGTGCCCCAGTGATGTCCGCTCAGCTGCATTGTCGTGGTGCCGGGTACCCACCAAGTCACGTTGTTGGCAATTGAGGGTTCGGGTACGATAGCGGTGATCTGCATGGGCTTCTTGTGAGATGCTGTACAGGAACAAATGCGTCTGGTGTTTGCGTCGTTGTAGGATGTGCAATAGTCTGAATCGGCTTCATTGATGATGACGTGGTACTCAATGGGTGTTGCGACGAGACCGGAGACTCTTGGTTCGGTCAACTGTAGTGCTCCTGGTGGGGCTGTGGCTGGGGTTGCGAAGGCAGTCACTGGAGTAGTCATCGGCCATGCTGTAGCAGTGCTGGTGACGATCTGTACCGTTATTGCTCCTGGCTGAGCCGTCGGAATCACCGGGACATTCTCCATGGTAGTTGAGTAGGGGGCTGGAATTGCGGGAGTCCAGTCGAGCGATATCCTGCCGACCGAGCGATGGCCGCCGTGATCGTACCAGCTCTCTGTCAGGTACATCATATCATGTTTCGCGGTCACCGATGCCACGATTGTTCGCTCCTCGGCGTTGCGGCCAGAAGGGCCCTTCTGCGGTCCTATAGTGTACTCCAAAGCCGGTAGGAAGGTGTCCTTCACCACAGCAGTCACCGTGAAGACGCCGGAGGCTGCGGTGAGGGTATCGGTCAGGGTTTGGCCTTTGGTATGACCTGAGACTATGGCGTCGAACAGCGATGCGGGAAGAAAGCCTGAGCGGGCGTCTTGGACGAGAATAGTCGACGAAGAAGGCCAAGTTGTGGAAGAAAGTGTAGGTGAAGCGGGAGCTAGGATCATGCCGCCAGGACCGGTCGAGTTAGGCAGCAGGACTACAGTGCTGGCCGGTTGTGCAGAGACGGTAGTGGCGGGAAAGATTGCAAGAGCAATGGCCAGCCATTTTGTGATGGGCTCCATCCTGGCGGAGCGGAGCGCGCAGGTGGTGCTGAGTGGTGACAGATGATGATTGGCTCTGCGGGGCGGGTAGATGTCGAGTGTCGATGATGTTGGAAGAGCTGACAAGAAGCAGTGCAAAGTATTCTGACCGATGTTGCTGTCGGTCGAAGTATGGTGGTGGGTGGATGTATGATGTTGAAGATGGGATTGAAGATGCGAGCAGACAGGAAGACTCCAGGACGAGTAAACAAGGCGCGCATTACTACTTGCCGTGGGTGCTTATGCTCGGATGGCATTTGGAAGGCAGCAATGCAGATTGCGGAAGGCGTTCGAGCATGGCATGCTGTACCAGAAGGAAGTCGTCGTCCAGCGCAGGCGTGAGCGATGGACAATGCAGCACAGCACAGCACAGCACAGCATTGCATCTTGTGGCGAAGTCGTTGGCAGTGGCCATGTGTGCCATACCATGCCATGCCATGCCATGCTTGCTCCTGCTCCTGCTCCTGCATGCGATGTCGATGGAGTCGGTGCAGGTGGTGATGGTGAGGCTGACGATGATGGCCCGGATCGTCGCGCTGCCCTGGTCCTGGTCCTTGTCCTGACCTTCAGATGAGCAAGGTCGTGTCGTCGTCGTTGCCGGAGCGATTCGTGCACCAAAACAAGCTGCCCAATCGAGACGCTGCAAAGTCCGTGGAGGCCTCCAGCAGAGAAGCGAGTCAAGCGACGCTTTGATGCGCTGAAGTCTTTCCATGGCATGGCATGAATTATTCCCCACAAGACAGCCTCCCACCTCCCACTGCAATAGAATATCCACATCCCGACACAGCATCGTGGCTCCACCTTGCGAGCCTGCGCAGCTCCCCCATCCACCCCCACCTCGCTCACTCCAACACCGTCCTGGTGACTGATCAACACAATGCGCTCCTTCTATCTCCTGCCCGCCGCTTTGCTTGCGAGTCTCACAAGCGCACTGCAATTGCCTGACCTCCAATCCTTCGTCCAAGCTCTTCCCAACGCCCTGCAGGACCTACTTCCGGAACCGCTTCATAACGGAACTGCACACGAGCTGTTGAAGCGACAATACAGCAATACCTGTCCCGAAGACTTCAAGTCCTGTGCCAACCTCGGCGCATCCAATCTCTGCTGTCATTCAAAAGCAGTCTGTTCGGCCGACTATGCTGGTCATGTAGCATGCTGTCCTTCGGGAGCGGCGTGCACTGGGACAATAGGCGGAGTAATCACAGCAGGAACTTTGAACTCGAATGGCGCCATTGTAGGAGGCGGCGCAGCGGCAACAGGAACCACGGGAAATGCTGGTGTGCTGGAGACAAACACGGCTCAGACGACTACGACTAGTTTCCAGTTCGCCAGCTCCACCACCAATGGCTTGGTCATGGCGACAACTCCCTCGACTGTAGCTTTGGCGACCAACAATAATGGAGGATTCATCGTGGATGGCACAAGCACCGTGGCCAACCCAAATGCAGGTGCCAGGATAGCAGAAGTGGTAAGTTGCGACCCTCAAATGGCGGCATCTGAGGCTAAACTCTCTGTAGCCCTTCCTTGTGCAGGCTGTAATTCGGATTTTGGAACGTTTGCCGCTCTGAAAGGTTCAAAAGCAACGAGGTAATGGGCACAAGGCGACGATATAATGAAATGTACAGAAGATCGATTTCACGCCTGCATAAAGAACGGGCACAGGACATGCATGGCGTTTCCCAGCAGCGCCTAAGGAATGGAATGCATGTGGATGCTTCTCAAGAATCCTTGTTGATTTACCCTGACTCTTTGCTTGACCTCCCTACTCCTCCCACGACCTTTTAGTGAGAATTTCAGAAGCACCACGATGATGTTCTGAAAGCTCGCGCGCTCACGAATGACCCTGGATGTCTCTGGTAATGTAAGGCTCCTCCAGATATTTCTCCTCCTCCTCCGTTAGGGTCTTGCCTCTCACAGCAAGGGCTTCTTCAATCCTATCAACACTAGAGAAGCCAATGATTGGGCTGCTGACTCTTTTGTTAATCCACGCCAGCGCAATATGGGCCATTGTCCATCCCTTCTTCTCAGCCAGCTCTTGCACCCTTTTGATGATAATTTGGTCGCTTTCACTCTGTCCTGTAGTGAACATGCTGTTCTTCTGCTCACCTGCAGAACGGATCGTGCTACCGTGCTCCTGCGGAGGGCGTGCCAGATGGCCGCGGCAGAGTGGAGCCCACGGAATCAAGCCGACTCCAGTCTCGTTGCAAAACTTGTTCATTTCACGTTCCTCTTCGCGATAGAGAAGGTTGTAGTGGTTCTGCATGCTGATGAACTTGGTCCAGCCATTTTTCTCAGCAACAAATTGCATCATGGCGAACTGATATGTCCACTATCGATATGTCAGTAGGACGTAGAGGCTCGAAAAGGTTCAGAAATTCGCAGTACCATGCTCGATGCACCAATGTAGCGCACCTTGCCGCTCCTGACAAGGTCATGCAGCGCCTCCATGGTCTCTTCTATGGGCGTTTCAGGATCAAATCGATGGATCTGTAGCAGGTCCAAATAGTCTGTGTCCAGCCTCTTCAAGCTCGCATTGACGGCTTGGAATATCGCAGATCTTGACAGCCCGCCATGGTTCACGTAGTCCTTGCTCTGCGCAATGGCTTGTCCATACATTATCCCTCGCACACCCGGCTCTTCTCCTACGTAACCATAACATTTGCTCAAGATGACAACCTTATCTCTTGGAATCTTGTAATGCTTCAGCGCTTTTCCAATAATGGCCTCAGACACACCATTACTATAGACATTGGCCGTATCAAACGTCGTAAGACCACGATCGTATGCTGCCTTCAAGAGGGGAAGTGCTTCTGCTTCTTCTATCACCCATGGCTGCCAGTCTTTATGTCCGAATGACATGGCTCCAAAGATTGGCACAGACACACGGAGGCCTGACCTTCCCAAGCGAACATATTCTGCTTTCGTTTCGTTGATGGACTTGAGCACAGGATCGTTCTCGTCGAGGTTGAGATTGCCGAATGGCTGTGTGAGACGATTCGAAGACATGGCGATTGGGTGCTAGGAGGGCAGTTCTGGAATGAATGAGACAGTACGACAGCAAATGATAAGTCAATGTCTCCAACAACAGTATCGGTATCGATGCTTCCTTGACATGGGCCAGCTCTCACACCACGCTGAGCTCACATGAGGGGCAGCATTTATCCGGCGATTGGGACGGACTTAAATGTAGGACCGCGAGTGGATTCAGAATGAGACGCAGGGACGTGGTTGTCGCCTCTTCTTCGAGGTTCAGGCTGTTCTCCTGGCCCAATGATCACGGCCGTGGAATTATGGAGTGCAAACACATGTGCACCGGAGCTGATGATGGGACTTCTTTGTCTCTCGCCGGCGCAGTCCGACGGGAAGCCGACCATTTCTTGGCGCCGGGACATGGAAGCTTTTACTCCCCTGCAGGCTGCCAGACTACACCTTTCACGGCCATTCTAGTCCAAGCATGCCAACATCTACGGCAAGGAGAGCACCATTTCAGCGACTAGGAGATCTCCGCCCAACCATGCCACGCTTCAGCGGACTCTGGAGCAGCAGTGGCAGCGGTGACAAGCTTGAGCTTCAAGCTGGGAGCTCTCTGTAGATCGGCATCGAGTTCATCATTGGTCACGGTGCTTTTCTCGGACATGCAAGCACGTTGCTGCTGCATTCTCCTCGTTCAAAAGGCAGGCGGAGCCCTCAGCTACCCTCATATCTTCTTGTCTTAGAGCAATACATTTCACACCACCGATGGAAAAATACTTCTAGAGGAGGACCCGCCATGAGCTCGTCGACCTCTCAAAGCCATACATGGTGGAAGGAAGCTGTTGTATGTGGTAAATTCTACGGCCGTGTAAGACCGACTGATCTGACCTGCTTGACTAGGTATACCAAATCTATCCAGCTAGCTTCAAGTCGACGGGCGCAGGAGACACTCCAGGATGGGGCGATGTCAAGGGCATCACGTCGAAGCTGGATTACCTCAAACATCTCGGTGGTAAGTGTGGATCGACTTGACCGTGTACCCCCTAAAAAATTGCTGAAACTTTGCAGTGGATGTCGTATGGACGTCTCCCATCTACAGATCGCCACAAGTCGACATGGGATATGATATCTCTGATTATGAAGATATTGACCCCAAATACGGCACGCTTGCTGACGTGGATGAACTCATCGCCGCACTCAAGCAGAGAGGGATGAAGCTTATGATGGACCTGGTCGTAAATCACACCTCAGACCAGCACGCTTGGTTCCTCGACTCTCGCGCCTCTAAGGATAGCAAACACAGAGACTGGTATATATGGAAGCCGCCAAGATATGACAATGATGGCAACCGTCAGCCTCCAAATAATTGGGCAATGATTCTTGGTGAGGCGAATTCTGCTTGGACGTGGGACGAAACGACCCAAGAGTACTACTTGTCGCTCTTCACCCCCGAGCAGCCGGATTTGAATTGGGAGAATCCAGAGGTCCGCGCAGCAGTGCGCGATGTGCTTCGATTTTGGCTCGATCGTGGTGCTAGCGGATTTAGAATGGATGTTATCAATCTCATCAGTAAAGTCCAAAGCTTTCCGGATGCAGAAGTTCACGATCCGAAGGCCAAGTTCCAATCTGGGGAAAAATATTTCGCTAATGGCCCACGTCTTCACGAATTCCTCCGCGAGATCAACCAGAAGGTACTCAGTCACTACGATACCATCACCGTCGGCGAAATGCCATGTGTTACCGACGAAGACGAGATTCTCAGAGTTGTTGACCCGGAAAGGAATGAACTCAACATGATTTTCATCTTCGAGCTTGTCGATATCAGCAACGTGCCTGGGTCGCCTCGGCTTACACTTTACCCGTGGAAGACGTCCAAACTTCGCAACATTGTCACAAAATGGCAAAATGTCATGCGGGAACGTGGTGGCTGGAATAGCGTCTTCCTTGAGAACCACGACAATCCACGTTCGGTATCTCATTTGACCGATGACTCGGATGGAAATCGCGAGCTTGGAGCGAAGCTCCTCTCTCTCATGGCGACGACTTTATCTGGTACGCTTTACGTTTACCAGGGAGAAGAACTGGCGATGCGCAATGTACCACTCTCATGGGATCCGCAGGAGTACAAAGATATTGATACGCAGAACTACTGGAAGAAAATGAATGATCTCTACCCCGGTGACGAAAAGATGCTTCGTTACGCCAAAGAGGTCATGCAAAAGAAGGCTCGTGATCACGCGCGAACACCAGTGCAATGGACCGACGAAGTCAATGCGGGTTTCTGCAGTGAGGGTGTCAAGCCCTGGATGCGGGTCAACGACGATTACAAGACAATCAACGCCAAGGCTCAGGCGTCTTTCAGCGATCCAAATCAGCTTTCTGTCCTGCAGTATTGGCGCCATGGCTTGGAGAACAGGAAGAAACACAAGGATGTTTTTGTCTATGGCAGTTTCGAACTGCTTGCCGACGAAGATGACAGCATCTTCGCATATAAGCGAGCCAGCCAAGATGAGGCATTCGTCACGCTGCTCAATTTCTCAGGCAACACTGTCGAATGGCAGATACCAGAAAATGCGAAAATACAGAATTGGGTTGCTGGAAACTATACCTCGAAGGACCCTGGCCAAAGCGCATCTGGATGCATCCAGCTCCGGCCATGGGAGGCGATCTTGGGAGTAGCAAAGCCTTGAGACAGTCAACAGCAGTCGATATACCAAGCTTCAGTCAGTCGAACGAGGTATGAGAGATAGATAACAGCACGTTCGAACCTCCACTGTTTTGCCAAGCCCTCATGATCTGCAATCTTCACTCACCAAGTCCCTTTATCAGGCCGACGCTCAATCTCAAGCTGTTTCATATTGGTCTCTGATAATGCCAGATTCTATGTACCACTACAGAATAATCTGTGGCATCGGAGCCGCCGGTAATTCATGTCGGCTGTCCGGCGAAAATCTTTAACGCTTGATGAACGACATCGACTGCGACCCATGCAGCGCTAGGCTTTCTGACCGTTGGCCACTATTTCCAGGCGTCTTTTCGTGGTATGAGATCATGTGGAGAGCAGGAGAAGAAGTTTCAGTCGGCTGTTTTTCGGTTGCATATGAACAACGAGATCCTGCCGCTATCTTAGTGCAATTGCGCGCACGCCCTGACTTATTGAGTCTTGACTGCTGAAACATTCGTGTACGCACGTAGAGATCTCGTCACAGCAGTCGTCGCGGTGGAAGTGATGAGGTTCGTGTTCGCGGATAGAGCATGAAGGCTTGTATAGGCAAGTCCCGAATAAGCAATGTCGGGTTTTAAGCAACGGATCTCGATATTCAACGCTTTTTAGGTAGTACACTGTAAGTTAGCAATTGCTTGGAACATCCCGGCTTTCTTGTAATACGATTGCAGCGATTGCTTGTCCGGAAGTACATATCCGAGGTATTTAGGGGCTGCTCCTTCCGAAAAGAGATAAGGGAGGCCGGAAGATACACCTATTCTAAGCTGCTTCGAGCCTAGATAGGGGCTAGCAGAGCCTGGCTGAGGCTAGCTCTAAGCAACATCGGGTTATAAGCATTATTATGGCTCCGCCGGCCGGTTGCTTATAACCAGGTTCACCTGTATGGATGGCGAGTTACCGTTACGTGTAGCGCGTTCTTGTTTAACATCCACATCTTCTCACCTGGGCAATGCTCGACTCCATTCGCCATCGCCATCGCCATCGCCATCACCGTCGCCTCGGAACCCGAGCCGCACTATCCATGCCATTGAGCGTAAGGAATCCGACATTGCCATGGCCCATATCGTATCGTGCGCGCTGCATTTCTGCCGGACCGAGCACGAACCCATAGCACCCTGATGGCGCGCACTCAACGCTTTCGAATGGCATGCAGTCTTCATTATGATTTTCCCGCTCTGTGTGATGAATCACATCATTGCCGTGCGCTGCGACATATAACCTCTCGTCATCCCAGTTTCAAGGTAACCACGTTCCAGGACTGACTCTCTTGATGACTCCTTTTCGTTTGAGAGCCTGAGCTTCTCCTATCCACTCCATCTACTTATACATACTCAATCGCCATAGCTTCCTTGGACCGCATCGTGAGCGTTGAACATTCGACCATGGCGGCAACAGCGCTGCCTCTGGAGCTTCAGCAGCAAGTCTTTTCGTTCCTCGATACAAAATCTTTCTACTGTGCGCGCAAGGTATGCAGATGGTGGCATTTTGCGTCGACCGAAGCCGTACCTCTCGCAAGGCAGCTGAGAAAGCTTCCAATTCTGCCTCCTGTTCACGCGTCCGACTTACATCCTGCCGAGATCCAGGCTCTTTTTGGCCAAGCTGCGCGCGATCTCATGTTAGGCGTCAAAATCGATCGCGCCCACGACAAGCCGGGCACGCTATCCAAAGCATTGAAATTAGGCTTCCCATGTCATCCTCGAGTTCAGGCGACAAAGAATGGCGACAGAACGGTAACGCTGAACGGTCGAACGATCGCATTATTCGATACATCTGGTGGTCAGCCAGAGATGCTAGCACAGAGGACGCTGAACGACTTGAAAGAGACCGTAGGAAGCGGGCCGTGGCTGAAAGTTCAACCCAACTCTTACCATGAATTGGCCCTATCGTCGGATGGTAGACTTCTGGCGGTGGCACAGGAAAGGACAATACAGGTGTATGACTTGCTTGCCGAGCCGGACAGCTTTACAGTCAACGAATATATTTCAAGCGCGACGGGACACTATATTTGTGGACTTGACTTCGAACAAGATGATCATGTGCTTCGAGTGCGTCTCAGTGGAAAAGGCGCGGTTTTATATCTTGGAACACCCCCAGCCGGCAAGAGCAGAGGCGACAAGGCGAAGATGGATCATTGGAAGAGCAGAGGGGGGTTGAAGCACACGTTTCTGGATTCATCGCTGTTGCAACTGCCTGGTGAAGCTGCAGAAGAACTAGGTCAGATGGCAAGGATATCTGGTGTCCAGTTGTTGCGACCTTTCGAGAATGGTTGGCTTATTGGCATGCAGAAGCATGGCGGCGGCGAGAGCAGCTATTACGCGCTCGGCCACGTTGAGACTACAAGTGCAGGAGTGCCAGGTAGTGTGACTGAGCTCAGTCGCCTGGAGAGCTTCCTCAGCAGTTGGAATTTCACGATCAGTGCCCAGTCTGACGATCACGGCTTGGGTCTATGGGAGAACATGCCAAGCGCACATGAGCACCACCCCACATATGCCCTTTCTGAGAGGGGCGACTTTCTTGCACTGGCCGAAAGGGACAAGAAGCGCATCCGCCCTTGCCCATTGACGCAGCTCTTCGTGTACAGACTTCCGATCGAGAGCGAGCTTCGTAAGAAATTGAAATTGAGCCAGAGAGCGGCAGAAAAGAGCGGGAATGAGGTCTTGGCCTCAGCGCAAGCTCTGGGCGCAGCAGCCAACATGCCCCGGAGCGGCAAGCATACGATCCCAAGAATACCTTTGTGTCTTAGCACCATTCTTGGCGATGTCACAGCATTGAGCTTCTCGAGTGCAGACGAGGAGATGTGTGTCATTTCGGCCGCAACTCAAGATTCAGTCAGAACTTGGCGGCTTCAGGATTTTTGATTGATGAGGGGACGACTTTCCAACGTTGGGTCCAGGGCTTGCGGAATCTGGCGGGCGTCAGGTGGTTGGTGATCAAGGATGGGGTTTGAGCTATAGATGATACCCAGTAGAGGCCATAGTATGTGGCGTTTATGAGCGAATTGAACAGATATGTTTTTTGAAGCTATTGTGCTCACATCACAGCATCCTGATGATCGACCTGATTTCCTCACCGCGCACATGTGCTAGAATTACTCGGGAGGCTGATTGATGTGAGGATTATTATAGTGCAGTGCTTCTTATTCAGCGAAGCGAGGTGGGTTTCGAAACATTACTCATCATGATGTGCAGGGATGCTGATGCTGGTGCCAGGCCTCAAAAGCACTCGCAGGCGGTCGAAAGACACTGCCGACAACGGTTTCCGGAAGTCAAACAGCAGTGTCCGTTGTCAGTGAAGCAGACAGGTGCATGTACGGTATGTGACAGCACAACTTTGCGCGTCATCCGTCGTGATGAGCGGTTCGGCCGGCGACGGGGGTGCGTCAACACACTCGTGGCCAAAACTCGTAGCTCTGTTACGCGAGATGCCAGGCTGGGCTATCCCGACTCTCCGACGCTAACCGTCCATAGCTGTTGGCTGTTTTCGCATACTGCCCTACATGTATGTCTGCAATTGGCAGCTAATACCTAGGGTTGGCGTTCAATAACAGTACCGCCCGTACTATGAGTTATAAGGACCGCTGCAAGGCTAAGGCTCGGCCGGCCGGCCCTCTCGCTTAATTGGAGTGTAATGCGCGGCTCCCGAGGGTCTGAAGCAAACTCTATTGCATCGGAATGTCGGGAGCATCGTCGACGTGACTTGCTTGGCACCATGTGAAGTGAATGACCACCCTATTTGCCTATTTTCATCGACGTACCGGACCTCCGTACGTATGTACGAGAAGAAGCTCTGAACGGCTGCTTCGGACTTAGCTTAACCGCATGGGCTAGGAGCAGGTATTCGTCAGACTTGACGAATCGTCAAAGGAGGAGAGGGAGGCTGTGCTGTGGTGCCAGGTCGTGATCGCGTGGCATTTGGTTGGCGTGACCATTATTATTCTTGTGTAGCGAACTAGCTGCTCCGTCGCAGGCGAATGGCCGTGGTTTCGCATCGAATGCAAGCAAGCGCGCACGCGGGTGCTCGGATTCGCAATGTCTCCGCCTTGCGCAAGGATTGTGCGATTTACGAGGGCAAGGCGCCAGGATACCACAGTAGTAGTTGGGCGGCGTTGAGTTGTCGCGCTGCTTGCTACGAAAACGAAGACGGCGACGGCCGTTTCGCGTGGTGTTACGAATGCGCAAGGACACTTATCCCTTGGTGATTTAGACTTGATGTGTGCGCACATCTTTCATCAGCTGTCTTGACGTTGAAATAGAGTGCTGATAGTGAGCGAGCGTCCGACAGGCGCTTGATTTCCCGTGATGAGTAGAGTTGCAGTACAGTCAGCATTCAATCTCGCTGGTTGGAATCTGCCTCCCGAGAAGAATGCACAGATGCACTAGTGCCTTCAAGCTTCGACAAGAGTAGCACGCGGCACATAAGATGATTTGTTGAACAGCCTGATCAGACTGGCAAAGGGGTACATTTGACAACTTCTCCTCATGAAGATGAATAAAGCCATGACAGCCGTTGCACCGAGCAGCAAGTACATCCTTCGACGTCGCACGAGTTCCTGTCCCATCTTCATTCAGCTGCCGTGTACCTCGAATCATGCACTTCGAACTTACGTAGAAATCTTGTCGTCCACTATACCACTCAGCATCGCCGATTCCGGTGCTCTGTGGAATTGCTTGGCCCTTTTCCAAAGCATCTTGATGCATCGCGATAGGAATCTCGTCACCAGGTGGAGGTGCTTTGGCCAATGCAGATATTGAACGCATCGAGAGGGAAAAATCGCCTTCTTGAGCACCGAAAAAGCTGGTGCGGACGTAAGCGCGGGCCATAAATATGAAAGCGGTCGGTCGTCGTTTCACCTTCGCATCATGATACTCATTCTCTTGACCTTCTTGAGATTGATCGGTTTGGCATCTTTCTTGAGCCTCCCGCGGTAGGTGGCATTGAAGCTGCTCCAGGGTATGAACACGAACCGCTCGTGTGCCGGTCCGGGCTTTGTCTGTGGTGGCAATTCAAAATCACATTCGTAGGAGATGGATGCCTGCTCTCGACCATTTTCTGGATCTGGTGGGAGTAATTTGTCCTTGAGAATGAAGGTGTATCGCTTCTCTGGATCCACCGAAGTCAGCCACCGAAGAAGGTATGCCATCGAGGACCCGTCTTACTGTCTCCTTTTGCAACACATATCTCTATGCCAGCATAGTCTGAGAGGTCCCATTCTCGATCTTCTCCAGTTGTTCGCTGGCTGGCGAATCCTGCACCTCCTAGAGTCTTTATGTCTATTCAAAACTGAGCAATTGAACGGAAAACAGCACGCGGCCGTGCCTCGAATCTCACCTAACGTTCCATAGAATCGCCCAATCTCGTCAGAGCATTCAAGGTACGACTACCGGCAGATAAGCGCTTTGAAAGGGCCTTGGTGAGGACCACAAAATACACGTACCTGGCTCTTGCCACCACGAACACGGTCATCAGAATCGGTCCAATCTTGAGCCTGCCAAGACCTGCGAGGTTCAATCAGTGCAGGGATCTTTCGTGGCAACCAGTACTGACTGACTCGTCTCCTCCGAAGAGCGAGTACCGCTTTTGGCCGCTTGTCTGCTCCATCTCATGGATGTTCAAAAGTTCTTTTCGGGACCAGCTTCAAGGTTTTGAGACGTGCAATGTCTGCGGGGAGGCTGTGAACAAACCAGTCTCTGGTCGAGGCGCGTTACTGTGCAAGCAAAATACCCCAATGCCAGCAAGATCTAGAACTGGGCGTGAAAATTTGCAACCACAAAGGGATTGTCCTGATAATGGTAGTAGTGCCGGTAGAGTGAACAGGGGAAGTCTCGGCGGCAAGTACAAGCGGGGAGTCTAGGCCCGTCCGCCGAGCCCAGTATCCCCTTAAATGCTGCGCACAACTTAAATCTGATCGTTTCGTGCAATCAGATCACTCACATCTGATTCACTTCAAAATCAAATGCATGTCTTTCCATGCGTTGTCACAACCTGTCGCAAAACAGGCATATCGTTCACTGCATGCATCGTACGCCATGATAAAAATCCGCGATGGTGCTCACGAAAAGACCTGAGATCTGCAATCCGAAGTGCCGATCGCTAGTAGCAACGGGTTGTCCTAGGGTTGACGATCCTGGATGCTTTCTCGGACCTCAGATCAAGCCCTCTGTTGGCCAAGGTCCAGACTAGCAGAGTCAGCACTGTGGACTCATTGTAAAAATGCGAGCAGTATGCAACCGTCGCAACGATAGAGGCGCTGTGGCATGAGACCTGCCACTGATGCCGTCTGGTAACAGTAGCAGGCTCGACCACATCGGGCGCCGGTGGCAGTACGCAACGGCATCGCACGGATTGGCATCTACACAGCCTAGTTGCGCTTGGACCTGCCTCCTAAGCAGAAGACCGTGAGCCATCGAGGCGTGGTTGGAGGAAGGTCATGAAGGCGCTTTGATTTCTGGCGAGAGATGAAGCGACTGTTGAGCGATCCATTGAGCCTAGTTTCGAATCGTTGAGCAACATGCTCGGTACAGCCGGATTCTGTTGTAGATCACATACAAGGTATAGAATCCTTATTTCTTGGGAGTCTTATGTTGCCAAGATGGTTTCCTACCGTCCGTCAAGAAAGCTTTTCGCCGTCAGAAGCGCGAACAGCTCAAATTCCCTGCCGATAACCTCTATTCATCGCTAAACACCATCGCTGAAAACAGATCAAACAAATATCGAATTTCCCGCTCAGATCCATGGGGTGTCAAGCGCAGCTCAACCCGGCAACCTATGCCAACTGCTCTGTAAATGCATCAAACGCCCATTGCTATGCGTGGTCGAAGAGGGGAGGCGTGCTGGGTAACGAAGCCGGTGTTCTAGGCTGGTACTCTGGCGGAGAGCTAGATTGCCAATGATCGGATGAGTCCGATAGAGGTGGAGTCTGGCTTGGATATCAGCCGCTGTTTGCCGGATAATTGTGATGTCGAGGTGGGTAGGATGGCGGTCTACTCACATATGGAGGAATGTTCTGAAAATGTGTGGTTTCGTTGGCCATGGAGGCATAACTCATGCTGAAAGGGTTCACTTCATCGTCTGCGTACAGTTCCTGCTTGATGGGCGGCGAGACTATACTTTGCATGGCATACGTTTGTTGCGAGGGTGCCAGATACTGGGGGTACATCGGCATGTCCATGCCGGTTCCGCAGTACGATGGATAACTCGCGTACGCTGTGCTCTCCGTTGATGGCATGGAGGCATAGGAAGCAAACGGAGGCGGTGAAGTCGAAAGCTGACGAGTGTATTGCTGCGAGAACATGCTTCTATCGTCCGACGGCAGCACGTATTGTTGTGTTAAGACATCCGGAGTGCGATCTCTTCGAATGTGACTGCTGGTCGAACGCTGACGTTGAGTGCTGCCTTGCGATGCTCGACCTGCGACAATGGTCTCCGGAAGTTCCTCGTGTCTCTGCTCTGGCGATGCAGAACTTGAGCCAGCTCTCCTTTCCAGATCCTCCAGGCGCTTCTTCAGCTTCTTGCCTACAAGACGATTAGGATGATATTTCACAGAATGGCGTGTGGCAATGGCGACTCACGGTAGTTCCGCTGGGCGATCCTGTTCTGTATCCTCCTCCGTTCCGCAAGATCAGAAATCTTGGTCCAGTCTTCGTTGGGGTTGGCGCTAGCACTGAAGGCACTGCTCGTGCTATGAGCCGTTGGGTAGTGTTTCTGAGGAGGTGCGGCGGGATACTGCGGGTAGCTGTAACTGGAGGGACGCTGCATGTTTGCTTGATGGTACATGTGTGCCAGCTCTGAAGGTTAAGAGCAAGGTGTTCCACCCGACTTTGCTGGGGGAGAGATATGGAGAGGTGTAACGGGGAAACCGGTGAAAGAGTGGCATGAGCTGGCGGCCGTTAGGCTGTCCATATACATAGTCGCGATGCCAGGTCAGTAGGATCTAGGCGGAAGGACGGAACCCTGCACCATGTGCGTGGACCAAGCCGTACAATGCGACTACAACACGGCCGCCGCAGTCGCCTGTCTCATGGACGCCGACCATGCGGGGACCCTGCAGACAGACCCCAGCCCTACCGCGGGGCAAGACTACTACAAGAGGATGTGTGTTCGGTCGCGAGAGATTATTGCTAAGCCTCCGAATATAGGATCCTGGATTTGGCAGGAGCAGGAGGGGAGGCAAAAGTCGTGGCGCGCTTTGCAAGCGGTGAACAGAGTCGCCAGGTGCCGGGGTGGTGCACGAGCGGTGACGTACGTCGCCTCTTGGATTTAGCACCGGATTTTGCGTGTCCGTTCCCGTAGCTAGGCAACGCCAAAAGCCGTGTTCCATTGATACATGTTATGCCAGTGCTGTGCTGTGCTTCATACCACCCGACCATCGCCCGCCAAGTCGAAGGCCCTCAATCATGCCCAGCGTCCGCGGTCCATTATCGAAGCCTGCCTTCAGCACAGCAAGCAGCAAGCTGGCGCTTTCGGAGCAGCGTGTCGTGACTGTCCAGTGTCCACGTAGCGACCAACGGTTTCAGAGTCAGTCATGAAATGTTGGTCTGCATCTGCCCTGGAAAGCACGGCCACTCGTGTGTGCGGCAGCATGTTCCCATTTGGGGCCAGCGCTGGGAGCTCGAGGAGGCGTGGTTACGTGGTGTGTACGAGGCTGCTTTCTCGCTCGCGCACTCGTTCAAACCGACCCTAAACCGCTCCCCGGCTGCAAGCCTCGCGAACAGCTCGGAGGCAGTGCTCGGCCCTAGAACACTGAAATGATCCGCAACTATTTTGGCTTCGCTCCTTATTACCAAGACCATGTTCCTTTGATCCTAATTGTGCTCGGTTGCTTCCGGTCGATCATATAATTATCAAGCATCTCACTGCGCCAGCCGAACACTTTGCGGGTGGCAGCCCTACGGCTATGTAAGCCCTGAGATTGGAAGAAGGTGCTCACTCTCTTCGGCATTGTCGATTGCCACGGGGAAGCCAGCGATAGGGGTGCGGTGCGGTGCGGTGCGGTGCGGTGCGGTGCTCCGTTGTGCTATGCGGTTGTGAAGCCGCTACTTCGCCTTCAAAACATGAAGCAGGTGCTCCAGCGTTGGCGAGATGCTTGAGCATGCATGGCCTTTGGTTGTTTGACAGCACGATTCCGTATGTTGCAGTGTAATAGGAGTCGGATGGACGTTGATGCCGCTGCCACTTGGCCCAGGCAAAGGTGCCAGTGCAGTGCCAGTGTCAGTGCCAAAGTTTGGTGATCCTGCTGAATCCTGTCACAAAGTCCTGGAACTGCAGGTTGTATCCGGGGTTTCGTCAAAGCACTCCACCCCGCGGTCGCGGGGGTTTGAGCCATACGCAAAATCGCGATTTGTTAGTAGGCCACACGTAAAACTCGATATAGTCGCACCTTCTAGTCCTATATAGATATCTAGGTATATAAAGTATTGAACCGCTAGTCTAAATATTATATTAGCGAGGTTATCCGAGTATATAGTAACCGTAGACCTCGCTACCGCTATTTCTTATATAATCTCCTTAGCCTCCTTAGCAGGCGCGTCTACCTTATTCTAAACGCGTATTCTTTATATTCTCTTTCTTCTAGTATATATATAGTACCTATTTATTAGTATAGGGTATAAGAAGGTCGGAAAGGTTGTTAAAAGGATACGCGCCGAGCGATTAATAGAGATAGAGAGGGCGGAGAGGGTAGTAGATCGAGTAGTTTCGAAGTACCGCGAATTAGAGGCTAAATTGTTAAAAGTTAGCCTTCGAGCGCTTTATAAGAGTAAGAAGGTAGCGGACCTATATTATCGTATTTACTAGCGGTTAAGAGGTCGTAGATCGCTAATATCGCGTAACGTAATAAACACTAAGCTAGATAGATCTTAGGAACTAGCGCTAGCGGATTATTGTCGAGAAAGGGACGAGATAGATATATTCTTACTAATAGCGTTAGTCGCTATTATAGCGATAGAAATAATAGTTAGTATACTACTAGAAGGGGTGCCGAAGGATATAATCGTACTATTTAGCGTAGATTAGGCGGACCGCTTTCTTAGTTACTATAGACTTAGCAAGGTTAAGTCTAAACCTATTAAGGTATAGCGTAAGGAGGCATACGACCCTTCTACTATAAGGAGCTAGTTTAATAGGTTTAAAGCAATACTAAAGCGACTAAATATAAAGCCGCGGAATATATAGAATTTCGACGAGACCGGATTTCGAGTCGGTATTAGTAGTAACGAGTACGTCGTTATAATAGATACGAAGCGGCGCGCGTAGACCGAGTATAATAGCAACCGGACGCATATTACTATCGTCGAGAGCGTTAATACCTATAGTAAGGCAATAGACTATTAGTTGATTATTAAAGCAGTAATAGTTTAAGAGTATTAGGTCCCTAAAGAAGGTTAGTCTATTACTATTACCTTAGGTAAGAATAACGTTACCTACTAACAATAACAGGCAAAGATAACTTCCTAATTACTATTAACGACTCTAGCTATATAATAGACGATACTGCTATATACTATATCCGCTAGTTTAAACGGAAGACGAGACCTAATAATCCGAATAAGTAGAGAGTGCTATTATACGACAATTACGGCTCCTACTACTTTAAAGAATTCGCTGCCTTTATAAAGCGCTATAAGATTTAATTATAGGGCCTATAACTATATACTTCGCACTTTATATAACCCCTTAACGTTATACTATTCTAGGTATACAAGTTGAGGCATAGGCAAGCGGTCTTAGAAGCTATATATCGTAGTATTAGTAAATTTGGTATACCTAAGTTTATATAGGCGCTCTTAGCTATCCGGGTAAAGACTTTTACGAGATATAATATAAGGGCGGCGTTTCGTAAGATAGGTATATTCCTAGTAGATAGGGAGGTCCCTTGTAAGCATATTCGAGATTAGTATAGGGCTACTAACTATAACTAGAACTAGCAAGCAATCGAGAGTAAGCTCTAATAGGAAGAAGCCTAATACGAGGAATCTCTAGTAATAGCGGAGGCCGCTTAGTAGGAGCACTTAGCGTCGGTTAAGTAAGAGCGTTTAGTAGAGCCTACTATTATCGATCCTAATAGCTAGCATCTCGCTAATAATCGCTCTTACTTATAGGACCTTAAAAACGTAATTGCTTAGGGCATACTATCGTTACTACTACTACTGCAGCAGATACCTATTCCCGAGTTGCCGGACTAGCTTCTTACTACGATAACGAGCCCTCGGAAGATTAGAGCGTCTCGTAAGGCTATACAAGCTCGTAAGAGCTTCCGACGTTATTATCTAAAACTAGTTCCGGAAGGTATCGACCTATTATTAATATTTAACCCCTTTTCCTCGTCGCCTATAAAGGACGCTAAAAGAGCCTACGAGATATTAGTTAGCGCCGCTATTTGTAAAGGCAAGGAATATAAGCGCAAATACTAGTCTACGAGTCTAGTTAAGCGTATAAAGAAGCGCTAGAAGGAGCAACCTAATCGGCTTATAAGAGTAGGTACTATCGAGGCAAATAAATTATAGTTACAACTTATATAACAAGATAAGGACCTAGCTAATAACGACCGCCGGAAGATGCTCTAAGAGGCATAGAGTGTATATAACAAGGCACGCACCTATCGACTTAAGTATAGTAAGGTATTCCGAGTCGTATTTAATAACAATAGCAAGACTAAGTAGATAGACGTTAAATTGTAGGCTATCGATAAGCCGCTACGACGAGTCTTCGATAAGCGACTTCTCGCTTTAAATAACAACCTTATATTAAAGAAGACTAGCGATCTATATACTAAGAATATCTACTTCTATAGGCGCTCTACTTACTCTACCGAGGGCGGCGATATAGTATATACGTAGAGTCCGATAAAGATACTAGAACTGCCGACTTATACTTATAACTACGAAGAAGGCGATATTCTAGTATAGACCGTTAAGCTAAGGCGATAACTAAATAGCCTATTTGCGTAAGAGCCTAATACACGATTAGACTAGCTATAACAAGACGAAGCGCTACTTAACGAAGATATAGTATATACTATAATTTAGCCTTATTTAGTACCTCCTCGCCGCTACTACGAGTCTATATAAAGCAAGCGCTATTTCTACGAAGCTCCGAAGAAGTCTAACCGTTATAGAGGCGCTATTGTAATTGCTAGCAGTAAGAGTAACCCTATTAAGCTTAAAGAGGTAGATAGTAGATATAGTAGTTAGCTATTTAGCTAACAAGAAAAGATAGCAATTATATAATAGATATATAGGCCGACTTGTAAGGTAATTAACTATATAGTTAATACGAGGTATACGCGGAGGCCGAGTATAGGTCTATTTTAACTATATACGTAACCGCATACCGTCGCAATTTAGTCGTTAATATACCGGAAATCTACTACTTCTTAACTATAATCGCACTTATACTTAGCTTCCTATTATATATGCGTTATAATGTACGTTTGATCGAGTTTTGCGTGTGGCCTACTAACAAATCCCGATTTTGCGTATAGCCTTAGCGCGGGCATGGGGTAAGAAATAACTGTAAGATTTCAGCAATTCCAATGCTAACTGTAGCTACAATTATAAACTGTAGCACACTAGCATATCGGCTATATACCATTGATATTGTATATACTGTTTAGTCTGCCTGCTGTAGAGGTTTCTAAACCGTAGAGATCCACTTCTACTATAGCGGCCAATAGGAATAGGTGCTAAGCGGCTAGGGATATAGATACCCGTATTTCCGACTTTATGCTATTGTAGTATGTAATCTTCCTTTACGCGTACCAAGTCCTTTATATACCGATTTTCTAGACCCGCGCACACGATTCGACATAGTAGAGATAGTACTAGCGCTAGCAGCAGTAGCAGTAGTATAATTAGCAGCATAGCCGCCGTAGCGGCTACTACTAGAAGCACCGGTATATTATATCCTACACTCTTTGTCATTCCTATATAGTATTAGTCTGCACAATACTAGCTTCAGACTCTAGCTTCAGACTCTAGCTTTAGACTCTAGCTTCAGACTCTAGCTTTAGAATATATATAGCTTTAGAATCTAGCTCAAACTTTCTACTACGACTATATCTAATATAGCAGTACCTCTATACTATTTATCTATTTAGTTGTTTGCTAAGCCTTTACATATAAATAGGCGGCGGCAATATAGTGCAGTAGGCTAACAGATTACAGTTACGAGAGCACTTGCGTTTTTATACGAAATACCCCTATATGCGATTACCTATAAAGTCCCTTCCTATTCCTTTAGCTACTGAGTCTCGAGCCTTTAAAGCTGAGACTAACAAGCGTGATTTACTTAATTAAGCGTTTAAATAGATGTATTTCGAAACTAGTGGATATAAAACAAAGGATAATATTATTAAAGAAATTTATAGAGATGCTGTCTTTAAGGAGAACAAGATACTATATGCCTAGGCTCGGAGCAAAGCCCTTAATACCCGCACCTTAAAGTCGGACACTATTAGAAACTGTCGTATAAGTTGATCCCTAATCCCCTATTTAGCCCGCCTATTTATATCTTTTTTGCTTAACTTATGTTTAAACTTATAAGTTGAGCTGCACTTTTAGATTAGTCCTAAACTTAATAGTTCCGAAGCCTACCAATCTATAGTATAATCTCGAATCTTCCAGTTCTGAACCCTCGCTTGTTTCTAGATACAGCTAATATAGATATAGAAATACGTTGAAAAGCTAATAGACGAAGACTCGTCCCTTATAGGACTAAATAGTAAAGAGACGCTCGAATTTTTCGACGAGCGCTTTAGCGAAGACGAGTTCTTCGTTGTATAAGTATTATAATACTAATGTCCTTTTTCCTATTTCTTTTAATATAATATACTCTTTAATAAACGATGCTAATATAGATATTTATATAGCTTTAAGTATATAAAAGGTCGCCTAGATGTCGACTAGTCCGGCCCTTAGGGCAAAGCCTTCTACTAGTATATGTTATTCAATATAGTATACATAATTCTCGGAGTATTATTTATTATAAGCTTTATAAATCGACACCTCCGAAGCTCCTAGATCTAGCGAGTATACTAATCTTTTATAGGGTAGTATCGCGCTCTATACTCGGAGGTAGCTACGGCCACTCGAGCCGACAAGAAGCTTAGTATGTATATACTGTTGCTCGTAATGCTAATTGCTATACACAGATAGAGCTAATAGTATATAGGCGAGCAATGCGCTAACGCGAATAAAGCCCTTATAGAGGCATATAACAGCTACCCGTAAGACCTTCTAGCATCTACCTTCTAGTATTTATTAGACTATTAGCTAATTAGTATATAGTATCGATACAGATTTCGACAAGGTAGTGCGCTCCGACTTTAAGGAGGTTATGCCGACTAAGGTCGGTGCTAGCGATAAGGGTCGCAAGGTATGTATCGTTCCGCATCGATAGCTTTCTAGTATTGCAGAAATGCTAACTATATAATAGAGAAAGAACCTTGCTGGCTCTAAGCGGGCTAAGAAGCGGCCTATAGCCCTTCCGCCTCTAAAGGCATAGGCCTTTTTATTCTTATTTTATTTATAATGTATTTTCTTAGATCTTAGTTAAGCGATAGCGCTAGTAGCTTTGCTGTTTTTTTTTTGCTGTTTTGCTTCGGCTGCGCTATACAGCTACTGCTGCATTTTTTTAGTTTATAATACCTAAATGATAAACAACTATTAATATACACTGACTGCTGCTCCTTATAGATCTTACCTAGGTACTGTCCGCTTTATATAGGTCTATAATCTAGGTCTACAATCTAGGTCTACAATCTAGGGTGAAACTAGCATTCAACACCTCCGGTATACAAGTAAGAACAAACTATACCTATAAGACATCTCTAGCTTAGACGAAGGGCAGATACACTTATTTACGCGTCCAGTATTTACTCGCGAAGTATATATCGCGTATTCGGGTTAGCGCGTTAAAGCGCGTATATACCTTCCGTAGCAAATACCTATATCTACCTACTAACCTCTAACAACAACTACTACTACTATAACCTCTAGCCCTAATTATATATACCCGCGACCTTTAATACACCCTCGCACTTACTACTCGAGACAATGCGCTTTACCTTCTTACCGCGAGGCGTACTAAAGGTCAAGCCTAACGAGTAAGCGACCTCTTAGCTAATAGCTGGATTCGCTAGCGCTTCCTCTGCTTAAGATAGTACAATACGCGTACCTAGTCCGATACCTACTCCGATACCTGCTCCGACTAGAACGAAGCGCGCTCGCGAAGGAGATAAAGGCGCTAAGGATTAAGATAAAGGTGCCGTAGACTCGAGCGTCTTACTAGCTATAGACGACATTGTTCTAAGCATTGAATACGCTAATAAGGAGGAATTAATCTAAATGGAAGTTGCTAATCCTATAGCACGAATAACTACTAAACTGCTTAGCTTGTAGCTTGTATTAGCCTAAGTAGTCGAAGACATTAATAAGCCTACTATCGAGGAGGTTGTTTAAGCAGCGGAATATTAAATCCTACCGGATAAGGAGCCTCTTCGAGTCTAGGAAGCTACCGCTATACCGGGCTAAGAGTACGAAGCTAATAAAGTAGAAGCCTCTTCGACTCCGCAGCCTTCGACTTAGCAGCCTTCGACTTAGTAACCCTCGACTTAGCAACCTAGTTCAATAATGCCGCCGCTACTACCTTTAGTTCTTAATTAGTCTCGAGTTCTTAACTAGAAGAAGGGCTGTAGGGTTAACGCTATCGACGACCTTAAGATAGCTTTCGGCTTATAGTTGCAAAGCGTTAGCATCTCTCGGTCTAATTATGCCTTATTGTTTAAGATCTTTATAGCTCTTGTGCTAGGTACTAAACTCACTAACCTACCGAAGTCGATCGATACAATTAAGTTGTATCTAAAATTAGTACTTCTACTCCTCGAGCTACGGTTTTAAGAAATCCCGTTATAGAAGCAGAAGACGCTGCTAACAGTACTAGGATCCGATACCTCTAAGCGATCTAAGGAGTTGTTCTTCTTCGACCTATAGAAGCTATTCGTCCGACTATTAAGCTCAAACATCGCCAAGATTATACATAGCGGACTAGCGTACCTTATCGACGTTCCTACTAAGTTATATCAATCTCGAGTATAGGCTAGTTCTATACGAATTACTTCTAGTGCTTTCGCTCGGTATCTAGTACGGTAAGGCGCACCTTAGACAGTATATTCTTCTACGCTAGTACGTGGTCTAATACTACTCTACGAGCTAAAGAAGAAGGCTCGGGCTAGAAAGACACCTCGAATAGACGACGGGGCTAACGAGCCTATACTAGCACCCTCTATTAACTAGAATCAGTTTGTCGGTATGCCTAGTAGTCTAATATTTCTATTAGACTTTGTCCGGTTCTACTGCTAGGATGCTAGTTGCAACTATAGCACGACTTAAGCCTATACCGGTCGCGTTGTCGCCGTATAGATCGATAATCGCGAGCTAACTAAGCGCAATCCGAAAGGTAATTATTAAGGCAGCAAAGGCTCGGTAGTTGTACAAATCGTACTATTACTTTCCTTTAATACCCTCCCTACTTACACTCGCTAGAACATTGCTAACGATACTGTTAGTAACGAGCTATTTCAACTAGAAGGCTAATACTACTTTGTACTCGAATCCGATATGCGACTATTCGATCTAGGTCTTATCGCAGTACACTATCTATACGATAGTAAGATTACATCGACGGCACTACCGTAGGATAGCTTCGACTTCGTCGTTCGTCGCGTAGTCGCGCGTAATAGTCGCATTCGTCTAATCTATTAGACCTACCTAATTCGAGGAGAGTTAGAGATTATAGTCTATAGCCGTTATTAACTTCTCGCTAAGTTTGATACCTATACAACTAGACTAAGAGTAGTCTTAGCACTATTCCTAATGTTTATTAATAGCTTCGGTCTCTATCGCAATATATACCGATCTTTAATAGGCTAGTACATTATTATAGCTAGTCTTCCTCTCTAGGAGCGCAATCGTATATCGAATATGCTTCCCTTTACCCTTAGTCCTTATAGTAGCAATATAGAAGATGTTGTCTCTATAATCGCCCCTCGACTAAAGAGTCTTAATGCTAGATAGGAGCTTAAGCTTCTAGATAGAAAGGCTGTAATCTGCGCTTTTGCTATAGTATATATCGGTAATATGCTATAGCAGTAAGAGAATTCCGGTATACTAGGTCCTAGTACTAACGTATCTTGCCGATTCTGTTATACGTATATAGACGATCGAGGAAACCTCGCTACTTCTAAACTCCGCTTTTATTATAAGAATGAGCGTATACGCTAGTATATGGCTTTAATAGCGCTAACCGCTCGAACTAGCTTTAGTCGATAATACGGAATGCTTAGAGATAGCCTAGCACTCTAGCAATTATCTCTAGCGCTTAATATTATTCTTATACGACTATCGGATCCTATACATTTAGAATATAAAGGCATTACTAGCATGTTCTACGGAGTCCTCATTGTAGAGATTCTAACTAACGCTGCTTAAATTGAATACGGCAAGACTATCTACAAGTTCCCTATACTACTAGGTTAGAACCGCCTCTAATCGCCGCTATACTACCTTGCTTAGTACAGCCTGTCTAAGCACGCGCGGTAGTCTGTATTAGCGCCTATACTAGGACGTATATAGCTAGAAGATTCTTATATCTAGCCCTTATTCCGGGATGTAGTGCGAGACTTAGTAGCACAGTCTAGTACTATACTAAGTTAGGTTGCTAATAGCCTTGCTTAGGAGCTTTAGATTCAATCGAGCGACGTTCTAGTATTAGCTATCGTAGTCCGCTTTCTTGCTACTCTAGTACGCTCGAACGTACACCTTATATTAAAGAAGTCTATAGCCTAGCAACGCATCGACTATATAACTGAAATAATTGCTATGCGGCGGATCTTCTAGGAGCTTATAGAGTGCGCTACTATTTCAAACATTAAGAACCTATACATACGATAACGCAGCCGTAGCTACAGTATCCCTGTTCCTAGCACTAATCTTAGCTAGACGCCTAGTCTATATATAGACTAGCAGCCGAAAGAGACTAAAGGCGCTACTAAGTATCGAGGCATAGCAAAGCGACCGAACGTTCACATTAGCTAGTACTATATAGATACTATCGCTAAGTACGCAATAGCTAGTAATCTTAATATGCTCGCTAGCGAAGCTAAGCATAAGACTATAAAGCAGCAGATTTACCTTACTAACTAATACAAGCCTAAGAAAGACCTCCTCGAGCGATAAGGTCTTAAAATAACTATACGACTATTACTAACAGGTGCTTATTAGTATAACGAGCCTCTTTTGTCGGCTTAGATCGGCGGGCTATTTAATAGAAATCTACACCTATTCGACAGTGTGCTACTACGCTCTAAATAAGGCCCTAACGACCGCTCGGTCCTTAACGGTACGGATACTATTCTTAGTAACGACAATTACGGAAACGTCGCTACTAGAGATCGCTTATTGCAGTATTACTATAAGGACTTCTTGCTTCTTCCTATCCGTAACGATAGTATAAAGAAGCCGTTTAAAGATGCACTTGTAGCCGCATACTAATACGACTACAACCGGACAAATTGCATACTAGACAATAGCGACCCTATTTACTAGTATAAGCGCTTTGCTTTCGATAATAAGCCTACCTAACGCCGCATTGTCCTTCGCCGCGGAGACTTTGTTCGATACCGCGGCGGTACTAATATTAGCCGCATCGATTAGATCTTTATACACCGTACGGCTCGTAGTATCTTACTATTTGCGCTTATTATAATCGCTTAGATAGACCGTAAGGACCCGATGCTGCAGCTTTTAGTGTATAAGCTTAGCAGTAAGCAGTAGGTTACTGTCGGTATTAATAGCATTAATAGTAGCAAGATTTAGATAGTGCTAGTAACTAGATAGGGCCTTTAGATAGCGAAGGGCAAGGCTACTACTGCTAATATAAGAGGCAGTAACCGTACCCTCTTCGTCGACTAGGACCTATAGTTCCTTTAAAGGTCTATAGCCGCTACTGCAACGTTGTTAATAAGTACTATGCTAACTGTATCTAGGCACGCTTATACGTCGACAATCGATTAAATACACTTGCTATAGTATACGAACTCTAGCAATAAATACTGCCTTAGACTAACTAGAACCTAGGCTCTTTATACGCTCTTTGTACGCTCTTCCTGTTTTAGTAAGTCTAAAGCCTATACTTATAGTATAATACTAACTTTGAGCGTAGATCTCCTTTATATAAACCGAGCTATTCTATTCTACTACGACCGAGCTATTCTATTCTACTACGACCGAGCTATTCTATTCTACTACGACCGAGCTATTCTATTCTACTACGACCGAGCTATTCTATTCCACTACGACCGAAGCTACCGAGGCCATTCTATTCCGCTACGACCGAAGCTACCGAAGCTCCGTACTAAGAATACCGCTTAAGGCTTTCGATAGCTAGATAGCTAGATAGCTAGCAGTCGGCGAGGTAGGTAGGCAGGTAGGCAGGCAAGGGAACAGGGTATACTAAGCGTACTAGGTAGCCTGTATAGTATACTATAATCGTATGAAATAAAGCAACCGTATAAATGTCTAAACTATATAAGAGCCTAAACCGTAGATCTATATATACTATAGATCTATATATACTATAGACTAACTCGTACTATAGACCTACTTCTATAGTAGAATCCGCTTCTGCTATAGAGACCCACTTCTTCTATAGAGGCTAATTATTAGCAGCCTTAGCAAATAGCACACCGATTTCAATAGTATCTTACTATAAATAGCACCGCTTTAGAAAACCGGAGAAATGCTGTTATTTAAGCCTACAGTTGAGATTATTATATCGCATATCTACAGTATATCTACGGTTTAGACTGAGCACAGGCCCCGCAAAGGGGCTTAATCCCCCGAGCGCAGGCGAGGGGTGAAGTGGACTGATGGAACCCCGGATAGGGCTGGCTGACAGTCGCGCGAATCGCGATTTTGGAATCATCTGTACCCGAACTGCTCCTCCTGATATCCAGCGACAGCAGAATGCTGACAAACAAGCAGTGTCACGGGAATGGGCAGCCGCCACGGCCATGGCATTGTGAAGTTCACAATAATAACAGCCTGGCTGGCTGCAAGCACGACCAGCACAGCACCTGGGCAGTACATACGAAGCAGCTGGCAGATCGGCGTGTCCGCGTGGTAGGCCTGTACAGTAGCGACACCGCATGCGCATTCTGCCCTCGGCATCACATCGCCCTTCGGATGTCAGCCACGTTCTTGTGCAACATTCGCTTCGTATACAGCTACAGCTACAGCTACAGCGGCAACGACAGCAACAGCAATAGCTACAGCGTCGATAGGTAGAAGCGGCTGACAACACGGCGTTCTAGTGCCTAAAAAGTTGGCCGTGGATCATGTCTGTCAATTACGACTTCATTCAAGGTGCTGTGTTGTTGTCGTCCCCGCCCTCGCCCTCGCCCTCGCCCTCGCCACCGTCTTGTTTGTGCATAAATGCATGGTCATGTCGGATCGAACCGCGCAATAATGAATGCATGCCGGGGACATGCTCGACTCGGGACGGTATGATTACTCGTAAACAGGAATACGGCGACCAGCTGAAATGGAGCCGGCGCCAGTGTTACACCTGGCATACTGACGCTGTCAAGTGAATCGGCGGTCAACATTTCGCTGAACATCATCAGGTGGCACGCGGCACGCCCTGTGCCTTGACAACCAAAGCAAGCATATCACGCTCATGCGCATTGCTATTGGCGCGCAAGCGGCTGCACGGCAGGATTACCATGCGCGTCCGACTGTTTCGCTGCAGCGGACGGCCTGCACGAGTACTCGTTCGCTTCGATATCGCTAGGAAGCGTGATTTGCGGGCATGCAACACTCATGCCGTATTGGCGCAGCTGCCCGTATCAGAGCGACACGGCGCTCGTAGTAGGACCTCCGCGACCATTACCATTGATACGAGAAGTCCTTGAAAGATCCACACCCAACAGCCCCAAAACTATTCGCTCCCCCAGCACGTTGATTATGCTACCCGGCTCTGGAATCATGTGTTTCACTGACCGTGGACAAACAACGATGCAGTTATCTACATCAGCTGCAAGACCTGATCACAGGAGTCGGTACTCCCGTCATTCAACATCTCTGGAAAATGCAACTTACGAGTGTCCACGGTGCCAGTGACTCGCTCCTCCATATACACGGCGGTCCTGGTTTGAGAACCATCCACATCTGCCACGGGCCTATCCACATTAGCTCCATTTGCTCATTGCCTGTAGCCTGGTAGTGGCAGCCTGATCTTCATCTTCACTAGGAACATGGCACTGCATTCCATTTGCAGAGTTCTGATTTATCACATTCCGCTCGGGCTGGAAATTGGCCGTGTGCGGCCACTCGCCACCATCTTCAGTCAGCAGTCAGGATCATGAAAGTGCTGACCGTGGCATCTCCTTCAAATGGAATTCTGTTCTTCCCTCAGAGTTCCTCAAATACTGGCTGCAGAGTCTTTGACACCATCCCAGCAAGCGGACTCCTCTTGCTGCGGCATAAATCACGGCCGTCGACACGACGTGGCAAGATCCCCTGAGGGGCGGGCTGGCGAGATCGCTCATAGCTCGCTGATAGTGGCATCGATAAAGCCGTCACGAAGACAGATCGCAATTCTCCAGCAAGCCCGGTCTTATTCGGGCTCGACAACTCCTCATCCTTCTAGGCAAAGATCTCCCTCCGTTCAAGACAAGAGCTTAGAGTACGCCTCGTTTAGACACAATGCACGCCGAAGGTCCCAAGTCGGTCGACAATCCCAAAGGCGAACAGCTACGCCCGAGTTTTATGCTGCCTGAGGGACATCTCGATAGCGCACACGCGGCCGGGAGACTTCGTGTGGTCGAGATGCGAGCCATCCGAGCGTCTATTGAGATTGCAACTCGCAATAAACATCTCGTTAGGCTTGAGTGTCGCTGCGGTCTTGCTCAATCACCGTCCACGCGTGGCTCGCTAGTACCATATAATATGAACGTGTGCAAAAAACTCTCAACCAGCTTCAGCAAGTGCGTTCTAATCTCTCTGCCGCGAAGAGCCTACTCATCAGCGAAGTCAAACCTATATCGGTTTTGCATGTAAAAAGGACAAACCCCATCCGGTCACGCCTGCGTATTTCTCAGCACTACTGGGTTTCTCGGGTTACGTGAGAATGCCAAGAATAGCAGAGCCTTAGCGCCTCCCTATGTATTTTACTAGGTAGAATGCTCCTCTTATACTTAAATAGACCTTATATCGTATCCCTATACCGCTAGAAGATAATAGTTATATAGCTACCGCCCGAGCTAGTAGATATAGTATTTCTTTATAGTACTAGTTACCTCCTAAAGTAGTATTTCGAGATGCCGCGAGGCTAGTTACCTACCGAAGACGCGAAGTATATAAGTCGATTAAAAAAGCTAGTCGAGAAGGAGTTACTAGTATATAAGAATACTATCGATAAACGCGAGTCGTCGCCTAAGAAGGCTATAAAAGTAAAAAAGGGCGTAACGAAGAAGAAGACCGTAGCGTAGGCGCTTCGAGAGTTAATAGACTCGCTAGTAAACGATGCTAATACTTACCGGCGCTTCGCGTAGTAGTAGAAGGATAATAAGGACGCCTCGACGGCGGTAGATATTAATATAAGTAGACAAGTTAATAAAGGTAAGTTAACGCAAATAGGCGAGGCTTTACCTAGAAGAAAGTAGTTAGCGCTACGGCTACGGCAACGTAAAATTAATAGTATTTAGATAGATAAGGACGATATAGAGACTAAATCTAGCGATAAGCGTAATATCTTCTAATATAAGCAAACCTAGCGCTTATATACCGGCAAAACCCTCGTCTTATCGTTTAACGAGGATCGTACTAGCTAGTCTACTCGCTTCGGTAATAATGCTTATCGCTAGGCCGTCGATAAGGCGTAGAAGAAGGGGTTATTTATTAGTAACCGCTTTGTCGTTACTACTACTAAAATAGTAACGAAGAAGAGCGAGTTTAAAGAAAACTTTAACTTAGGTAGGTAACTGCTTATAGCGGCTAGATTCTTAGCTAATACTGCCTTAGCGGATATATACGAGAAAGGCCTTAAAGCCGCATTTAAGTATAGAAACGATCCGAAGAATATTAGCACTATCCGTATAGATATAGAGTTCTTTACTATAGCTAAAGACTCGCCTCCTATCGCTCTACCGAAGTCTAAGCTAAAGCCTAACGACTAGCAACTTATCGAGAGTAATACTTTTATTACTAAGAAGCGTATAACTAGAGGTAATCGAACAGCTAAGATTAAAGCCGACAACATATGCCTTATAGTAGGCTGTCCTAATATTAACAAATAGTACTATCTTCCGCCTAACTTGCCGGACACCTAGAGGCATTATTTATAGCTTAGCAACTACTCTTTTAAGCTCTAGAGCGAAGCCTATATCGCTAGCGAAGAAGGCGTTACATTAAAGAACCCGCCTTAGAAGGCTATTAATTAGATAAAGTTGTTTACTAAGAATAAACGAGATAAGCCGAAGAAGGAGCCTGCTTTACTATAGCCTCTAAATCTATATACTCCTTATCGCGGTATACCTATACCTCCGGTTAATTACTCTAAGCTTCTTAAGATAGCATTTAGCCTCGCTACTAGCTTTGCTAATTAATAGTATATCTAGCTAGGTTTAAGCTTAACTTTAGCTTCTTAGTCTTAGTCTCAACCTTAGTAAGAATTACCTATTCTAACTAGAGTTGCTGCTATACTTAGTACGCCGCTACGAAGTCTTCTACGATAGTTCTTTAAGTAGGTAGCAAAGCAACCGGAATAGTTAGAAGCAGAAGACAGTAAGCAGCTTATTAAGATAGAAGATTACTTTATAAAGGAACGATATAATTGTAATTAGATATATACGCTGTCGATAAAGATATAGAAGGAGCTAGGCTTCTTTAAAGGCGACTATAGCTCTATAAGAGATAGCCTAAAGCGCTTTTAGAAGCAGAAGTTAGCTAAGAGGAGCGGTTAGCTTATAAGGCGATTACGATATTTATAATAGAGAAATAGCTACTTTTATTAGGCGAGATTAAGTAATAGTTTACTACCAAATTGATGACTTAACGGCCTAATTTATCCTCCGCTAGATATGCTATAATCGCCGTCGTCGCTATTAAGATCTCCGCTAAAATTTCCGGAAGTACGTAGTATATATAAAGCGGGACTATCCGCTTTACGCCTAGTAGCCTCCCTTACGTTCTTATACTACTATATTGCAATATTATAATAAGAAAATTAATACGGAGCTTTAGATATATATTCTTAAGGAGCTTATTAATTTTTATAATATATTATAGACGTAGTATAGTGCTATACTAGCAGAGTGTCGAAGCTAAGTAATATATTATCTAGCTTAACTCTATTAACGTTGTAACCGCTATATTTAAAGAGTTTACGCACATCTATACTAGCAATATAGTCTAGTGCCTATACAAGAAAGTTAGCAAAGTTAGCGTATTCCTTCTATCGGTCCTTATTCTTCTTTATCTATATTTTAAGTACGTTAAAGGTCTGTTCGATTAGATTAAGATCTAGTAAGTATAGCGGCAAATACTCGAGTCTATAGCTAGCTAAAGTAACAATATCTTCTACGTTATCGCTATAGTAGATTAAGCAGTTATCTATAACAAAGATTATATTACGACCTTTAAGAAGAGGTAAAACCTTATTCTCGAGCTAGTTATCGAATATAACTTAATCTACGGCTCCTTCTATATATAGAGTATAAGGTAGGTATCTATTAATAGTTAGAGCCGGTAATACTAACATCCTCTTCTATCGCTATATATACTAGAAGTCGTAGCAATCTATACCCTTTAGAGACTATCTATATTTGCGGTATATAGTCTTCTTATTTAAAGCAGTCTTATCTATAAACACTAACTTCTCGATAGGCTAATCTTTATACTTCTCGCTCTAGACCGCCCTATTCTTCGTATTACGCTCTAAGGCGATCTTGCGCGAGGCTTTACGGCTCTAGTTTATTACCTTCGTAAGAGTACGGTAGATAGTCTTTAGCGATACTATTATATCGAAGTTGTCGTATAGCTTGTAAGCTATTTCTTCGAGGTATGCCTCCGGTCGATTAGTTAAGTACTAGTATTCTTCTAGCTACTAGCGCTTATAACTTAGTAGAAACATTAACTTTCTATTAGTTTACTTACCTTACGCATCTCCGCCGTTATCGCTAATTGCGGACCCGATTTGCCTCGAATTAGGTAGTAACACTCGCTAAATAAGTTATAATTTATATACTATCGATATAGCGTCGAAACCGCGACTCCGGACTTCTTATAGATATCCTAAATGCTAAATCCGCCCTCGAATAGCTGCTTTACCTTTACCTTAGTCGCTAGCGGCATTTTAGTACTATAACTATTACGACGCGCCGGCGGCGCCTTACCTTACGACTTTCTACGTATTACTATTGCTATAAGAGATAGATAAACAATACCTTAGAGGGCTCTATACTATTAAAAATGCGACAATACGGTATATTAAGAAATGGCGGTGCGTAGCTCTGCGGAGGCTTAGCATTCTTACGTAACCCGAGAAACCTAGTAATAGAATTCGAAGACTATTTCCTATACCTGTATCTAAAAGACTAAAAGGTATAGTTAAATTAAAAAAAGGTATTCTATGCCCTTTATTTCTTTGTTAAAATCTCTATATCCGTATATCGCGTTCTTTTAAAAATATAGGTCGAAGGACTTGGAGGAATTCAGTCAACTTTGCGAGGAAAGAACACGAGTCATGTGCTTGGGTGGATCCACTAACCCGTGGTTGGCAGCATTTTGTGTTTTATACGCGACAGGCCGGTGTTTCGGGCAAGTTACTGTACCGAGGCGCATACTCGTCTTTCTGCAACGACATTATACTCCGCAGTACCTCGCAGACGGAAGAATTCACAGCAAGACTTTGGTCCTATCCCCTTAACGAATTCCTTGGTTAAGTCCGACGAACTAAAGTGGAGCAAGAATTGCTATTAAATGCTACATACGGCTTAAATCTGATCGATTCGTGCAATCAGAATCACCGCTCTAGTCGACATCCTAGTTTAGCCGACGAACGCCGGATGGCGACGAGTTTTCACAGGGGATCGCGTCAGAACCATGTCGCCTGCTCAGACGGAGTAGATGAACATCTCCATGTTGTATACAAGCTCGACAGAACCCGACGAAAATGTGTTTCTACGGCGCTTGACATCGCAACTTCCTTTTCTGTTGATGCTGCTCTCCGGATGATAAAACAGTTCCTCGCAGTATATTCCCGCATTAGGATCGACTACCATAACGAGCGGCACCATGAAGACATTTTTCGCCCTCTGGCCATTGCTCGGCATTGCCGCAGCCGCAGGCCGCACGAGCGCTCCATCTGGAGCTCTCGTTGTCGGTGGTAACGGCACTTACTCGACGATTCAAGCCGCAGTTGATGCCCTGTCGACCTCGTCATCAGAGGAGCAGATCATCTTCATTCACCCCGGCACTTACAAGGAACAAGTCTACATCGATTCACTCAGCGGCCCATTGACCATCTACGGCTCCACCTCAGACACTTCCTCGTACGGCTCCAACGAAGTCATCATCACCGCGGGCGAGAGTCAAGAGACACAATCCAACAACGACCTTACAGCCACACTCCGTGTCCACACCAGCGGCTTCAAACTCTACAATGTAGATGTTGTGAACAGCTATGGAAAAGGTAGCCAAGCATTAGCACTTTCCGCCTACGCAGAGGTAAGCAGTCGTCATATATGCATGTTGAAGAAGGAGTCAGAGCTGACACGCAAGCTTCATGAACAGCATCAAGGTTATTACGCCTGTTCTTTCACCGGGTACGTTCCACATCTTCTTGGAAAATATCGAAATCCTTCTTGCTGCTAACAACGCCTCGCTCCAGATACCAAGACACCATCCTCGCACAAATTGGTGCACAGATATATGCCCAGTGCTACATTGAAGGAGCCACAGACTTTATCTTTGGACAAGAGGGCCAAGCTTGGTTCGAGGGGTGCGTTGTTCCCAAACATATCCAAGCTTCGATGACAAAAGACTAACATTGATTTCTCCTCTTGTAGATGTGACATTGGCGTCTTGGAAGCGTCGCAAGGATACATCACTGCTTCAGGAAGAGACTCTTCCAGCAGTGCCAGCTATTATGTGATCAATAAGTCATCCGTTGCGGCGGCTTCGGGGAACACGGTTTCGAGCGGAGCATACTATCTCGGAAGACCCTGGAGACAGTATGCTCGCGTTGCCTTCCAGGATACTGCGCTCTCGGCGGTGATTAATTCTGCTGGGTGGTCAATTTGGAACAGTGGCGACGAGAGAACCGATAATGCTGTATTCGGAGAGTACGGCAACACTGGACAAGGAAGTGAGGGTACCCGAGCGGCTTTTGCGACTAAGTTGAGTGAGCCAGTGGGCATTGCTGATGTGCTCGGAAGCGACTATGCCAGTGCTGCTTACTTTGATGCAGATTACGTAGGGTAGCTCTGATCTACTTGGACATATAGACTTCGCTTCGTCGGATGGGCACGGCGTGCTCATAACTGATGTTGTAGTATTCTACACGTCACCTTTTTATTTCGCCAGCAGGTATTCTCTTTGGTACAGCGTCTTCAAGACACCATAGACACCGCTTACAGGCCAGACGTTCCAGACTATGCTCTTCGCCCAGCCAGTCCATGTCGAAGTATCGAATCTGCCGGAAGCTTTGGTCAAGTCGACCGCAACCTTTTGGTACACATCCAGCAGATATGTCGCGTGGTATTTCTCCCGTAGAGCATCATACCATTTGCGGTCGTAAATTGACCAAAACTCGTCCTCTGTGTAGAAGGCTTGAGCGTAAAGCCATTTAATACCCCCAAGCTCACGCACTTTCTGCTCCAGCCTTCTATTTTCCTGAATGAACTTGCTGTAGTTTGTCGAACCAGGACCCCAAACTCCAATATTGACAAATGAGACAGCTTTGTCATCGGATGTCAGCTCTGGTGCCAGCTTCGGATGGAGTGGGACTTCTTCGCCTCGTTTGAGAGGACATAGCCATAATGGCTGAAAGCCAAACTCTGTGTCGACGAAGTCGACGAACTTTTCGACTCCTCCTCGTGGGAGCAGAAGATCCTGGACGATGTACTTGGAGGCGTGCCCAGAGGCGTGCAGCGCGTGATACATTACCCGAGTATGCATGAAATAATCCAAGGCCCATCTCGTGATCCTGTTGAATGGCACCAGGAAATATTGGTAAGCGTATTTGCCAGTCCAGAAAGCGCCTCTGTCATAACGGAAGAGATAATCCTTGACAAGAGTGGCCTCCTTGATCTCTGCAGAGCTACTGCCAGTCGTTCTGTCTACATGAATGTAGAACCACTATAAGTCACACGAAGGGTCAGTCAGCAGATGTGTGCGAAGTAATCAGAAGTGCGGCGGGTCCCATACGTACCGGGTCGGCTGCTCTGCTGAAGCTCTTCACTTTGACGCCAGGGGACGGTTCATCCACCAATCTTCCAGTCACAATGACACCTTTCTTTGGACCGTATTGTATACCATCAACGTAGTCGTTAAGCGGATCATTAACAACGGAGGCCATCTTGGTCAAAGCTTCTGCAATGGTATTGACAGGGTGATAGGTCATCTCAACGTAGCGTTTCGATTTGATAAGCCTGAGCTCGAAAAGCGTTGCGACTCCCAGGGTCCCGAAACTGCCTGCAGCTCCATGGAATAGATCTTCTCGCTCAGTGGGCGATGCTCTCACAATCTCTCCATTCGGCAAAACCATCTCTATCCAGTTTACGATCCGATCGAAGAAGCCATACTTGAAACCACTGCTCTCGCCTGCTGTGCCTGCAAAGCCTCCACCAACAGTGATCCCAGGAAACTCCATAACAACGGGTGGGAGAAGGCCATAGGGAGCCACAGCGTCAACCAATTCGTCCATGGCCACGTTCGGCTCCGCCAAGCAGGTCATCTTTTCGAGATCCACATTGAAGACATGATTCAATTTGGACGTATCGACAACGGTATTGGGGTCAACCTTGCGAGTCTGAGTTGTATTGGTGGAAGCATGGTATAGTCGAAACGGGACTTTTCGTTCGTAGAATGATGAGACTCTGGATACTATTGCCTGGACAGCTTCCTGGTGTGTCTCCATGCCGGCGACGAGCATGTTACGAACGTGTCACGTGGTCGAGTCCAAGGACGTGACGATGCCACTGCTATCAATCGACTGGGAGATGCAGATGTGAAAGCAAAACAGGATAAGGTAGGCAACGTCATTTCTTTGCATTGGGAAAGTGAAAGTCTGTCTCGGAGGGAAGCGACGGATGGCAGAGCCAATCACAATCCTGGTTCCGCAGTCGTTCCCACCTCCGCCATGATTGCGCTGACGTCTCGAAGAAACCACACCAATCCCACGGACCTCAGCCAACTCGGGTTGCTAAACACTACATACACTGCTCACGACAGCACAAGACTCGTGTGAGAACAGTCTCCTCCCTCCCGAGTTCCATATGCGGGATTGTATGTGTCCGCGACAGGTTCCTGTGAAGCAATGCTGGCAAGATCTGCGCTGTCTCCATAGCATAGCTTGTCAAAATTTGGTTGACTTGCGATTGCCATCACACTCCTGGAGGGAGACCTGATCATGCTGGGGCTTATCATGCCTCGTACAGCATGGTCCACACACTATCTTGACAAGGCAATGTCGTCGATGCGCAGAATCATCTTCACCGTCTCACTTGCCAGCTCGAATGCGCTCGTGCTGACCAGCAACGGCTGCATGACTCCTTCTCCAGATGCGCTCTTGTCGTCTCCGCCCATGACGCCCACGCCACCACGCTTGATGCTGACACCAACGTTCTTCTCGCCCTTTGTATGCCGTGCTCTCAATTCCGTCACCACCTTGATGCTGTTCAAGCCTGCATTCTCCGCCAGTGTGACTGGGATGATCTCCAGCGCATCGGCGAATGCCTTGAAGCACACGCTGTCAGGATAGGGCGATGTTAGCGCGTCTTGGCTCAGTTGCGTCGCGACTGCCATTTCTGGAGCACCGCCTCCAGGCAGGAGAGCTCGCTTCTTGACAAGACAGCGAATCACGCACATGGCGTCGTGCAAACTTCGCTCGGCCTCGTCAAGGATCAGCGTGTTGGCACCTCGTGCCACGATCGAGACGGTCTTGGGGGCATTCGGATTTGGATGCTTGACACCCGAGACTCGCACGTAACGAGAACCCAGGTTCGAAACCTCCTCGACCAAGTCTGCCGTGCCCAGCTTATCTTCGGTGAAGGAGTCGATGTCGGCGATCGGTTTGCAGCCTGTCGACTTGCAGATGAATTCTACTTCGTCTCGCTCGATATCCTTAACGCACATTATGCCTAGCTTGTAGAGGAAGTGTAGACTCAGGTCGTTCACAGCGTCCCTGAGGATGCTCTTCTGAATGAAGAGCACGTTGCATTTGGCCTTCTTGATTTTCTTGACCATGTTGAGGAGGTATGTTCGTTCTTCTTTGAGAATCTTGTCCATCTGCCTGTAGTCATTGACCACAATCTGATTCTCCATGTCTGGTTTTGGCGGACTGAGCTGGAATTGGATGAGACCTATTCTGGCTTTCTCTATCCGTGTGGGACCACCTGCACTCTTGATTGCTTGTTGGCTGAGGACCAGCCCATCCACCATTTCGGAATCATCGATCACACCGCCAGCCTTCTTGAGGATCCGCACGTTCCGTAAATCGACATTTTGAGCGTTTTGTGGGTTGATGGTTCGCAGGACAGCATCAACTGCCATAGGAGCCAGCTTGGGTTCTTGGGAGACGATCTTCGAGGAAAGCGATGTGGAGGCAGCTTTGAGGAGAGTTTGGCGGTCGGCAAGATTGATGGGAACGGAGATTTCTTCTAATATCTCTACTGCTCGGGCGGCAGCTCTCTGGAAACTCTCGCTGATGATTGTTGGGTGGATGCCTTTGGCGAGGAGACGCTCGGCCGCGCCTAGTAAACTGCCGGCAATGACAACGACTGAAGTGGTGCCATCGCCTGCCTCGATGTCTTGAGCATTTGCCAGATCCACGAGCATTTTCGCGGCGGGATGCATCACGCTCATGTCCTTGAGCATGGTGTTGCCGTCGTTGGTGATGATGGTCTCGCCTTTGCCCGTCTGAATCATCTTGTCCATACCACGGGGACCCAAAGAGGTGCGAATAGCATCTGCGACCGCTCTGGCAGCGGTGATGTTGGCTTCCCTTACTGCCTGCGGCTTGGCCTTGTCCTTGAAGGCATTGTTGCCAGCGTTGGCCGGCGCTCCTTGCGCCATGTTTGATGTATGAAGTGCACCTGGTTCCGCGTGTATTATATATGTACTTCCGGTGAATGTGCGGGTGTTTCTAGGCGTGGTGGTGCTGCGTTTGCGTGGACGTGTGGACGTGTGTTTGGATAGACAAGAATTCTGAAGCTCTCTGCGCGATGCACGTCGGCAACGCCTTCGTCACGCTCCGATGCCTGCAGCGACAGTGCACCTACGAAGCTCTCACTACCAACGGACTACCAACTTCGACCTTTAGGTTACCACTCACGACATCGCACTTTGGCTTTCATCACCGCGCACATCTCTCCTCCATCTCGGACCCATCCACCCTCCGCACCAGCTCTATACGATCCCGACCCTCAACAGTGACGCCTACACCATCCAAACACCGCCGCGATGCCATCGGCGACAGGCCAGAACTGGGAGAAGTACCAGAAGAAGTTCGCCGACGACGAGCAGGAAGAGAAGAAGATCACACCGTTGTCTGATGAGTATGTTGTGCCGCCTTGCGCCGTGCACTGCGAACATGGTGGCTAATAATCACACAGGGACATCCAAGTGCTCAAGACATACAACTCTGCCCCATACGCCACAGCACTGAAAGATCTGGAGAAAGCCATCAAGGAGAAGCAGACGTCAGTCAACGAGAAGATCGGCGTCAAGGAATCAGACACCGGACTCGCACCTCCGCATCTATGGGACATCGCCGCTGACCGACAACGCATGAGCGAAGAGCAACCATTACAAGTCGCGAGATGCACCAAGATCATTCCCGATGAGAAGGACAGTGAGAAGAGCAAATATGTCATCAACGTCAAGCAGATCGCCAAGTTCGTCGTGAACCTTGGAGACCGAGTGTCGCCCACAGATATCGAAGAGGGCATGCGCGTGGGAGTAGACCGGAACAAGTACCAGATCATGTTGCCTCTTCCGCCCAAGATCGACCCGAGTGTCACCATGATGACCGTCGAGGACAAGCCCGATGTCACCTATGGAGATGTGGGTGGCTGCAAAGAGCAGATTGAGAAGCTACGAGAAGTCGTTGAGATGCCGCTCTTATCGCCAGAGCGCTTCGTTAACCTGGGCATCGATCCACCAAAGGGTGCTCTGCTTTACGGTCCTCCAGGAACCGGTAAGACGCTTTGCGCCAGAGCGGTGGCTAACAGAACTGATGCCACATTCATCCGTGTCATTGGGTCCGAGCTTGTGCAGAAGTACGTCGGAGAGGGTGCACGAATGGTCCGCGAGCTCTTTGAGATGGCGCGCACGAAGAAAGCATGCATCATTTTCTTCGACGAAATCGATGCTGTCGGAGGTGCTCGTTTCGATGACGGCGCAGGCGGAGATAACGAAGTTCAGCGAACTATGCTGGAACTTATCACACAACTCGACGGTTTCGACAGCCGGGGAAATATTAAGGTCATGTTCGCCACTAACAGACCTAGCACACTGGACCCAGCTCTCATGAGACCCGGTCGAATAGATCGAAAGATCGAGTTTTCACTGCCCGACATGGAGGGTCGTGCCAACATCCTGCGAATCCACGCCAAGTCCATGTCAGTAGAGCGCGACATCAGATGGGAGCTCATTTCGCGTCTGTGCCCGAACTCAACCGGTGCTGAGCTGCGGTCTGTAGCTACAGAAGCTGGCATGTTCGCCATTCGCGCGCGAAGAAAGGTGGCTAGCGAGAAGGACTTCTTGAGCGCTGTCGAGAAGGTCATTCGAGGAGGACTCAAATTCAACTCGACCGCAGCGTATGCCCAGTACAATTAGGGGACTTGCTTGACCCGTCCGATCGGAGCATTCACTACAGCGCGGCGTTGATTTACATGTACTAGGCCCAGACCCACAGCTCCAAGGAAGAGCTTGTACGATTATACTTACTAGAGATGGGAAGTTCCCAAACGATAGCGTGTATCTCAGGACTCACGGCTACGATATGAAAATACAACACCGATGCTTGTCACCGCTGCGCTATATCATGGCTGTCGGCCGGCTCCTGCTCAGCCGGCCGATGAAGCTTCCTGTCTGAACTCAATTTTCCGTGCAGCTAAACGACGCTCCATCATGTGGGTTTCCATCGTAACAACGCGCGCGCTTCGACACGGCTCAGTTCGCCTCGAGAATGCTGTTTCTGATGTAACACCGATCGCTGTGCTATTATGGCCGCTTCGCGAGTTCTTTCCGGCTACTTAGCGGCGACCCGTGCGGCCTTGGTCTTGGTCTTGGTTCGCATTGAGGCGCAGCCGGCTTAGCAGCTATCCCGCCTGCACTTCATGCAGCCTCGTTGGCCTTACACCAGGCAAGTTCTGCACCAGGCATTCGTTCTTTCACCAAGCGAAGTTTTTCGGCGGCCCTTCCGCTCACTCACGCTTACAGATGACAGGTTGAAGTCCAGTCAAAGGACGGAATCTCCATGTGAAAGGGTCCCAAAACTCCAGGAGCTCGGCTTAGAGTATCAACCTTAGCGAAAACAAGGCGACTATAGGCGCAATCAGGACGTCTGCCAGAGCTCTCAATTCCGGGTCACCTCCTGATATGGTGCTGAAAAGCCGCCATGTCCTTCCTGGATGTCACATAGCCTGCTGATCCTTTGGGGGCGCTTCAGCGCATGACTGGAGCGAACGGGTGTGCTTCCAATCAATGTCGATCTACAGTCTGCAGGCTTTTAAATGCATTATACCGGTCGCTGCACTCCGCATGTTGGCTCTACCATTCCGATCGCCCCGATGTGCATATACCATCTATATAGCACATACACATGGCTGAAGCTTGTGGAGACATTTGAACTGCTGCACAGCCTTCCGTCGGCTCTCCTGGTGATAAGCCGCTGCACTCTGATGCCATCATTACCCATCCTGCTCGAGCGCTATCGGATGGTCTAAACAAGGCAGACAACATGAATGACTCTTCGAAGCTCTCGATTGTGAATACAAGCCCTCTTCGTGACTGTCATTCACGTTGCAATTCTATGACCACTGCAATTCTTCCCCTTCTTGACCCTCGCAGCGATATACGATTGACCCCCACCTGGGCAATAGCATACATCTATCTTCAAAGGAGAGCACCCGACCCTACATAGTATATTAATCAAAGGAACAAATCACATCAAGATGGGAAGCAATGCGCATCACACAGCAAATACCAACGAAAACGATGAGTACAGAATGGCGCAACGACAGCACGACATGATAGCAGAAATCCCGACCAACGTCGATCGCCATCGACCACCGGTCAGAAACGACGATAATGCATATCGCTGCGCTTGTAGGTGTGGCTGCCAATGTAATTGTGGCTGCACATGCAATCGTGCCTCAAACGATATCGATCTGACCGAAGCTGTGAATGGCCAAGGCTCGAACATCCAGCAACACCACCACTACAAGTCCGCAGAGACCGGAGACGAATATGTGCATAGTCCAGAAGGCGCGGAGGATCATCTCATCGAAGTCGGCCATTTCGGTCATATTCCAGAGAAAGAGATCTTGCGAGCTTTATCCAGACACAGACGTCACCACGGGATCTTACCCTCTGAATACTCACCTTTCACAATTCCAACCGCAAGCTCGATGATTGTGGAGGCTAGTAATGACAGTGACGACACTGCTTCTTCGGTACTCAGTCATCTGAGCTACAGATCTGCTGGCTCTTCTTTGCTTGGCTATACAGGTCATTGGCTTGATCAGATCGGCATGACGACTTTCACAAGTGGACTCAGTACTGTGTACAATCCTCTGGTCTTGACCCCGGACTATCCTGTTCAACTCGAAATTAGCGAGCGTGATCTTCGTGATCTGCCGAGCTTCGATTCAGGGTTTTTGTGGGAGAAGATTTGAGAGGTCGGCCATGTCCATGTTTTGACGAGTTTCGTGATCCTTTGCTGTGATGAAGACAGCACGATGCCCGTGCCTTTTACGCGGTGTCCCGTTTGTATGATCACGATTGGACTATTTTGGAATGTTTTAGGAGAGATATAGTCAGCGATATCAAGACAGAAATGACATTTGCTGCATCTGTATGTACAGGGTGGTTTCTCACAATGTTCCGTTAAGCCGACAGTCCTTGAGTACTTCTCGTATACAACGCCAAACACGTTGATGATATGCTTACTTTAGGACATCAGTCTTCAATGTCATCATCTTCTAGCACAAGCTTGTCAACCCGACTTTCCATCGGAGGAAGCTTCACTCCTTCGAAGATAACAGGAGGCTTCTCTGGCCGGCGTCGTTTCCGCGGTGTCGTAGGCGCCCGGTTGGAGTCAACATCAGGCCGGTCCGTAGACCACTGCTCAACGTTTTCGGCCGCTTCACCCTCCTCCATATCTGCTTCGTTGTCGTCTCCTGGTAGTGAAATACCATCGAGGCGTGTTATTGCGGTGACTTGGTCGCATAATGAGCGCGAGAGTAATGAAGCCTTTGGTCCACTCAAGATCTGGGCCAAATAAGGCAGCCGATCCATCAGCATCTCGTGCTTGGCCTCCTTGCTGAGTTGGGGCTGGACATCAATATCTTGTTTACCCCCGGCATGATTGGCCGAACTCAACGACGAATTGTTCCTCCAGCCCTCGACCCCATTGGTGGACTGAGACTTCGTGGCTCTTGATTTAGCAGCGCCAGCAGCTCCCTTATCTGCTAGTTTACGTGTCACTACATCGAGTTGCTCCTCCAGTTCTTCTCGCTTTCGCCAGAGCCTGAGCGATGCTGGGTAGAACATCTTGAATGCATCGCCTCGTCTTCCGTTAGTCGGTTCCGCACGATGGACAGGATACGGCAGGCTGAACAAGACACCTCGAACAGCCACCTGGAACGCGAGCTCATCTTGACGCAAAGTGTCGGCCGCTGATCCAGAAAACGCTCTGGTGCCGAAGGAAATGCGATCAAGAGACATCAGATCGGCGTCTGACATATTGTCAATGCATCCACTCATGCTGTCCAGGGTCTCTTCTGCAGACGCGCTACCACAAGACAAGACGTAATTCTCGTGCAGGGAGGCCACAAATGTAGATGTGTCCGTGCCGAGCTCATCGATCAAAGTGTCCGGATTCGTCTCGGGCATTTTGCTCCGCCGATGCTGAGGCAGCCAAGCTGGCGGTTGTGCGAGCCCACTTCGATGTTCTGGATCCGTTCGCTTATTGTAGACGACTTTGCCAACGGCGTGGAAGATTCCTAGACTGCTCTCACGATTGCTGATTAATTTCATGGCTTCTTCTTCCGCGTTCGTGAGAGGTGCCAGGCTCTTGGACAGTCTGGACGTTTTGGGCTTCGTGAAAGTGACCTTGCTTGACCACTGACCATCATCTCCACGCACGCAAAGGAATTCCAAAGACGAGACTGCACTTCTGATATCGCCGCTTTCAGCCAGACGTTCAATAATCTGAGGGCCTGGCGTTCGGCGACGGCCGGACTTTCGAGCCTCTTTCACCACGATTGTCTCAAGTGCTTTCACCATGTATGTATGTGCGATTGGGTTGAACTCGATAATGTTGATGTACGGGTTTGTGTTGAGCTCTGGGCCTAGAAGTCGATGGGCCGTGAAACTGTCCGCTGTGGCAGTATTTGTTGATAGTAAGGTCTCGGAGATGACCATGATCATAGGAGTTGGCATCGAATCGTTCGAGACTGTCGCAGAGACGTATTGTGCCAAGGTGGAGCGAAAGGACTGCAGTGTGCTCGATGTTCTTGAGAAAGTATTTGGAAACTCTTCAACGAGAATCGCTTGCGGTCGCTTCTTTCGATCGTTTTCCTCGCTGACCGGCGGTAGAAGATCCTTCGTATTCACATGCGAGCCGTTAGTCAATTTCAGTCCCGACAATTTGCCAGCGCGGACGACAAACTCCTCAAATCGAGCCGCGGCAGAGGTAGTGCCATCTGATTCCACAGCACCTGGATCTCGCCATTCGAGGAGCTCGATGCCTAGCTCCTGAGCAAGAAGTCGTACAGTAGTAGTCTTGCCAGTACCTGCAGGACCTTTGAGCACGAGGATCTTGTGACGCTTGCCTTTGAAAGTCGCTTCCAGCCACCCGCGAACGTCAGCTGCCTTGCGCTTGTGGACTGCCAATTCAGAGATGTCGGCGGGCGCGAATCTCTCGGTCCAGGGTCTCCCATCGTGCTTCAAATTGGACACAGTCGCCTTCTTGTCATCGTTGCTCGTTTGCCGGAATTTTTGAGTGGCTGCAGGTGGTAAGCTGGCGTCGTCCTCGAGGCTTTGAATACGACCGAATTTCCGCTTGCGAACGGCCAAAGCTGTACTTGAGCCTTGAGAGAGCGTGGTCGTCGAGGAGTCCTTACGCAATCCACCTTCGTCAGAGTCATCTTCGATAGCCTCCACTTCGTGGTGTAGAGCGGCAGCTTTGTCCAATCCGGGTGTACTTTGCGACGCTTGTTGTCGTTGTGTTGCTGCATTGAAGAAGGAATAGATTGGCTTGCCACTTTGCGTGGGAGAGTCCGTTGGGACGCCTCTCGTCTTAGACTTGCCTTTCTGTGGAGATGGCCGAGCTGTCTCCCTGCGACGTTTCGCTGGCTTCTGCGACGTGGCAGATGTTCCCACGCCGTCGTCGACCTTACCATCATCGTCGTTGCCGTCCTCGACATCTGATGACACCACCACCGCCTTCTTGCGGACAGCTCGCCGGGCCATCCTGTGTGGAAACGCCTATTGCGGCGCGGGGTACAGCCTCAGTCGCATCCCCAAGACGAGAGACGAGATGTCATTTGGGCTGATAAGGATAGTGTCCATGACCCCGAGGCAGCAGGCAGGCACAGCACAGACGAGGTGCTGATGTCACGTGAGCGTGTACCAAAAGTCGCAAGCTCTGCCATGCAATCCTCTTTCGCGTCCTCCAGTGTCTTGGTCCTTTCTACAAACGTCCTCGAGACATGTCCAAAAGACTCAGGACACTGGAAAACTTCTTCAGTCCGCCTCCGGTGAAAAGGGCAAAAGCAGAAAACGCTGGAAGAAACAGTGGCCAAGGACAGCATGACCCAACGCCACAAGAATACTCCAAACACCTCACGTATCCATTCTCAGTGCCAGGATTGCCTGCCAGCCTTAGAGATGCACTCAATTTCGCGCCAGCAGAAGAAGGACGCCCCATCAATGATCAACCCGATCTGGATCTTGTCTACTACCAGCCATACATCCCGAAGGAAGTGCAACGAGATCTGTTCCAGTTCTTACGAGACGAGCTTTTCTTCTACAGAGTGAAGTACACGATCAAGCGTGGCCCAGTCGATACTCAGATCAATACACCTCGATACACCACTGTATTTGGCATTGATGAGACGGCACGATTCAACCAAAACGGCGTGCCTGTAGATGCACTCACATCCAAGGTTTTGCCCAGAACAGCGTACAAATGCCAGCCTCGACCCATCCCTGACTGCCTAGACGTGCTTCGACAGCTTACCGAGAACGCTACGGGATGCAAATTCAACTTTTCGCTTGTGAACTACTATGCGTCCGGAGACGACAGCATTAGCTATCACAGCGACGATGAACGATTCCTCGGCGTTGATCCAGCCATCGCATCTTTCTCTCTTGGAGCAAAGCGCGACTTCTTGATGAAGCATAAACCTACCCCTGCCAAAGATGATTCTGAATCAACGCCGATGAAACTGCCGCTTGCTTCTGGCGACATGATATTAATGCGTGGGAAGACGCAGAGCAACTGGCTACATAGCATCCCAAAGAGAAAAGGCGGAGATGCTGACAAGGGCCGCATCAATATTACATTTCGCCGCGCTATGGTCAAAGGCGGCACTGAGAATTACTACCGCTACAATGTCGGCGATGGAGAAGCTTACAAATGGGACAATGTGAATCGAGAAATGAGTGTCTGGAAGCCCAGTTGAATTCTCACGACTTTGCTCTCCTGCCCAGAGAGTGTAGAGATATATACACTATTCTCACCAATGGAGCATTATACTTCAATGATGTGCGTGTATCTCATACGCATGGTCGATGCAGTTTAATTGGCGAGTGCACCAGAAGTGCTGCAAAATTGCCGAGAGCGATAAAATGCAACTTCGCTGCATGAGATTGCGTTTCACGGATCACACGCGTGCACAGGGGCTTGCTTGAAGATCAATCTGTACGACAGCGGTGTGTGCGACATTATTGCAAGAGATCAGCCCCAGGGGTTGGTGTCGGGTCAAGCGGTGAGAGGACCAGGTGTGCTTTGCAACAATGATCTCAATGGCACGCGAGCGGTGCCTGCTTGGGACCAGGAACCAGATTCTGGTATGCACGAGGCAACGACTAGGTGGTGCTCGGTGACAGGTCCGTTGGCGTTGGCGTCGGCGCTGAGGCAAGATTCGCAGGCGCATCTGCAGTGGCTGCAGCGCGTAACGGCATGATGCTGGGTTTGCGGAGGCGGAGGCTGCTGACGTGAGCGTGCTCCAATAAGACGTCTGCCGCGGTCTCTGAAACTGTCGACGTGATGCTGCACTGCACAGAAGACACGCAGACACGAGAGTCACAGCAAGGTTGTTCCGACGAATGGCGGATTGTGCTGCGCTCAGGGCCGGGGGGGTTTCGGGGCGGAGCGGAGCGGAGCGGAGCGGAGCGTGAGCTTCCTCCCAGCGCGCAGTGCAACGAGCAGGCACAGGGGGATAGATGATAGATGGTGTAGAAGCACGATGTCTATCGGAAGCGCACGATGGATGCTCCGCAGCATGATCGGATGTCCGCGCGTGCTGCTTTTGCTTTTGGGTGGACGAAGCACGTGCCGGGCCCCAGCAGGAGTCGTTCTAGGCTTCTAGCGCGAGCTCGGATTAACATTGACCAGCGCAGAACTTCAGCCAGGAGCCTCTCTCCTTTTCAGCCAATCTCTGTCTTCAGCCCAAACACCCAATCAATCGCGTTTGGGCAGAGCTCGGATTCTTGCCGTCGCCTGTGAATAATCACGAGCCAACAGAGTTGATACTGCGATACAGGTACGCCATCCCCATCACCATGCGCTTTTTGACGACGGTGACGCCAACCGCGCGACCGCGACCGCGACCGCACCGCGACCGCGATGCAGCACGACACATGGCGCATGACGTCGGGCACGAATAATGCCACGGCCATTGAGTGCGTCGCCAGAGACGATATGCTAACGTCGGTGCAGCCTTTCACGCCGCCCACACTCGACCAACACCCGCCCAGGTAAGTTGCGACACCAAAGGCATCGAGAGGCGCGCATCGCATTTTGCGCTCGAGCGGTCTGCGCAAGCAAGCGATAGCAACCGCAACAGCAAGCAACGACAACAACAACGCGCGGCAATGCGCCTTGACGCCTTCGCGTCCATCTCCATGCTGCCGCACCTCGATTATTTCCCTCCCCTCGAGCCCAGCGTCGTTCACTGTCACATGTGGCGCAGGCTTCGTCACAAATGTTATGCGCTGGCGACCGCCTCGATTGGATTTGATGCGCTGTCAAGCGCGGGCACTATGCAGCTCACCTCTGCCTCCCGCCGAATACTTGAAGCGCGTCACTAATGCTTGCGCCTGGTGCCTGTCTTCGAGAGTCTAGGAACTGTCGCTAATGTTTGGCCCAGTATTTAGTCTCCGTCACTGTTTCTCCGCAGCGCTGCGGTGCTGTGCCGCTGCCAGCCAGTGAGAGCTACGAAACACCTTCGACAACATACAATCCTCGTCCCAGAGCCCTTGTTGCGCCTCAGTGCCTGCGCCGCCTCGCCGTCCCAGAGCCCATTGCATCAGGCCAGCAGTGGCGGGAGCGGACCTTCCGAGAGGTCAACTTCACGCTGCATCCGCTGCAGGGAAGCTGGAGCTGCCTCTGGTCGCATCACTGTAGTAGCCCTTCCATGCGAAGCAGCCTTGGGCCGCCAGACAACACAGGCTGACAGCGCCTTCTCTCAGCTTAAGCTCGCCGCGCGCGCCATCGACCTGCGCCTCGCTCGACCCACGAACCTTGATTAGCCCTTCATCCTCGAACATCCATCATGGACTCATACGCGCAGTACCATCCTCAACAACCCTCTGCCTATCCACACGCCCACAACGGTCCCCAGAATCACGCTAGTCCAGTCATGCAGACTCAACCGCAGCCAAACTACGCGCAGCATCAACAGCCGCCTCAGATGGCACAGCAGCATATGATGCCTCAGATGGGCTATAATCCAGCGTATGGCATGAACACCCAGTATGGCGTTTCTCCCTCACAGGCCGCCGCCATGGCGACCGCTGCCGCCTCTGGCTATCCAGCCTACTCGATGCCAGATTCGTTGCCCGGATCCATGCCTCAAACGTCACCACGCCTAAACCAAGTCAAGACAGATGGCAGTATGCAACGGCCGAATCCGCAATCACCCAGACAAGGCCAAATGAACATCCCGAGCACCATGGCGACACAAATGCAGATGCCCTCGGCGCAACCGATGCCTCCCCAGATGCAGCAAGGCCAGATGGCACAGCAGCGGAGGATGTCTCACTCGGTCAACAGTCCTGCAGTGCAGAATCCAGGACAACCACCGATGGGTGCCCCACGTCCTCCAACTGCGAACCAGCAACCACAAGCTCCACCTCCGCCATCAGCCACGCACCAGCAATCTCCAGAAGTACCCGTTGCGGGTGCCAACGAAGAATCGCCACTTTACGTGAACGCGAAACAGTTCCACCGAATACTGAAGCGACGCATGGCACGACAAAAGCTAGAAGAGGCGCTCCGACTGACCTCAAAAGGTCGCAAGCCTTATCTCCACGAGTCACGCCATAACCATGCGATGCGCAGGCCGAGAGGGCCTGGAGGACGTTTCCTAACCGCAGAAGAGGTGGCGCAGATGGAAGCTAGGGAAGGCAATCTTGGTGGCGCCACCGACGCAAAAGGTGAAGACGACGGTTTCACAAATGGAACGGGAAGTGCTAAGCGGAAAGCAGACAACATGAGCAGCAGCGGCGCTAAGAACGATACCCCAACCAAGAAAACCAAGTTGGATGAGGATGAGGACGAGGATGAGAATGAAGATGGATGAGCTACCATCCAATTCGTGCTTCGATTCGTGTTAGGCCAGTTGTCGCGACGAACGTGGAAGACGATACTCGCAAATATGAGCATCGCATAGACTTGCGGCTTGGGATTTTTTCTTTTGTATGCATCTGGACAGATGGCCAACGGAACAGACAGGGAGGAAGACTGGAATTCGGAATACCCTCGCGCAAGTGATCATTTTGTGTTGATGATGTTACGCAGCGTCACTGGATCAGTCTGAATGTTTCATCGAATAGGCAGGAAGGTGGAGGAGTATCATGCTCGCGCAACAGGCGTTTACGGGAAGGAGTATACCCCTGTGCATCACAAAGTCGATTTCTCCGTCTGAACAAAGACGAATTTTGCAGGTGTATCAGTGCCATCGATATAGGAGAACAGAATGAACGGGCTCTTGAGTTTGACTGTGTCATGCTCGGAAAGAAGAATCTGGCTTCAGATATCTAATATGATCATGCGAAAGGCTGTAAATGACGAGCAGGCGAGGCAGATCTCAACACTGGGTCATGACGACTTGCCTTCTATTCTTTGATCAAAGCCCGAGTATCGTTGTCGCTGTGTATTGAGATTGGTGTTGATACGAAGGTCACATTGAGCGTGATTGGACGGACTTTACACACCTCCGAACTGCTCCGCATGCTGCCACCTCACGTCCAACCTGTATCTCCCACAAGCAATCTTTCAAAGCCCCCAAAAAAATGATCTGCCAAAGGTGCCTACGACAGCTGGCAAAGCGTAATGGCGTATCGTCAGTTAAAAGCGCCCGGAACTTCTCACATTCGACGGTGTCGCGATCACAAGCAGTATCCGCGCAGGAGACCACAGCAACGAATCCTCGTCCAAACGACAAGCCGGCCGCAACATCTACGTCTGCAGCACAACCTTTCAGCACACCTCTTACCCCCTCCGCCACCAAACCAAAGAAAAGCAAACAGCCCGCTCGCATCGCATCGAGCGTGCCCGCCGGAACAGTCTTGAAAGGCCTGAATTTCATGAAAAACAAACAAGATCCCATCGCGTTGGAAGACGACGAGTATCCCGCATGGTTATGGACAGCGTTAGAGAAGAAAGCAGACGCGACAGGCTCTGTAGGCGAAGACGCCGAGGGCGATCTCTTCTGTGCGTATAATTGAAAAAGAAAAAAAAATCCATCCGAGCAGGCAATAGAAATGCTGACGATAAAACTTACAGCGAAATCTAAAAAGCAACGTAGAATCGCCGCGAAAGCTTTACGCAAACAACAACTCCTCGACCCGGAATCGCTCGCGCCGAAAATTCCGCTGTATGAGCAGAGTATAGATTTGCCGTTTGGAGACGGCACTGTGCAGGGGAGTTTGCGGGCGAGTGAGGCTCGGGATGAATTGACGAGGGCTATGAGGCAGAAGAGGAGGAGTAAGATTAAGGAGGATAATTTTTTGAGGGAGATGAGATAGGTGTGTTTCTTTTTGATAGACGCTATGCTGCTTGGACCTATTGAGGGCTCGCAAGCTTGCGCAAAGCTGTAGATTATATGAAATTGCAAGAATTTGCGCTCGTCCCCATCCCGACCGAGAGGGATCTCTGGAAAGACGTGATGGATGCTTCGTTGCGATTTCTCCATCGTGCAGATTCGACCATCCAGAACCATCCGCTAGTAGCCCGGCGTGGCTGAGTTTCTGACTACGAATGAAGTAGCAGTACAGGCCTGGCGAACCAGGCCGGACACCTGGGTAGCCATGAGCTTTCGGATTGTGCTCTCTTGCGCCGAGACTTCTCCCGAGCACCACCACCTCAGCAATGTCGTAAAAATGAGACCATCGACAAAGCTAGGGTCGGAGCGTCCCTCAAGCTCCAATTGCTCAGCCCATTGACGCGAAGCACGAAAGAAACGGCAATGTGACCAGCACGTTACGATTCCACGTACAAAAGAAACCCCACTATTACGACAGGAAAGTACAACTCAATCCAACCACAAACGCCATATGCAACTCAGCAGGATGCGTCAAACCCCTCTTCTTGCGCTGACACACTTGCGCCTCCTCTGCCCATTATGCTGTTTGCTGCTGCTGATTGCCCTCTCGCTTCCACCTCCATCCCAAAACAAAAGAAAGCAACATTATGAAATCCGCTCCACCGCATCATCATACCTACCCCTCTCGCACGCTTCATGCTGCTGCCGGACTGCCGTTGCCAACGGACAAAAGGGAGGGGAGATTCAACATACCATGAAAGATTTGACGGACTAGGTCAACCGGTGACCACCACGTCTTCTGCTGCATTCCGTTTGCAATGGCAACACTCTTCAATGTGCTGTGGGCACTTGCGTTGGGACTAGAAAATGTCGCAAATGAGTCCTGTGGATGATCGAGCGTTTCTTCTTGCGCTCCTTTAGCATTCAAGTCCGTCAACGCTGCATAACAGGCATGGGAGAAGGATCTTACCGCTCGTAAAATTGTGATTATCGGGTGATGAGGTGGTGGTTGGTTTGACTTTGTGCAGCTTCCGAAGATCAGCAAGCAAGTCAGCGTCTTTGATCTGGTCGCCTTGAAGAAGATGCTTCGATACGCCGTTGCAGGCAGGAGTGAACGCAAAGAGAAGGCTATTGTGATGTGCTTTGACCCGCTGAAGATGAAAATCATGAGACTTGATATTGAGCTTGAGACGACTGCTTTTGGTCAGCTTCCATGCTTTCGTGCGAAGTGCAGCACAACCTACTTGATGAGGCCGTGATTAGCATTGGCTGGCGCGTTCTGCAGAGCGTTTCTCAATGTAGCTCTCGCATTTGAGAGGTTCTGCTGGGCGCTTTGAAGTTCGGCCTCGCTGTCGACAACGCTGGTGTGAAGGCCCTGGAGGAGCTGGATATCTTGCTGGTCGCGCGTTGCCGCCGAGACATTGTCTCCGTAAGTGTTGCAAAGCCCAGGCATCACTTTGGGATTGACAGAGGGTAATGTTGTGGAATCATCGCCGGATTCAAGCGCGAGACGTCGCGCGGTGTGCTCTTCTTGCCAGTCTGAGATCATTTGTTTCCGCAACGAAAAGTCTCGGCGCCACCAATGGTCGTCTGTCATTTCATCGTCAGAACTCTCTTCGGCGCATTGAGCGGCGTTCTGATTCCACTCAGCCTGCTTTATCTCACTGGCAGGGGAGGGATACCATGATTGTACTGGCGGATCGAGAAACGTGACCTTCTTGGGGCGACGCTTCGGAACGACGTTCTGCTGAACTGATGTGGCCGCTGCTGGCTGTGTGGAGGCTGCGGTGGCCCCTATCGACAAATCTGGCGCCGTGTTGTCGATGATCACCATCTGGAAGTCATTGATCATATCAGGCGTTGACAGTGCATTGAGCGCATCCTGTGGTATAACGATGCTCAAGCACATGGTGCTCGTGGATTCATCGTAGTCGTGCATATGATAAGGTCGTCCTCCCTACGAACGGACAGTCAGCAAGGATCCTGAAAAGGTGATGGATGACAGCTTACGGCTTTCGACATCTTATCCTTCATAACGTTCAAAAGTCCGCGGCATTCGGTGGAAGTGCCTCGGAACACCACATCGATGTCACGCAGTTGGTGATCACGAAGGTGCTGTGCCTGCAAGAGAACGAAGTCAGCAAATGTCTCGACAACCAGTCGCTTTCACGTCACTCACCCATCGCGCGCGCGCCTGCGGAAGAATTTTGGCCAGCGTTGGGCCTGCTGGCCACTGCGGGACTCTGTCTCTTGGAAGCGCTCCTTGTCCAGAGCGCGTTTGTCCAGGGCGCGGCGTCTTGTCGTCCACTTTGATCTCGTCGACGATCTCCTTGCGCTCTTCGGGCGTGACTGTATCGAGGACAATCTCGGTGATGTGATAAGCGGAGCGGCAATTGCTTTCGAAGATGCGATGATAAAGCACGGTCTTTTCCATGTTGTATGCTTCTTTGCTGGCCGTGCTCTTAGGCGGGCGCTTCTGCATTGCAGCCATCTGGGCGGCGAGCGGGCGAGCAGTCCTCGTCGTCGTACTCGCCAGTGGTCGAGGGTGCTGCGCCGTGTTCTGACCCAGAAGTTGGCGAAGAAGAGCTATCATGTCCAATCGATGAAGCGACTGTAAATGACAGAGTATAGCGTGCCGTTTAAGCTGCTGAGAGAAGAGAAGATGCTGCGGTGAAGTGAAAGTCAACAGTGAAGGTGAAGTTGTCACGGTCGTGTGTTGTGGCGTGTAACCTGTTTTTAAACATGCGCGAGCTAACGGTCGAAGCACCAACGAGGAAGGAGCGGCTTCATTGACAATCGATTGTCGAAGTAGGCGCATCTCTTGGGCTACTACCGCATGCCGAGTCCTTTTGTAATCACCATGTCGACGGTTTATCGACGGTGTATGCTTATGATCTTCATCCCCCTTAGCTGTGCTTGAGCAGCAGATATACCTGCAGCAGCACTTTTAGCAGCACTCAACGGAGAGATTTAATCTCGTACAGCCCTGCTCAGACTCTGAGCTCACCTCAATTTTGGAAATATATTTGACGGCAACGCCAGGCGCTGTGGCCCATTCGAATCGTGTTGAACACATGCTTAAGGAGCTATCTCTCACGGTGGAAGGCCTTCCTTCTATAGGCAGGCTGGTTTGCTACACGTTTGCTAGAGTCTCTGTTCTAACAAATAGACCGACTAAGGTGTTGCCTCTTTAGTGTGACTTTACTGATTGATTGAACTTGCTACTGAAGCATACCTTGATCTATCTGACCGTGCCGTGCGTTCAAGTGCTGTGCTGTCCAACCTTTCATGCATACGAAAGTACCCAATCGCCAATACCATGCAGCCGAAAGCAAATTGTGGGTATCCCTTTTAAAACACATGCAAAAGACTTTCTTTCCCTGAAGTGATTTGATGAAGTGAAGCTACGCCCGGATATTGGAGACCAAGCGATCCCAAAACGCCGCTTACAACATCCAGAAGCCAAGTAAGACGCTCAGCAGAGACACGATGGTCAAGACGCTGTGTATGGCTGCGCCTCCAGTCGAAGACTCGGGCGACGAAGTCGGAGCAGGAACAAATCCCGAACCAGTGCCGGCGGTACCGTTAATACCAGCGGAAGGGTTGGGAACCTGCGTTGGCGCGGTAGCACCTGTGCCAGTCGGGAGTCCAGAGTTCAGCGCGGAGATCGATGCACTGTTAGTGCTGTATGCGGATCCCGTCACTGTAGAGAGGACAGACTTGTCGGTTTGGGCGATCTAGAGTAGAATCGTTAGCATCAGTCTTCAGCGAGGAAAAGCGATTCGCAGTCACTTACGTTCTCGACTGAATGAGAAGATGTTGGAGCAACGGTGGCGGTAGTCTTTGCAGTGTCCGAAGCTGTTGCCGATCCGGTAGCAGAAGCAGATGCAGCGCTGCAGCTTTCGCCCGTGCTGATGATTTCGATACTCTCATAGGATCCAGACTTGTCGCCATATTTGTATGAACAGGCAGGGTTGTAGTTCGTGATTTCGACCTTCTTCACGTACATGTTGAATGGTCCCTGAGAGAAGTCCGTCTTCCCGCCGGCCCACTCGACTGTACCATTGTTTGCGGAATCACCACCGGCCCAGTTGCCAAGCTTGAGCTGCATTGGGGTCTGCGGATAATTCTTTCCATAGACGGCGAGTGGGTCACTGTATTTCAGTGTCCGGACGACACTGCCATCGATGAGGAAGTCGAGCTTGTCCTTGGTCCAGTCGACCGAGTAGGTGTGCCATGTGTTCTGGACGTCGCTGACTTTGTGGTACTATTGTGAAGCGTTAGCATGTGTGTGCATAGACAAGAGTGGTCGCTCCTATCACTATGCTCTCCGCCAAGCATCTCTGCGTGGGGATGGAAGGGTTCAGCGTCGATTGAACTTACGATGACACGGTCATAGCTAGTCGTGTTTCCCTTGCCATACTGGTGGCTTGTCAGCATCGATCGCATTCGTTTCACTCCCAAGGAACTCACAAAGTTGGATTGCACATGGCCGCTGTCTCCACCGATGAACTCCCAGTCGATCTCGTCCAAATCATCACTCTCAAGGACGATAGAGCTGACGATGCCAGTGCCGGCGGCTGCCTTCATGGTGACATCGACTCTGCCAAAGAAGATGTAGAAGTCGGTCTGGATGGTTGGCGCTTGTCCGGACTTCTCGATAGTGAAGACTGCACCCTTGTCGCCATATTCGACTGTTGTGTAGGCAGCGCCACTCCAACTGGCGTTGGCGCTGGAGCCCTGGGTGAAGTCGGCAGTGTATGAAGTTGATGGAAGTCCGGTGTCGGCTGGACAAGTCGTGTTGGTGGGATCGCAGTCAGTAAAGGTCTGAGCGAGAGCAATGGGCAATGAAGCTGCAACAACCGCTGCCGCCGCGTTCGAGAAGCGCATTTTGGTGACGTGCGGGTTTGATTGCTTGTTATGGTGTTGATGTGCTTGCGCGATCGAAGGCGGTCAAAGTTGAAGTCGAGGCGAGGCGAGGCGGGAGTAGTGAAGCGAGGGCTGTTTGCTAGCGAGTGATGCTGTTTGGGTCAATCAACGCACGTGGTCTCTGGAATGCAAAAGAGTGTCTGGGCGATCGCAAACAGTGAAGAGAGGCACAAGCAATTGATGAATGGGAATTGATCGAACGCGTACGCAAGCGCCATCTTTTTTGTATTGTCTTCACATGCGCTCAGCCACATGCTGTAGAACTAGCTGATACAGGGACTGCCTCACGAGACGGCGTTGCCGTGCGTACCTGCATGCGCTTTCTAGTGAATTCCCGATGTAGTTGGTGGAGAGGATTCGTAGTCTTTTCCGCCCATCATCACGTCGCAGTCGAGATTGGTCGTGGTGAAACTCGACGAAACGTGGCGAGAGGGTTGTCTCCACGGCCATGAGCATGTCGCAAGCCGAGTGGATCGAGATGGAAATGGTGCAACACCTGCCCAGTCCTTCAGCTCCATCACCGAGACCGTGCTGGTCGTCAAGAGCGAGACGTCTTCAGCGAGCGAGGCTGGTCCTCTCTGTCCGCCAAGGAACCGAGCCGGATCCTACGTCAGTTCTATTTGTGAAGCGGCTAAAACTTCGATGCCACCTCGTGATGCCATGTCACGAGAGATAAGGGTGTCTGTATTCTGGCAACGCTTGGCAGCGCACGTACCTCCGGAAGTACGCGGGTCCCACAAAATGACGCAAAACCTACGTTATAGCAACATATTGCTAGGAACCGAGTAAGATGCTAGCAACGCTAGCAACGCTAGAAATACCTCGCCGTCGCGCGATAGATAAAGCTAAAGTGTTAGTAAGCTATTAATAGTATAGTAAAATAGAGGTATTATTATCGCGCTCTTGCCTTAATTAGCTGTCTATCTACCTTACTATCGGTATCGCTACTATCGCACTCGCTCTACCTACTCTTCTAGAATCTCCTTATTTATTACCTATTATAGTAGTATCTTATATCGCTCTATAGCGCCTATCTATAGATTATAGTATAGCTTAAACTACCTATTCTACTATTGTATATCTACGTTTAGCGGCGGTCGGATTAGTATGTTTTATAGAAGGTTCTTAGTCTAACTAAGGTCGCTATCGGCGGCAGCGGCGGTAGTAGTTAAATAGCGTAAACGGCTCGGCGTAGTAGGTACGAAGGGTATAGAAGGTAGTATTTCCGCTAGGTAGCGAGTTAGTAAGTAGTCGCTCTCGCTATTGCCGCTATACTATACGTTATTACTACTAGCGGTAGATTAGAAGTCGTTTAATATACGTATAGTATATTAAGTCGGAAAGAAGAATTGTAATAAGAACGATAGCGGCGGCGCCTATTAACTAAGCCGCGTTTTACTAATATAAGTCGCGTCTTCTAGATTAGCTATTATACTAAGGACCTAGTTATCGATATCGTCGTCGTCGTCGTCGTCGTTATTAATAAAGATATCGCGAGTCTAGTTAATTTAATATTAGAAGTCGTTATCTAACTTTACCTTCTCGAGCTACTAGTCTATTAATAGTTAGTAGATCGCCTCGCTAACAACCTTCGAATAGTACTTATAGAGATACTAAATATAGTCGTTATAGTCCTTTTTTAAGAGGTTGTCTATTAACTAAGCGGCCCTCGCTAGGTAGTAGAAGTCTTCCTTAAAGTTGTCGATAATGTAATAAAGAAGAATATAGTAATTGCGCTCTAACACGCTGTTGCTAGTAGCTCCTTCTAGTTCTGCCGTAGCTAGGTCGTCGACTAGTATACAATTACTATTAAACTACTCCTTATAGACCGTCGAGGCGTTATTTAAGCCTTATCTACTATCTATTGCCTTCTAGCGGTCTATATACTCGTCTACCTGCTTCCGAGACAACTAGTTATCCTTAAACTCGCTATTAAACAGTATATAGCAGTAAGGCTAGTACTAACTAAGGAAGAATAGGTAGGGGCACTTAGAAGGTGTCTCTTCGTTAAGGGCAGGTTTAAAACGAGACTAGGTAATAGCACCTCGCTTGTACTATAAACGTGCAATCTTATACTGCTTGCTAATCTTTGTCTATAGATAGTATAGTAATTCTTAAAGCCTCGAGTATCTAAGGAAGCGGAAAAGTAGCAATTGTAGTATAGAAGCTTTAGCAACGTCGGCTTTGTTATACTAGTAGTCGTTAATATCTAGAGAGTATATAAGGGCACCTACGAGTAACTAGTTATAGATTGTCGTCTCGTTGCCTCGCTTAAAATAGGCATAATAGCCTTTAATATAGCTAGTAGTACGCGTCTATAAGGAAAGTTAGCTCTAACCGTAGTACGCGATTAGGAAGAAACAGCTATATTTACCTATAAAACGCGTAGATTGCCCCGTCGAGCGTATACGTACTAGAGCTCGGCGTACTCGATAGTCTACTCTCGTTTAAAGTAGGCGGCTAATAGATCCTACTAACTACCTAGCAGCGAGGCTTCTATAAGCTATATATATTAAAGAGCCTTGTTATAGTCTTCTATAAGATACAGCGTACTAAATAGAGCCTATTATATCTTCTTATACCTACGCTTAATACTAAACTTCTTTCTAATAGTCTCGACAACGTATCGCTAGTATAGATAGACTATAACTTTATTATTAAAAGCGAGCTAGAAGGCAGCTTGTTCGCTTATAGAGTTATTAACAATCGTCTATCTAAGGTGCTAGCTACTAGGCTTCTTATAATCGGCCTACGAAGACAAGTGCTAGAAGCTAGTCGCAAGAACAATAGTATACTAGCTCTCGAGAAGTATATAAGCGATAGGATATTAGAAGTTGTTCTCGTCTCGTACGAATAAGTTAACGAGAAAGAAGCTAGCATTATTAGTATCGTAGGTAGCGTCTTACGATAAGAACTCGCTATACCTCTTAAGCAGCTTAATGCCCTTCTTAGTAGCATATACAATGCCCTATTTAAGGCCTTTAGACGTCTATACCTAGAAGACCTAGTAATAATAACTACGCTTAATTGTACGCTCTCTCGCTTCTTTAATTTGCTATAGAATAGCGCTTTTACTAGGGACAATATAGCGCTTATCTCGATTGTAGTACGGTAAGCTTCTTGCTAGGTTATACAACGTCTAATACTAAATAGCGTAGCTACTAATATTACTATAGTTATCCTTTAAAAAGTCTCTCGTACGACTAACCCGTAGTAATCTATCTAGCTTCTTTTAACCTATCTCTTTTAGGTATACGTTAGTCCGCCGAGCGTCGCTATACTACAAGATATAGGTATGTTTTTATCGATAATCGGTACGCTAGATAAGAACCTTCGTAGGCTTACTATCGATAGTATCGTAGTACCGTAATATAATAAGATTAAGCCTATAAGGCTCGAAGGGCGTATATTCTAGCTTTAGGCGACTAGAAATAGTATCCTCGACCTTCTTCTTCTTTGCTTCCGCCGCTTCTATCCGCTTAGCCTTAATATACTTGTAATAGGACCTAGAAACGATACTGCTATTACGGTCTGCTTTAGGGACTATTATACGAGTATAGCTATATATATTAGATATTAGTTTAATAGCAACAATCTATTTAGTATAGGATAGCGGTATATCCTTATCGATAAGGAAGAGCCTATCGCGAAGGACGCTAAGATTGCTAAGCGTATCGCTATTGCTATTAGGTATAGCGACAACTAGTAGATCCTCTATTATAGCGATAACAGAGGTAACGAGGTAGTAGTAATTTCGAAATTCCCAAAATTATAACGCGAATGTATACGAATTTCATAGTCTTAGCGGGGCACACAAAACGTCATTCAATTGTAGATCTCTACGGAATGCGCCACCCGAGAATTAGCGCGTTGCCAGAATACAGACACCTAGAGATATTATGAACAAAACTACGCAAATGTCCTCGCCAATCCCTATACATGCTGGTATCATGGAAGCTGATCTCGGCCGATCCTTCAGCTCCTTGCAATCGCCACGAAGCAACCCTTCCAGCGTAGAAGCCATATTCACCGTCACTTTTAGTCCCTCTTCGTCATGGTTAGATCCCGTCCCTCGTAGAAGCCTTCCATACGCCACCGCCAACTTTCAAGATACGGTCTCAAATCCGCATACATCTGCAAACAGAAGTCCTAGGATCAGCATGTGTTCATAGCCAACGTCTGGCTGGTAGTGTGTATCTTACTGGCTCCCACCACTTTTCATGCAAAGTGGCCACTCCGCCTTCCAAGTCTTGCACAGTCGGATAGTGCATGTTCCATTTTGTGTCCAGCTGTATCCACGGCATGTTGCCATTGCGCCTGTGTGCGTAGTTGAGCAGATTTTGTTCCGGCAGCTCAGGCTCGAATCGGCCGGGCGTATCCGTGAGCGAAATGTAGTATGCCAGGAGCTCCATACTTGGCTCGAACACAAAGAAGCCTGATGAAAGGATGTGAGATGACAGCTGATCGAGGTGCTTGCGGTCGGAGCAATCTTACCTGCGTTGAGGTAGTTGAAATTGGGGTAGTCGTGTGCATCCTGGGATGGAGGATAGTGATGTACCGTCATCATCTCGGGCACCCCTGCGAAGACATATTGGCGAGGCTGCTGCGCTTCATCTTCGCGTATAGCACTCCCTTTGGTGCCCGTTTGCATGGTGCTCACCGCAGGATCCTCAAAGACGTCGTCGATGTTCCTTGTGAGGACGGTATCGCCATCAAGAAAACAAATTCGCTCAAACTGCGTGAGCTCCCACAGTCGGAGCTTCGTGAGCACAGCCTGCCAGGTAGAGACCTCCGTCTTAATCCACTTTGGATCAACGGGGTCGGCTTCCCAAATGATGGCGCCATCCCGACGCAATCGCTCTCTTTTCGCCTCAGAAACGCCTTCATTTACTAGGACAATAAATGGAATCTCGTTGCGCGTCCTCGTCTCAGGTGCATGTATTATGCTATTCAATAAGTCGCGCCATGCGCTCGGAGGGATGGAAATTAGCGCGTATCTGTATCTTTGCCGAGTATCCACCGCACTACACAAATTAGGTGTAGAATGCGATCCGGTGCGAAAGCCTTTCTTACCTCCATCTATTTACAACCTCCTAGTGAGCCTTAAGGTTAAGAGCTAGCTATTTTAGTACCCTCTCGTCTATTCTATTGCTACGCTAGTATACCGAGAGCCTCGAAGCGACTATATAAGCTTACTACGAAGAAGAAGGAAGCCCTTGAAGCCGCTGCCGCCAAGAGACAACGACGTAAAGAGCTACTACTATTAAGTAATAGTCCGGAAGAGCTAGATACTAACGACGAGTTGCTAAATTCAACGACTTCTTAGCGCTAAGACACCGTAGATAAAGAAGACTATGCTTCTAGCGACAATGAAGAAGTCGAGGTCTTTAAATATACTATGTAGTAGAACCTATATGCGGACAAGCAGAAGGAAGCCTTGCTAAGCGAGTGTTATCTAAGCGAGTTAAGCTACGAGTCGCCTTATAAAGCCGTAGACTACTAGTTTAACGACTAGCGCGATAAAGGCAACAACCGGCTTATGTTCAGTCTTAAGAGTGCTATTATAATAGCCTCTGCGGACAAGGTGAAGGCTAAACACTTCTACCGTAGCTCTAGCATAACGGACCTCAATTTTAAGCGCGTATACATTATGCTAGCTGTCTAGAATAGTTAAGGCAAGACAGGCTTGCGCCTCGAGTTCAAACTAACCGTTATAGCTAAGCTAACTAGTGTTCCTAACGAGCCTGCAACTCAATAACTACGGCGGACTTAACAGGCTTCTTAGAGACCGCGGAATATAGCGACTTAGCAACAGTTAGCTGCCCTGCTAGCTAAAGGTCGCTCGGAAGATAAAGCGGCTCCTAACGACAATAGCGACGACCTTACTAGCTTACTAACGGACCTGCGATACGCCCTTGCTTAGCGGTGGCCCTGTAAGAACAGATACTGCCCGAACAAGGGTAGATTGTGCTAGTTTAGCGGTCTAGACAGAGCAGAAGACTACTGCAAGATCTATCCGGAAATAGCCGCTAGATAGGTTAAGGGGACTCGAGAGGCCAATCCAGCTAGAAGGCTAACAATCGACGACCCTAGAGCGGCACTAGTATTAAAGATGTAGAAGCAACGAGACAAGCAGTTGTCTAATCCATTTAGACAACAAGCTAGTGGTAGACGTACTGTCGCACTAATAACGCTAACCCTAGTAGTAATCCACAACTATTATAGCTAGTCCAATAGCAAGGGTCGTAGAGGCGCCATTTCTAGGTCCAATCTACCGGCTTCTAGTCTACCGGCTTCTAGTCCACCGCCGCAATTAAGTCCAGTTAGCGGCTCAATCGCTTCCTATTAATCTTATACTACCGACATAGAATTGATAGGCTTCTTCAGCTAGTTGCGTAAAGAGTTAACTAGCAGCTAGACTAAGCGACACGCCGATATAGCTAAGATTAAGCGTGTCTACGAGGAAGGCGACTTCTCACTTAAACAGCTTAGAAGGGTCAAATTGAGCGATTGGGTCCGCTATAGACTCAAGGAAGGCTAACACGCTCGATTTATCGCCGTAGTAGGGCGATATATTAGCAAGGAAGTCCGTAAGCAGCGACTTACTTGTATTAATAAGTCGGACGATGGTCTGTTCGTTAATTAGCCGCAGAAGCGCTGCAGAAGCGCTGTTTTAGTATAGAAGCGAGAAGCGAGGATTTCCGGTTGTAGGTCGGCGGCTTAATAGCTGATATTCAGCTTAACTAATGTCGCTTCTTAGTCTACTAATACCACGTATTTTTATACAGTATAAATTAGAGGAGCATTAGATAGATATAGTCTCGCCTCTTTGTACTTGTAGTAATGAAAAGCAATGCGTTGTAGTATTGCGCTAGTATCGTGTTAGTATAGTTAAAATCAGCTTCTTAAGTCCGGACCCGCTAAGCTCCTACGCCGAGCGGAAGCCGAAATTTCGGCAGTCTCGGCATAGAGGAAGCGCTCGTAGTCGCGAATTTCTAATACATTAGCGAGCCTATATCTTTACTAGAGGTGCATATTTTTTAAAACGGACAACGGGAGGTTTCTTAGCGGTATCGATAGTATTATATCCTACCGAAGCAATAATAAAGACGTGTTATAGTGGTGTTGTAGTAGTACCCTGTCGGTAGGTATAGATTCCGGCTTTCGAAGCTGTACTCTCCGGATCGATACGCGATTGCGATACGAATATATTAATATACTAACTGCGCCGCCTTCGATGAACCTAAGGTGATACTAGCGACAGAAACGGCACAGAACCTACTAAATTCCAAGCTCTTTCATCGCAATAGCTACCGGTAGCGCATTAGAGGTATACCGATTGGGTGTGTTTGTAGGTTTTGCTAATTCCTCGTAGATTGCCGATAGTCAAGAAGACGAAGAGGACCTTATCCGAGATGCTACTACTGTATTACCGACAACTGTATCACTATCGTCAGCTATTCAGTTAAGAAGCTTATTACTATAGCTAGTATTGCCAGATCTATAGTATATAGAAGCTATAATAAAGGAGCAAGCTACTGATACTGCGCGTGCTATTATAGAAGGAATGAGACAGGAGATAGACGAGTTAAGAAGCCGTATTGCTAAGCTAGAGACAATCGTTGGAATAAGTGAGACTATAAGGGAGTGACTGTTAATATTAGCGATAACCTGCTCGCTAGAACTACGATCCTGCTATTGTTTGAGTGTCTAGTTAGTTAATAGTATACCGTATAAATTTGCCGAAGTCTACGAAGCAATTAGCCTCGTTAATATGCTTCTTAACCTATGCCTTAAGTACGTTAAAGGACAACTTAATAGGGTTGAAGTCTAGCGAATACGGAGGCAGGTATCGAAGGTAGACTCTAGCCGCCGCGACTATATCCTTTATACGCTAAGTGCGGTAGATTAATGCGTTGTCTATAACAAGGAACATACTAGGCTCTATTTAAGGCAGTACTGTATACTATAACTACGCCTTAAAGATCTCCGCGGTTATAGAGCCTTAATAAATAATCGTACCGTCGAGATAGCTATTAACCGAGATAGTAGGCAAGACACTCTATCGCTTTGACCTTACCGCCGACCCTTCCTCGAAGACAGGGCGGTTAATAGGACCGTATCTATATTTCCGCTATCCGGTGCGCTTATTAGACGCGCTCTCGTCTATATATACTACCTTCTGCGCCGGCATATCTATTTGCCTCATTTTAAAGTTGTCTCGAAGGTCCTAGTTCTGTTCCGCCGTAAACCGTATCGCCTTCTTCCTCGTCTACCTACGCCTCTTCAAAACTCGCGACACCGTCGGTTAGCTAATAATAACGTCGTATTCGTCGTACAGATACTATACTACCTTATCTTAATAGGTATACGGTCGGTCGTTAAGGAATTCGAAGATGCGCTATACAAACAGGGTAGGTTAGTTAAATTGCGACCGTACGCGCTTAGCGATACCTATATCCTTAAAGATTAGCAATAGCGACCGTAGACGACCTAACCTCGCGAGGTCTTTAATATAGAACATACCAAACAGGCGATAATTGTTATAGATCTTGTCGATACTGCGCCTAGCGATGTTTAGTAGCTCGGAGATAGCAATATTAGACAACTCGCCCTCGTCGAAGAGGCGCTTAATCTTATTAAGCTAATAGTCTAGCAAACGCGCCATTAACAACACATTCGAGGGGTATATACTATAGAAATAGCGACGACGAGGTGTAGGTGTAGTATCATTTTAGCAGAGAGGTGGGAAACCGCTAAGAAGCTAATTCTATACTAATTATAGTGCAGCTATACCGCAACAAGTTCCATGGTCCTCCGAGCGCATGGCGCGACATATTGAATAGCGTTTGATAGGCAAGTATCCGTGTCGCTACGAAATATTTGTCCTCGCTGATGTTCTCATCGTCCCGCTCACCGGCACTGCTTGCCAGAAAAGTCGCGTAGGCATGTTTGGATGCTGGTTTGGCGATTTGCGATGCATCGAGATTCGCTGTCGGCCGGATTGCTATGTGCTCCGTCACGTCGTGGATAAAGGCGTCCCTTGGAGCGCGATAATCTTTTGGCAGAGGTATGACGGCCACCAAAGCCACCAATGTGATCACGGTCAAGGCCAGGTAGGCGCAATTCCATCGTCGTCGACTGCTTCTGTGGCTCATTGAGGATGGACTACGCAAATGTCCCATCATCTCATAGAAGATCAATATAGCGCGAAAGGAAACAAGAGAGTCGAGGGCGCTGAACGGTGAAGATGCATGCAGGCTCAGCCAGAGGCAGACGGCAAATCCGACTGCCACATACCTCAGCAGGTACGATCTCACAAGTACTAGACTGTTCCATGAAAGACGCCGCTGATATCGCCATGGCTGCTGCGCGAACGGAGGATGGCTCACGAACTGCCAAAAAGCTGCTCCCAGGTACGAAGACACCGGAATGGTGGCACGGAAAACGCCAGCCAGCCAGCAGGAATGCACCTTGCGTCAGACCCATGTAAATGGTTGGCTAGCAAAGACACGACGTTGCAAAGTCGTGGGCAAGTCCACTGCTGTGCAATGGTGAGCATATCGCTTCATGTCGAACGCGATAAGCCGCAAGCGTCAGGGAGGCTGTGCTGAGTGCTGCAGACCAGAGTTTGTCAGGGCTGAAGACGTCTTGTCGCCCAGCGCTGGCTGACCAATGCGATTTTACAAGGGCAGAGAAGAGAGCACCTCTAACCCTAACCCTAAGAATCTTTCCAAATTTACGACTGCTCCTCATCCTCGAGAGAATTCGGGCGCTGAGTGACGAGCTTGCATAGAATAAATTTTCCCGAGCTTTCAGGCCTCAGACTGGAGAATAAGAGCAGCCAAATTCTGGCATAGAATAAATGAGGGCCAGATCTGAGTTGGCCTAGCACTACAGACAGACAGATCAGATGGCAGACGAAGTTGCAAGAACCCCTAGCTCTGTATTGATAGAAATACCTCTAACTACTTGCGACCAACGGCAACCAGTGCAGTACCTGTCATCCTTCCAGGCTCACTTGGCGAAGCCTCTTTGATCATGTCCCCAAAGATCTGCTTAAGCTGTTTCTTTTCGTTTTCGGACCCTGAAAAATTCAGACCGAGTCAGCGTCGGTTTCTTTTCTAGTCGAAGAGAAGGAGGGCATGTCGTCCACGGGCGAGAAGAAATTTCCTTACAATCTTTGGTGGTTTGCTTTATGTGTGGCATCTTTTCAGAGAGCAACTCGACCAGTGCATCGTGCGAGTCGACTGAAGTTCACGGGGTCAGCAAGAGTCGTGAGGTTACAAACGCCCTTCTTCTGTCGGATGTCAACTCACAGGTCATGTCGACGTGAACTTCAACAGAGTCAATATCTCGAAACTTCGCCTTTTTGAGTTCTTCGGCAATGGCTTCTGCAGACTTCCATTCCCTAGGGATTTCGATCGTCTTGGCATCAGCACGCACTGCTGTCACGCCATTGTTAGAGATCGTCATCCATTGAGAGTCCTTCCATGAAGAAAGGCCAAGAACGCCGTTGGGCTTCAGAACACGGTACGACTCGGTGAGGCACTTCATGGGGTCGGCCTGATTTCGTTCGGTCAGTCGCAAACTAGAAGACCAAATTGTTTGTGGGGCATGCAAACCGTCATGAAGTAGACCCAGCCTGCGGTGACGTGTGATCGCGATTCGTCAGGGATGCTGTTCAAGTCCATTGCATCTTGCACCGACACCTCAAGCCGTGACCAAGCACTTTTCGGATCTGCCTTCGTTTCCTCCTCCTTTGTCTGCTTGAGTTGATCGATCATATGGCTCGAGAAGTCACTGGCTGTGAGAGTGGCTGAGCTGGGAACTGGATATTCCTTGATGATTCGAGAGATGATCGCGCCTGGACCGCAGCCATTATCGTGAATACTTGTTGCTTCGGAAAATGGCTGCAGTGCGTTCACTTTCTCGAGGATCACCGCTATGGGCCTGTGGCTGACACCGACGGTGAGTTGTTTGTAGATCTTTGCCATCGCCTCCCAATCATCTCCCTTGGCTGTCGTATTATCATTAGTCTATGGCTCAGAAGAGCTGCAGCGCCAGACTCACTGTCTCCGATGTTGCCCATATCGGATGCTCGTTGTGCAATGCTTTAGTTTCGTTTGTGGTTGCGGACTTTATACACAAGATTTGTCGAAAATGAGCAGCAGTATGCGAACATTGGGCCACGGTTTTATAATAGCTCTTCGCTTGGATTTCAGTATGCGTGCCGGAAGGATTCGCAGAGTTTCCGGAGACTTTTCATGTGCTGAGGGATTCTGAATGCCCCACTTTCGTCGGAGGGCTTTGATGGACCTTCGAATATTATTCAGAAGATTGGTGTATACTGGCTGCATTCATGATCATGCCTCCTTCTTAGCATTCCCGTTAGTGTCCTTGGCAGCGGTTCCATCGCTCTCGTCGCCTTCGCCACCACCTTTGCTCTCCTCGTCGCGGCGTTTGTCGTGTTCAATATCTGGGGCCGGTGCGAACTTGGACTTTGCGCGGATCTGTTTGCCTTTGAAGTAGAAAACAAAAGGCATCGGTATGAAGAGAGCCGATAAGCAGCCAAGTAATGTCATGCCCCAGTTCACGCCAATGCCCTCGTACATATAGTAGGCAAAGAGTGGAAAGACCGCACCACAGATCGAACGCATAATGGTGTTGGCCGCTATTGCAGACGCTGCAAACATCAGATACGCATCGATGATGTAGTTCAGGCACTGTAAGAAGACAGTGAATATGCCGAAACCCAGTGCTAGACCAGCAAGCGTTGGGACTATCCACGGTATGCTTGCAGTATATCTATCAGAAGTCATTAGCTTGGGGGATATAAAGCAGGTCGAGCGACTTACCCAGTCCAGCCGAACCAGAATAAGCCAATCGTGAAGGACACAGTGCCTAGCATCATGATTGGCACTCGCCATTCAGGTACCGGAATGTTATTGTTGGCCTTGAGTTTCTTATTATAGCCACGGACATCGATACAGACAAGCGCTATACCGAAGCAGACCCCAACAATCATTCCGAAGTAAGGTAGCCCATTAACGCCGGGTCCGAAGCCATGGATCTGCCCAAAAACGATGCCGAATGCTGTCAATGATAGATAAAGCAGTCCGTACAAAAAGCTCATGTAGATCGTGATAAGGAGGACGATTGGCTCCGTAAATAGGATTCGAAGAGGCCTCATCAAGTTCTTCGATGCGAGCTCTTTCAAATCGACTTCGACTTCTTCTTGCTTCGCGTGGATGCCCCAATTCCGTGTCAAACGTCGAAGTTCGGATGCTTTGCTGACCAGGATGACAGGGCCGTAAGTCTCATCTTGGAAGAAAAGAGCCAGCGTCCCAGCGGCAAAGCCCATGAAAGCGGGAATGTACGCGACCCATCTCCAGCCTAGATATGAGCTGGCGATGAATCCGCCAATGAATGGGGCCATGAGCTTCATCATACGTTAGCCGGAAGTCCACACAGCTTGAGAAGGCCTAGGCCTAGGCCTAGGGCTTCTTACCGGGCCGTTGATGATAGTTCCGGAGAAAGCGCAAACAGCCAGACCCCGATACTATGCGACAAATGAGTATGGCCGTGGTATGTGGTCGACTTTGAATCCTCACCTGATTGCTATACATGTCTGCGAATACAGCGGCAGTGATTGCCAGTGGAGCACTACCGAAGAATCCACCAAAGAAACGGCAGATGATGAGCGTTTGGTAGTCTTTCGCCACCGCAACGCCAATGTTGAAAATGCCAAAGGCGATCGCTGCAAAGACAACTGGAAGCCTTCTTCCGTATAGCCTGAAGATCAAGGTCAATCATCCATGATATCTCAATCGAGGAGGCAGAGTCACTTACTCCGACATTGGAGCGAACACCATGGGGCCAACAGCATAACCAAGGACGACTGGAGGCGCAAGGTCAGCTTACAGCTCAAGCAGTTACGTCAGCTCTCGAAACCCACATAGAGATGTTGCAAGCGTGACGACCTCACGGCCTTTGTGGAATTCTCGCTCGACATACATGGCTGCCGGGGAGAAGATGGAAGATGCGAACGTGGCCGCCAACGAATCGAAAATAAGAATCGATGTGATGATCATCTTCTTCTTGGTTGGCCAGTTCATCGCGTGTCGAGGGTCGTCGTGGCCATCGAACTCGACGACATACTCTTCTCTGTCAGGCAAAGGCGGCGGATACGGCTTCTTTCCTCCAAAGCTCGGCAGATCAATTCCCGCATCAGCTGGCGCTCTCCTCGAACCGACTGTTTGCAAATGTTGTAGACGATGCTCCGAAATGCGTTGGATGGCTGTGGGATGTCGATCAAGGTAATGCATGAATTCATCTTCGATTCTGGTTGACGTCCTGGTTGCCACGGACGGTGTATGGGAGGTGGAATAGCGGGTATTGCGATGTGGGATGGATGAGGTGCTCGCGGAGCTGACAGAGCCCTCTCGGTCTGCCTCTTCTACTGCTTCACGTCTCGACTGCTGCGTATTAGTCCTCCCCGATTGCTGCCGAGATGCTCTCCGAGATGCTTCGCGTGCGTGAGCGTCAGCATACGCGGCATCTAATTGACGGTTCGGATCTACACGACGCGTCAATATTCGATCTGGTATGCGTAAGGTGAAGCAGAACTTGCCATAGTCGCGAAATCGCTCTGGGTCTGCGTCACGTTCCGCGTAGACGATGTCCGCATCTTCTATGTTCATGTTTGCTGTCGCAGTTCTCCGGCAGTAGAGAGCTTCGTCGGTGGAGTGAAGTTGCACAGATGTGAGGGTGCGAGCTCTGCCCGGCAAGCCGCCTCTCAATGGCTTATAAAGGAAACGGCAGCTTACTCTGCATGCAGTACCGCTTCACTTCACGGCGCTCCTTTCAGCGCTATCGGAGCTCAAATTGAGTTTTGCACCAAAAACAACGCCTACGTCACGAACGAATTCGCTTCGAACCGTGTTGGCTTCTGTCTGTCGCCGTGAACACGGACTTTGTTGGCTGGGCGGGGCTGGGCGGTCGTTGATACTGTATCATGTCCGCAAGAATGACATTGTTTTCTCGCGGACGAGTGGGCATGGCTTGGCATGTTGGTATTCGAAAGTGGCATTCTAGCTTGCATCTGCGGAACCTCGTGGTGCGGCGCTTCTTAGCTGCATACGCGAGTCCGTCCTAGCTTCGATTAGCAACAGCTTCGTCAGCATCCGTGATGAGACTCTCATAGTCTACTCTATATCAATTCTCAGCCGACCAAGAACGGTAGATCTTGGGAGATGAGAGAGCTTTCGCGCAATGCCGAGGCTGTTCTGAAACTATATGCGCATGAGCATTCCTCGCTTCTGCAAAGACTCGCGTGCCGTGCACATGGCACAAGCTGTTTTGTGCGCACTGATCTCCTCAGCTGATAAAGATAGCGGCATCTCTCTTTGTGTCACGAGCATGAACGTAGGCAAAGACAGAGTGTCGCCGGAAACGGACGAAAGAGAAAAGGATGCCCATATCTCACCCTACCTGCTACATTCCGCTCCACTTCGAAGATTGCACCGTCTGCAAACGGACGATATGGAGATCCTACCACTGGATTTCATCAGTGTCGCAACAGAATCCAATTATTCGCAGCAGGCGGAGGTTGATGGGCGGCCACTGTCGACAGAGGTTGAGGGGTCCTGTAAAGCCACAGACCAGCCAGCAGTGAGCGAGGCAAGGTCTGAGAAGATGTTCATCGACGACATAACCGACGCGGCTGAAGATATTTGGAGTCGACTGTCGTCCGTGATGAAAAGCAAAGTCCGAGAAGCATGTCAAGAGGTGCTTCGTCGAACGGATGACCATTTCTCTCGCCGCCAGCACCATCTCAGTTTCGATTACGACGACGACGCTCGTTTCCTCGACTAGATGGTCGATTCGGATACATATCATTCCTCGACCGATTCATAATTGCGCTCACTTCGAAACATTCGATATCGCAGTCTCCATCAAGACTTTGTCATACTGTTGATGAAGCCACTGTATCCAGGGGCTCATCGGACCTTGCTGGGGCACTTTGCTCTCTTGATCTGGCTGTGCAAGGCCATTGTAAAATATACTCTTCAAACCAAACTCGGCAACACCTTCGTCCTTCTTGACCTCTGCCGTCATTTCAAACAGACCATCGGAGGCTCGCACATCCTGTAACCTTGGGGAGTCGCCGCACCGCACGATTATGCTCGAGGGAGTTTTGGAGATGACTTCAAAGTGGTCTGTAATCTTGGTACCGACTTCGTAGGTGCTGGACTTGAGGTCCTTGGTATCCCAAAGATGGTCTGAAGTGATTGGGTCTGCTCGGTACTTCTTCTCGAGGAAGCGGCGTTGGTAGGCGTAGCCTTCGGTACATAGCATGATTAGCATAGTAACCAGTACGAAATCATGAGGTCCTCTTACCGAGGCCAGACCAAACACCAGCACAGAATGCTTCCACCAGCTTCCCTTCCTTCTCTAACAGCTCAGGCTTTATCTGTGTCAATGGCACTTTGCGCACCGCCAAATCCTGCGTTACAGGGGCGTTGTTCGGATTGTATCGTGCGTAGAAGGTCGAGTTGAAAAGATAATCGGTCGGCGGCACATCGACAATGTTGGTCTTGCGCGTCCAGAAAACGTAACCAGCAGTTGCGCCCAGCGTGGTCCAGCCAGTTGCGGCGAAAGCGGCCTTGAAGATGCCCATTGCTTTTGCGCCTGCAGCAATGGGCTCGAGCATGCGCGGTTGTGGTCGTGCGATTGGAGAGGCGCGAGGTAATGTTGGGAATGTTGGAGCTGCAGATGGAGCTGTATGCAGCTTGCCTGGAGTGCTCGTCGGCTTCGGTACCTTCGGCTTCAATCGACTAGGATTTCTGGTCTTGGTTCACGTGAGATGACTGAGCAGTGGGCATATGAGTCGCATTTTTGTCGCAGAGAGGCAGAAGGTTCACAGCCTTGCTCGTACATCGCAGGATCTCTTGGAGGACGTTAGGTTGATTAGGAACATGCTTACTATACCGCACCACTAAATGCTATAAGCATCTCAACAGCAGACGCGACCGCGAACGCCGACCTTCATGGCGGACGAAGATGCCAATGACCATCCTGAGACCTCCGCTTCTACACCGAATTCGTTATCCGCGCCGCAAAGTGCAAACAAGGCAGCCAAAGATCGCAATTGTCCATTCTGCGGCCAGGCTTTTACATCATCCAGTCTTGGGCGGCATCTCGATCTATACATAAAGCCGAAGAATCCTAAGCCCCCAGATGGCATTCACGATGTAGAAGAGATCAAGAAACTGCGCGGTGGCATCACCCGACGGCAGCCACGGACAGGTGCAAAAGCTGGCAACGTAAGCGGCAATGGAGGGCCTTCCAGGCAAGAGAGCCACGGCCACGGCCACGGCACATCAAACAGCGCTCCTAGCAGACCGTCAGGCACAGTCCTCCAGGACGACAGCCCTGTCAATTCCCCTGTGAACGTGAAAGATACCAATGATGCGCATAAGTTCATCAACAGAGCAAACTGGCAGGCGACCGGTGTAATTAACAACCTACCGCCGCGTGCTTCGTCGCGTAGTTCCGGGGAACTTCATCCCGGACAGGCACAGCGAGTGCATCAAATGCGCCGCGATAACACAGGAAGCAGGATTGAAAGGCCGCAATACGAGGGCGAAAGCATGTGGAAGCTCCAAGAGTCTGCGGAGCTGGGTCGAGCTGCAGAAATGGCGCTGAGGGAGATCCTTGGGAGCGTCGAGGCGGCTAGCAAGAAGCTGGAACCCAAGCTTCTGTTTGACGAGTTCGACTTCTATTCTCTCTCTTTCCCAGGACTGTGCTTGGCCATCTTGCCAGCACCGACAACATTGTTTAGTCCAACCCCATTTCCGTCCGCCGAGTCATGGACACTTACACCGCCCGGTAAGCGACAGTGGGAGACAATGGTTCGCTTCTTGAATGAGCGCTCTGTTCTGCGCCGCAAAACAGAAAATATACCAGACTCTGTTCTGTTCAGGCACCACACGCACCTTTGCGGAGCTTGGGAGCATTGGGAAGCTATGTCCGAAAGTGATCGAGCATCAGCCTGGCAATTAGAAATCCTCCGGTCGTATACCCGAGCGCAGGAACGGAACAGGAGTTACAAAACCGAGGCAGAGCAGGCTCAGCAACGTATTCGACACCTCGAAGCTGAATACGACCGACTTTCTCGTTGTCAGCTACCCCGGGAATTCCTCACGCATCCGCCAAACACAGTGCCAATACCATCTCCTGTGATGCGCGAGCTCAGGACCTCAAAATTGCAGTCTGGAGCAGATGAGGTCAATTATGATGCCAGTGCTCTAATTGCCAAATGGCGCTCTCAAATCAAGAATACGATGCGTCCGGCTCGTGTCACACAAAATGTTGCCCCCCAACAACCCAAGCCCACACAGCGAGAGCCATATCAAAACAGTCTCGGGGACGACATGGTTATGCATGGCAGCATTTGGAACGTCCGCGGCCCTCTGACATGTCATGAAGCGTCAGATCCCGACTCAATGCACGAGGGTCAGCAAGTCTTGTATGAAACACCACCGCAGCCTGGCATGGTTGCAGGTGCCGAAGAAGATGAGTATGTGCCGTCTATCTCGGACGCTGATGCCACTGGCGAAGCGGAAGACGATGGATACGGACGAGCTCTGACGAAAAGTCGCAGGCTGGATGGACAGAGTCCTTTGTGGCCTGCGAGCAGCACATTAAATGCCAACGGCAAACGGCCTTTGGCCTCTCAGAGCACCATTACCGGTCGAAGCGTGCCCAGGATCCTCAAAGAGCAGTTCAGTGAATCTAGTGGAAGCATGACGAGGAATGGACTGTCTTAAAAATGGCCTATAGTAATGCTCTGTCCTGCACAGCGAAAATTTGCAACGACCACTAGCGGCGCAGGTATAGCGATGGGCGGTTCGCAGCTCGCACAATGCTAGCGTCTTGCGAGATGTTACCATTAGAGCTCATTGTGCACATCATCAGTCGAAACTCCAGCCGCAAATCCTACGTCAGAAGCGTCGGCTGCCCAGATGCTCACAATATCCAGTCTCCATTTCTGTGCTTCGCGCTTCATCTTGCCAATTGCGCGGCAGGTAATGCTGCTGTTTTCCGAAGCGCTGAGGAATGGTCTGCTATCCAGGTCCCATAGGTACGACTGATCCCAAAGCTCGAACGTTGCGTCGCAGAAGGGAGGCCTATCATGGTACAAGTCCTTCAAAACGAAGTACTGCTTCCTGCCATCCCGTCTCGAGCTGGTGACGCGGGCATAAAGTTCGATGACAACACTCTTGCCGCTCCGCACTGCTTGGCTACCGACGTTCAGTGCCTCGCCAAGCCTGAAACATGTGCGTAAAAGCACTGCACTTGAGGCACCGAAGATGGGCGAACGATCTAGAATCGCTGGCTGAAACGGCTTTCGAACGATGGGCTGCATAGCATTTTCAGAACCCTTCAACTTGGCTAAAGAAAGTCAACATCACGATAGCACACACAGATGTGTAAATCATGTCATTACCTAGCAACTCATGATCTGCCGCGGAAAGAAGCGCGCCTCCATAGTCATCATCCTCCTCAACTTCGCGGATGTTCTGCTTGTAAGTTCGTGTTGGTGGCGTTTGAGGCCTTGGCTCTTCGACTTTGTCTAGGTCTGCAAGAGCGCCTTCATCTATGTCGCTAAACTCATCATCGTCAATGCTGATAGAAATGGGTGGTGCACGACTAGGTTGCCGCTCTAGAGTAGGATGTCTGTCGTCGAGATGATCCGACTTCGCATGATCCTCTGCGACTGGTGCTTTTGCTTGTCGGAAGAGGATAGTGTTCCTCTCACTTGCGATTGCTTTGGCTTTTCTCGTGGGCCGTGCGGAATGAGTATCGATCTCTGTCACGAAAGGAGGACTTTCTGATATCTGCTCGGGCAGTTGAGGTTCGCGAGCAGAAGCATTCGCGGCATTGGACATTGATTTGAGCCACGGTTGAGAGAAGTGAACGTTGCTGGATGGCTGACAAGAAGCTGAAGGGCTCTGATACTCTATGTACCCTTGTGCACCATTCGCTTTGATGGACTCGATACTTGTGCGTGTAGATGTTGAATCCAACGCCTTCATTGAGGTCGTCTGCTCATAGATGACAACAGGCTTCACTGCCGGATCGGAAATGATGGAATTGCTCATACTTACTGGCATGTCCAAGTTGCTGGCGCTCCCGGACTGCTTATACGCCAAGTTCTTCGTGGCTGGTGGCCTCGGGCTGGTGAGTTCTCGTCGTTGGACAGATGTTTCGGTATTTTCTATGCCACTCAACTTGGTCACTGACATGCTGTTATCGACCGTGTTGGTGATCTTTCGTCTTTTGGAAGCTTTCGGCTTCTGACCGGCACCGCATCCTCGTTTCTTGTCTCCAGAAGTGGAAGTGTTTCGTGAGTGCGCATCTCCGCGACCAAGATACTCAGAGACAGCGCGTCGCACTGTCGACGCTGCGTGACTGGCATGACAAGCCTCCGCACGGTCAAGCGTGACCTTCGAGTTTCCCGTGCTTGGCTCAGTTGGCTTCACGAGTGGCGTGTTGATCGGAGTGAAGGTGGAAGGCATCTGCAATGCAGCGTCGCAGTCAGGAGACGGCATTGATGTCTGATGATGTGAAGCGTGAAGCGTCAGAAGAGAGGTTGGGTTGGCGGCATTATTATTGTGGAGTCGAAGCGAGCCGCCAAGCCCCGGCCGACCGAGGGACCCGCTCCTGAAGCACGCACATGTCACATGATGACTGCCTGCCTTGTGCTTGTTGCTCCCCCACGAGTCCACGAGCATCAATATTTTTAATCAATCTCACTTCGGTGCAGCAGAACAGAAACACTCATCACGCCAGTATCTTCTTGCGCAGTCAGCCGGAGAGAAGCGTCGAGATTGGAGCTGGGCCACGATCATTTTTAACGGCAGAAATATCAATCAATAGCCCTGAAGTTGTCGTGCGACAGATCATGTTCGGCGGCTCAGTAAGTCTCCTTGATGAATATTACCGTCGACGTTCACGGGACCTGTGATTTTTGCAGGTCGATTCTTACAGGCCTACACCAACCTACGGACCGTCGCAGAGTGATTGCTGATTGCGGCTTTGTTGACAGCGGAAACCCTACTCGGCCATCACGGTCCAGGTCGATCGTTTGACGAGTGAGCAATATGAAGAAGACGACATCAGTGGCATCATCGAATTGGTAGAAGTCATTCGCATTCAAGATTCAGGCCCGACAGAGGCTGCGAGAGCAATTCGCAAAAAGCTGTAAGTGCACGCATCTTGGGGATGTCACGAAGCTAATCAAGTATACAGTAAGTACGGCAGTCCTCATAGACAAGTCCGAGCGCTTGTAATTCTGGATGGCTTGATACAGAATGCAGGAGGTCGCTTTCAGAGAGCGTTCGCGGACGAGCCCTTGCTCGAACGCTTACGCTTAATCGCCCGTGACGAAGCAGTCGATCCGCACGTTCGACAGAAGTGTAGAGTGTTGTTCACACAGTGGGCCAACGCTTACAAGGGCACTTCTGGACTGGACCGGATTGCCAATCTCTACAAAGAATTTCCAAAAACTCAACGTCCGGCGGCTGCTCGCCAAAAGGTACTCAGGGAGACTGAACCACCTCTTGAATCTCCATTTGACGAGAGTCCGGCACGTTCACGATCAAACTCGAAGACCACACCCTCAAACCCTGTGACACTTACGCCAACATCCTCAAGCCTCTCTTCTAAGCTTTTCAAGGATAAAAAGCGGTCGTCATCAGGAAAACCGTTCAGTCTGTCGCGCGAAAAAGAGAACATGACCAATGCCATTGCCAAAGCATCGATTGCATCCACTAATCTGCTAAATGGTCTCCAGCTCATCAACAGAGAGAATGAGAGGATTTCTGCGAACATAGAGGTTGTGCGGAGATTCGAGACCTGTAAATCCTTGAGAAGACAGATTCTTTACTACATCCAGCATGTCGAATCTGATGAGTGGATTGGAAGCCTTGTCAATGCCAATGATGAACTTGTCAAGGCTCTGACAGCATACGAGATCATGGACAGAAGCATCAGCGACGACAGTGACAGCGATGCTTGGGAAGACAGCAAGCACGCAGTACCTTCAGGGTCGAGCAAAGTTCAAGATCAATTGGCAGGGCTATCGCTGGACGAAGCTCCTCCTGCAAAACCACCAAGACCATTTTCTATCCCAATGCCACCGAAGCGAGCACCGATACCCCAGCCGGGAAAGGAGGAAGAGGAAGACGATGATGACCCATTTGGCGATTCGAATGCAGTACAAACACCTTTCCATGAGCCTAGTGGATTAAGATGGAAGGAAGTATGAAATTGACATTTCGTCCCCTCACCTTGCCTGCTTTGTTGAGAAGATCGGACTACACGATGTTAAGAAGCAGTTCCAGACATACGGCTTATCTAACGACACTTCATGGAAAATCATCGTCAAAGACCTCCCGACAGCAATGAAAACCCCAAATTTATCTCTGATATGATCTCGTTTATGCCATCGCTCTCTTACATTATAGTGCTGACTTTTGGACGGCTATAGGCTTACTAGCCGGAACACGTCTTGATGTGTGCTGGCAAGAAGTATTTCGAGTCTACAGTACTTTGTATGGAATCTAGGTTCAAGTAAGCCATACGACCGATCACTTTGCACTCGATTCAACTTCCTCGTGAGGTCTTGGAGATCTGGAAATATCATCAAATACGTCAAAAGTGCCGTCACGTGCCTTGGTCACGCAAAAGGATGGATCCTTGGCGATCTCCAGTGGCGGCGTTGCGTGCCAGCTTTTCCACCGGGCAGGGCAGGGCAGGGCCAGCAAAGCGGCTGAGACCGCACACGGCACTGCAACGTCACCAACCTTTTAATTAGCCACGAGCAACTCGTCCAGTATACACTCGCACCTGAAACACACCTCGACACTCACTTTCCCCCGCCACAATCCACAACACTTCCCTTCAGCTTCTGCCACATTATCATCAAGGGGAAACCAGCCCTCCACACGCATCGCATCGCCCACTCCGCTGGAAAACGCCACCAGCAACCATGCCTCCAGCAGCAAATCCCGCAGCTTCTGTCAAATCAAGCGGTTCGTCGATCGCCTCGAAGACCTCAATCGTCAAGCCACCGGTCAAGCAACCATGCTGGTGCGGCGATGATTGCCAGTACGTAGAGCCGCCCATATGGCAAAACAAGTGCTTTTATTGTTGAAAACATTCGCTGACCAAGGCCCGACGATCTACGTACAGATGCTGTATCATTCCATGTGTAAGTTGAGCTCCACCACACCCCTGCGTACGGAGGATTCGTATCTCATGATTATGCTACAGACCATCATGTGAGCGCCATCTTCGGCAAAGAGTATACGCAAAGGCATGGAGCACGGGAACGCGACCTACGAAGCTCTTGGATTTGAGAAGCGTTTTGGCAATGGATGTGCAGTATCGGAGCGGAGAAGCGAGTGTTATCATTTCCATCATTACATAGCTGGTTCTACTTCCTAAAGAATATCGATTTCTCGTTGGGAGCGGTGAAGGGGGTATCATGCGCACTTTGTCTCTTTTCTGTACAAAGCAAGTCGGCTCTTGACAAGCTTGAATTTCTCCGTCGAAACAAAGCTGCTCTGTGCGATGTAAACATGCCCGGGGGTATCATTCTGCAACCGCAAAAGAATATACGCAAGGATCATTCCATATCCATCACCCACGCCATCAAATTCTTCACGCCTCCAATGGGGTCAACGGGTCCATATGCATCGTCCTACGATGCTGCTCTGAGCGGCGAACTTCTGGACTTTAGACCCAGTCTGCCATTCCATCGCCTTTGCTCCAGGATAAAGTCATTATTGATTTCCATTAGTTGCTCAATCTGAACTTTGGCGCTCTCAAGAGTGCCTTCGAGTGAGACGCCGTCCTCGATTTCATCGATCGGGCTAGCGCCATTGCCGCCGTTGGTGGTAGGAGAGCGGAAGGGATCGTCGTTCGTCAAATGCGTTGGCGGATACTGAGGTTGTGGCAGATCTGGCGCACCTACTACAGTATTGATGCTTGTTGCCAGCTCGTCCTGCGCGGCTTTAAGGGCAATGCGAAGGTTAGCATTATCGTTTTGAAGCTGTACCAAAGCATCATTCGGCGGCGTCGCGTTGAGCAAAAATCCTCTCGAATGCCCAGGTGTGGGCGAGAACTGCTCGTCTTCCGAGGCATATGCGAGCGGTGCCTCTTGTCGTCCGTCAGCCAAATTGTTGGTCTCCCCGTCGATACCGGTATCAGAATTCAAGAAAATATGTGAAAGTCCCGCAGGCGGTGGAGAGAGTTTGGGATCGTTGAGCTCCGAAAGAGAATCGACATTGTTAGCTTGTCGTCGTAGTAGTTCTGCGTGCAGTGCTGCAATTGCAGCCTCATGTTCACGGGCCTGCTGTTCGGCGGCGGCCTCAGCTTTTCTGGTAGCTGCAGTGTGTCCATCCTGCAGAGCCTCAATCGCAGCCTTGTGGTCGCGTCGCAATACCTCAATGGCTGCCTCGTGCTCCCGGGCCTGTTCCTCGGCCGCAGTGCCAGCTTCCCTGATGGCAGCAGCCTCGACCTCAGCGATATGATTGGCATGAGACAAACTCATCGCTTGTATTCTTTGCGAATGTTCATCTGCTAGCGCGATCATAGCTCGATCATGCCCCTCTCGCATCTTCGCAATTGCGGCAGCCTCGACGTTCGACAGCTGCGATGTGTGTGATTCAGTAAGCTCCTGAATCTTGTGCGAATGATGTTCCGCGAGAGACATCAATGCTTGCTCATGCTCAGCTTTCATTGTCGCGATTGCATCGGGCTCAGAACTGCTGGTAGCTGCAGCCTCGATCTCTGCGACTTTCGCCGCGTGTGCCAGCTCCATTTGCAATATGCTTTGAGCATGGTCGTCCGCGAGACTGGAGAGGGCTTGTTCATGCTCTGCTGAAAGACGAGATACAGTCCTCTGGAGATCGTCTTGTGCCGCTTGCGAACCTCTGGTCGCCTCCTCGATCTTGCGCTTCTGACTGGCTTTGAATTGATTATAGCTGACCTGCAGTTCCCGGTACATGGCCTCATGGCGTTGTGTTTCTTCTTCGAGTTCACGATTGTGTTGCATCGTGATATCGCAAAGCTTTCGCTCCAAGTCGAGCTTCTCAGCAAGCAAGCTGTCATACTTCTGTTGTACTGCAACTGCCGAGAGACCCTCCTCTGTGAAAGCCTGTTGCTTCAGCTGAATAATCTCGATGCGATGCGATTCTTCAGCATGCTTCTGCTTAGCCTGAAGCCTTGCGACTTCCTCTAGATGAGCAGCTTCGATTTCCTGCGCTCTAGCGGCATGAGATTCGGTCAGTTCTCGCGTGAGCTGAACGATTGCAGCTTCATGCTTCTCTTGTCTGTCTTTAGCATCTCGAGTGACTTGATCGAGAGCATTTTGCAGGCCTGATAACTCCCCCTGGACATTCGATAAGGACTCCTCGGCGATGGCTTTCGCGGCTCTGACTTCTGCTAATAGCCCAGACAGTTCATCAATACGATCATCCTTTTCGTGGCTTTGCTGCATCCAGAAGTCATGCCTCGATTGAATTGCCTCTCTCTCTTCCACAACACGCTGATGCACTTCGTGGAGCTGACTGCCTTTCTGGTCCGAGAGCTGACGTGCAGCCTCTTCATCCTGCACCCGGTGCTGAAGATTTTCGAGCTCCGTCTGCAAGCTGTTGACGACGTTGTTGAGCACCGACACCTCTTTCTCTGCCTGCGATTTGGCATCATCGGCTGCCTGTTGGTGTTCGTGGATTTTGTTTTGCAATTCTTCCACCAGCTTGCTCAGCTGAGCCGTTTCCAGCTCCTTACTTGCAATGGCTTCCTCCGCCGTCGTTTTGGACGCTTGAATCTCCTCTTCGAGCCTTGCCGTTGTCTCCTGAAGCTGCCTCATGCTTTCGTCCTTGGCATTCGTCATGTCGTCGAGTTTCAGCAGCAGCTCGATAGCCTCGTTCTGCATCTCTTCAACGATCTCGCCATTGTCCTTGGACTCCCGTTCTTTCTGAGCAAAAGTCTCCTCGCGTGTTCGCTCCATCACCTGAACGTCCATTTGGAGAGCGTCGACCATATTCTGGAGCTGCTCACGCTCCTCTGCATGCTGTTTCTCGGATTCATCTTTGAGTTGCTGGAGTCCACGAATTTTGTTTTGTAGTTGCTCAACAATCTGTTTCCTGTCATTGTCCTCGTGCTGGAGCTTCTCCAGCTGACTCTGCAGATCTTGGATGACTTCATCTGTTTTCTTGCTTGAATGTGCAGTACTTTCCAGTTCGGACACCTGAAGCGCCTTTAGCTCTTCGAGCTCCTTTGTCAAATCATGCATCATCTTCTCCGATTCTTCTTCTCGCTTGGTGTGGGCCTGCAGTTGAAGGTCGTGCTGGCTCTGCAGACGTTCGATCTCTTGCTCTAACGATTTCACAACTGTAGAGGAGTTTTCCAGAGTCGTTTTGCTCCGCTCTTCGGCTTCTGTATCTTTGGCACGAAGCGCCTGAATTTCCTCGTGCAAGCGTTGAATAGTCTGCTCTGCATCGACCGCAGCATTTCTGAGCTCTTCAGTCTGCTGCTCAGTTCTTTCTCGCATATCGTTCAGCTCCATCTCGAGCTGCTGTCGGGTCTCTTGCAATTCCGTTGCAGCCGTCTCCGCCTTCTCATCAGCAGCTTGACTGCGTTGACGCTCTTCTTCCAAGTCCTTGCGTAATTGTTCTGATAGCTTACGGGCTTCCTCCGTCTCCTGGGCCTGGGCTGAGCTGTCTTCGTCAAGCTTGAGCTGGCAACGATCAATCTCCTGCCTTAATTCTTCGACGACTCTGGCAAGTTGATCACGATCCGCCGCCTTTCGCCGTTCCTCCTCCAGCTCTTGCTCGTTCTGTGATGCTTGCGCCTTGCTCTCTCGCAAAGCCTCTTCGACCGCTTCAATCTTGATCTCCACACCCTCCAGTCGCGATGATCGCCGACGATGATTATCCAGCTCTGTCTTCAAGTTTGCTACCTCAGCAGCATGTGAGGACTTGATGTACTCGATAGTTGCCTGATGCGCAGTCTTGAGCTCTCTGATCTCCGCAGAGTGTTCCCTAACCAGACGGATGGTGGCAGATTGCACACTTTCTTTGCCTGTCTTCTCAGGGTCTTGAGCAGAATTATTTTTGGCAGCTTCCTCTAGAACTTGGTTCTGTCGCTCCATTCTCACAATTTCAGCCTTTAGATCCTTGATCTCTGCCGACATGGCATCCCTGGCAACACCTTCACGCAGAAAGTCGTGCATGACTTCCATCTCGCCAAGGTCGCGCTCATGATCGGACAATTGGCTGCCAGGTACAGAGGCCGGACGGGTGACATCGAGCGACTGCGCGCGCGAGTGTAGAAGCTTGCGCGGCTTCCGCTCGATCTCGGCGTCAGAGACTGAGTGCGGACGGAGGGAAGAGGTTGACGATTTGAGGGAGCGTATCTCCAGCTTGCGAGGCGACGAAGCCTGCAAGCCTGGCTCGGGTGCTTCATTGTCGAAATCCGCATGCTCGTCTCCATCGATCTCGATGGGCTCCTCCGGAATGGTGTCGCGTGTGACAGGTCTTGACGTGCTGACGGCGCTACTGCTGACGGCGCTCCGGGGGCTCGATGGAGTAGCAGAGGCCTTTGCTGCTGCTGGCGCGGGTGCGGACGCGGGTGGTGGTGCTGTTTTGGCAGCTGCCGACTTCAGGGCAGTAGGGGCGGTGTTGATGCGCGGCTTGAGGGGAGCAGAGACGGTCGAACTGGTGCGCGATGCCACGCTCGAGGGCCGCTTGGCAGCAGCGCTCGCTGTCGTCGTTGTCGCACCCCCTAACGTCGTTCTTCTCGTTGTGCTTTCAGGCTTGGCTGCTCGTGCCGTCACGGATGGGGCTTTGGTAGGAGTGCGCGTGCCAGCCACGCGCTTGTTCTCGTCGCCTTTTGTCGTGCCTTTCGCGCTTGCTGCTTCGGTCGCCGTCGATGTCGCCTTTCGCGTTGTCGCAGTGGTGGGGCGAGTGGCCACCTTCCCGGTCGTACCAGTGCCGATGCCATTGGCTCGTGAGCTCAGTGTGCTGGTTCGGCTGGTCGTTGGCGATGTCGTCGATGTCGATGTTGATGTTCTCGCCATTACACCAGGTCTTGATGTAGTCGCTGCCTTCTTCGCGTCCTCGGTCTTCGATGCGCCGGTGGAGGACGGCTTGGTGGCCTTCTTGTCCATGTCGCCGTCTGGATCTGTTCTCGATCCTCTGTCTGTCGCAAAAGCATATGCACTGGCATCAATGCCTTGCCATCTGCGGAGGTATCCTCATCTTATTACTCCATATCTCTGCTGTGTTTACATGGTGAAGTGGACATGCGCATGCGTCGAATCGCGCCTGTCTGCGCGTATGCACAGCTTAGGAGATGAGAGAAGGAAGCATCGCCTGCGTTTCTACCCCGGCTTCTGGCTGCACAATGACGATCAACTTGCCTATTTCTACCTAGGTACTTATGGTTCCCTCTGTTCTACCATTACACGAAGCAAGCCATGATCAGTGTGAGATATGTAATTGGGGTCTGGCTTCACCAGTCCTGCTGAAGCGAAGCATCAATCATCGTTGTATGCTATACAAGAACACGAGTTACGAGTATACATAAACACACGTCAGTCGCTAAGTACCAGATGACTAATCACGGCTCGAGCCGTGCTAGCGCCAAATACCCTTGCCCGTTGCTGAGGCTTCAAGTTCCTTGCTCTCTGCCATCATTATTATTCACGACGCGGGCGACTTCTAGTAGTACTAAGTACCTCCCTGAGCTTGCGAAGGTTAGGTGATTATACGACGTATGACGATTCTTGGCGCGATCTGATTGGTAGAAATCAAAACGCTGGACACCTTAGGCTCCAACTTTCAACCACACCTCTTTTAGTTCACGGCACCTGACCTTCGCTATGATTGGTAGAAATCAAAAACCCGGGTGTGCCTGGATGCCTGACTTTCCAACATTCACATTGCACCCACGAGCGGCCGCGTCGTGATTCTTGGATTGCTTGCACGGCAATCCACAGCACATTTTCTCAGTACGCATCGAACTTGTATCGTCGGTCAATGATGACAAAAAGAACAAACACACTGAGATCAGATTTCGCTTTTGACATCTGTCCAGGTCAATCCCTAGTTCTCTTCAGTGCGGGAATCGGAAGTCAAGGCGCTTGTTTCCACGATGTTTTGTGGTGGAAAGATAATCCTCCTTCTGCTCGTGAGGCACAGCATTCCCGATTCTGTCTCTCCTGGCATTCACGCTCACATGAAACAGTTTTGTGGCAACAAACAGCGCTATGTTGTATGCGACCAACGCCAGAATTATCTTGTTGCCATGTCGTTGGTCCGGTCCGGTTTACCTACAATCATGTCAGCTAAAGATCGTTTATAGGAGATTTCGAACTACAACTCACATTGTTACCAATGACGTTTGAGACTTGCACGAGCGTGTTTTATATTGCCGAAGCAACTGTCCTCGTCCGAACTGTACCAGCGTTCCTGGAGGTCACGGCCACAAGGAACCCATATAAAGACGGCATTGCATAGAGGGGAAGCCCCCAATGAAAAAGTGAGCAACTCTGAAAGATATGTGGCAATGGTTGCTACAACTCACAGGCAGCCCAAGGACTTCTGCTGGCTGGCTGGCAAACCCTCAGGTGCGATGCGGGATGGCAGACACCACCATTGACTGATCGTTGCAGACAGTGCCATTTCACGTTGGGCATTCTCAGCAAGGTGCCTGGTTCAGATAATGCTCTTGCTAGAGAACAATCGGAGTGCACACCCAAACACTTACTGGTCAATAGGTCCGTCTGGAATGTACCAAATTCCTGAGACTTGAAGGGTCAAGTAACTGGTAATTGGAATGCTGGGAGCCGTCCACGATGCTCCTATAAGGATAGAGGCCACATACGATAATCCTTCAGACACGCCCAAGACATCGGCAAGTCAAGAACGTGACGTCTGTGCCCTTATGGTGTCACCATTCGAATCGATTCGCAAGAATCGCGCTCACAACTTCCATGTCGCCCTTGCTTGGATCGTCGCGGAGGATGCGATTCACCATGATTTTCTCCTCTTCTTGTGTCACTACCCACAGGAGTTGCCAAGGGCTTGTTAGAAGCATGAGAATTGAATATTAAAGTAAGCACAGCGTAGAGCCGCGAAGGCCATTACAGACGCCTAGAAGCACTTTAAGCGTGCCCAAGCTCTGGCTAGAAACGTGACAAGAGGTTGCTGCGTCGGCATGACATGCAACGAGCGACGAAAACGTCTTCGAAAGGCAAGGATAACACGTTAACGGTGGATCTGTTCGGGGTAGGAATGTCTATTGCTGACATTGCCGGCTCCACACCACGAGTGAAATTGAGTAGCCATTATTAGCTACCGTCGGATGTCAGACATGCGCGAGACGGGGAGCTGCCCTCGATGTTACATAGCGGCAAAAGTCTGGTGAGCGTTTGGTGAGACGTCCGACCGGATATTGTGAATGGATGTTGCAAACCTGCCAATGAAGACGAGGGTATGGTGAATGGCGTGCGTTTGCCACACTTTGAGCAATACTTTAGCATCAGCAGAAATCCTTACAGCTAACCCACAGTGCCGACGAGCCGTCGATATCGTTTAGACGATCCGGTCTTGGAAGTCAGAGTTCGGCACGCGCCTTCCATGTTGCTTTGATAGTTTCTTCAATCATTCGTCGTCGAGGTTATGACAGCTGCCCTGCCCCGCTTTGCGACGCGGCAATGGTCTTGAGCTCTTTCAGTTCACTTCGGCCTCCGTAGCTTCTCTTTGGTCAGTTCTCCCTATAGGCGAGCGGCCGTGACAAGGAAAAGAGCTTCTGGGCAAGACCTCACTGATTATCTTTCTAATCCGATGCCGGAATGGCGAATCTTGATTATATGTAAGGTCAATTGCGCCATTTTAGATTCAGTTTTAACTGACCAGCCATTGCGTCTAATATTTCTCTGCTCCTGCAGCTGTTTCCTTCTGAGCTGCTATAACATATTTTCGAAATGGCACCAGCGCTACTTGAGAGCCCCATCGGCGTATCGGATCGATCAGTCGATCGTGAGGTGGAAAATCTGTACCAGAAAGATAAGGAGCAGAGCGCTCAATACAAGGAAGCTTTTGCCCAAGGAGCGAAGTCCACGAAGTACGAGATCGAGCTTAATGGAGATGGAGAGCATGCTCCGGCAGCTTACCCACATTACTTACCATATTGGGACGATACCAAATTACCACCATATGAACCATTTGAGGCAGTCGAGCCGGGCCTCAACGCAGACCCATCATTCCCAAATCTCCTCGCCAATGCCATCGTCAAAGACTTGACTGCGAACATCGGCGCCGAGGTGGACGGGGTCCAGATCAGTAAGCTCACCAACGCCGGGAAGGACGAACTCGCTCGCTTCGTCGCGGAGAAGAAAGTCGTTGCGTTCAGGAATCAGGATTTTGCAGACCTTCCGATTCAAGAAGCCCTCGACATCGCGGAATACTTTGGTCCCTCACATATTCATCCAACTTCGGGAGCACCTAAGGGCTTTCCGACAGTGCACCTTGTGCATCGCAGTGCAAGCGACACTACAGCTCAACAGTACTTCGAGGAGCGCACCAACAGCATCACGTGGCACTCGGATGTCACGTACGAGATACAGCCACCAAGCACAACATTCCTCTATCTCCTTGACGGCCCAACAGCCGGTGGCGATACCCTATTCTGCAACATGGCGGCTGCCTATCGTAGACTGTCTCCAGAATTCCAGAAGCGTCTGCACGGTCTGAAGGCTGTACACTCAGGTCACGAGCAGGCTCAAGCTGCTCTGGCAAGAGGATCTATCGTGCGCCGTGATCCAGTGAGCAATGTTCATCCGCTCGTCCGTACACATCCTGTCACCGGGGAGAAGGCCCTCTTCGTCAACCCCCAGTTCACCCGAAGGATCGTCGGGTTCAAGAAGGAAGAGTCCGATTTCCTGTTGAAGTTCTTATACGACCATATTGCCTACTCCGCTGACATGCAAGCGCGTTTGAAGTGGGAGAAGGGAACGGTGGTCGTCTGGGATAACAGGGTGACCGCCCACACTGCTTTGCTTGACTGGGAAGATGGACAGCGAAGGCATCTGGCGCGATTGACTCCTCGTGCAGAGAGGCCATTCGAGACGCCGTTCGAGAGCAACTAGACCGTCAGAAACCACGAATGTTATGTATTTTCCACCCAATTTCCGTAGTTGGGATCTGAATCCGTTGAATGAATTTGAATCCAGAGCCATGCCAGCTGTATTTTCGCATTGCATGGCAGATTGAGATTTGATTGATGTTGGTTTTCATGTCATATGTGTCGAGGTCCTGCCTCCATCTCAGGCTATTTTCGCTTTGTGCTCGTGACTTCCTTTATGTTCCACGTGCACCGGATCTCGGGTCTTCTTAATATAGTATAGTATAGAAGGAAGAGCGAGCCTTAGCGAAGCGCCTAAAGATAAACTGCACTAATCGGGCGATTCCTTGCTTACAACACCTCCTTAGAGATATTAGATAGGCTTATAACTTAACAACTATCGCAGCTGCCGCTAGACTTATATAGAGGGGGTTCTGTATTATAGATATACGTAGAATTTGGCCTACTTCAAAATTTTAGTACTATAAAAATAAAGGCTATAGTCTATTCTAACTATACGGACATTCTTAGCTTCGCGTTTATTCTATAAATACCTATATCGCGATAGACAACAAACCCCTTCTAGAATATACTACCTATACGAGGAGCCTTAGAAAGCACTCCCCTAACACCTCTAAGTGTCGCCTTGTCCGGCATCTGCTACTATTTACTTGTTCTCGCCGCCTATCGGTACCTACTCCTAAAACAGCCTAAATCGCTAAATCGTCTATACCTTAATACCTATACCTATACCTAGTATACAGTATACTAAAACTTGTTAGACACCTTCTAAATATACTAGCGATCCTGTTTAGCCTTAAGCGCTACTTATTATTGCAGTATTCTAGTATTAGGTATCTCCGAGTCGTATCTAGTACTTTATATAGCGATAGCGATAGCGAGACTCGAGCCCGAGACCTACTATTCTACGGCTCCGCGATTGTTGCCGCTTCGTATAGTCGCGTACGCTACTATTTGCTAGGTTCCGACTGTCTACTAATAGAGCGACACTACTTCTACTAATAGAGCGATACTACTTCTACTAATAGAGCGATACTACTTCTACTAGCAGAGCGACACTACTTCTACTAGTAGAGCGATACTGCTTCTACTAATAGAGCGATACTACTTCTACTAGTAGAGCGATAGGCGTCTGCAATGCCGAACGATCTCTCTAACCTCTTAAAGCGTGATCGTAATAAGGCGAAGAAGGGCAAATTCGATATCGGCGACGATGCTAGTAATTAGCGTAAGAAGGAAGGCGACTAATGCTTCGTCCGCCTACCTAGTCGTCTAGCGATTAATCGTATAGAGCCTTAACAGACTGTCGAGCGTAAGCTAGAAATGCCTACTAATCTAGACGAGGCTAATAAGGCTAGCTAGATAGCCTACTTTAAGGAGCGCTATATTAACACAAACGAGTATAGCCTCGAGGAAATATAGCTACTTATATAGGATGCTAGTAGCAATTAATAGGCGATACTATTCTATCGTCGCATTGTCGAGTATAGTCTATAGCGTATATTAAAGCTAATATATCCCTATCGCGAGCTATTACTAGAACCGACTAAGATGTAGCTCGACTGCGTCTATACTATTATTTTCGGGAGATAGGATATATTGCTTTTAGCTCGTACTAGCGCTAGCAAAACAATTATCTTCTAGGCCTATACTATACTTACTAGTTTTATTATATTGCAGATCGTGCTACTTATACGCATCGCCGATAAGTAGAGCGAGGATATAGTAGCCGCTATCCGCTAGTTAGATAAGGAAGAATAGGATCTAATTAAGGTCTGTGTCCTTACTACCTAAACAAAGGAGAAGGATCTATCTATATTTACTAATATTAAAGAAGGCCGATACTAGCATATTATCTGCAGTCCCGAGCAAGCGATAAGTACTAAGTTCTAGGAGGTCCTACGTGCTATTACCGACCGCCTTAGCCTATAGATATAGGATAAAGCGTATATGCATCTTAAGTAGAAGGACTTCCGCGTAGATTATAGAGTCCTTTACCTCCTTCGCTAGCTTATAATATAGGATACGACTATTCTCGCATGCTCTATAACATTAACTAAGAAAACTAAGAAGTATCTACTTTAGCATAGCCTCCGTATATAAGGCGATAGCGCATTCGAGACCTAGGTTATCTAGAGCACTATCGATCGCCTAGATACTAAGTATATCCTATAAACGATGCCTTAGGGCTAGATAACAGGTTTCGACTACCTATACTTCGTACTTAGGTATATAGTAGACGCCGATAGCTTAGCGGTACTATAGAATATCTAGAAGACTATTATCTTTATCGATAGTCGTAAGTAGATCGATAAGGCTCGAGTTACGATATACTAGTAGCTTGTACTCTTAACTAGTAATATTAATAAGGACTCGCCGGCTAAGCAGCATTCTCGGAAGTATACCTAGGATAGAGAACTAGTAGTACCTAGTAGCTATAGGACTATCTGTATGCTCGGCGTTGTCTCTTTCTATACTACGTACATCGCCGACATTAATAAGGATAAGCAGTATAAGGAATTTAAGAAGCCTAAGTCTTAAATCCGTATCCTGTTCGGCACTCTAGCGACTTCTACTAGGGTAAACGTGCCAGATATCGGCTTAGTTATCTAGATTAAGCTTCCGGTTGCTAAGGATATCGACGATCTAATACAGAAGTTTAGTCGTACGGCTCGTATTCCTAGTGTCGAGGCATTAGCAGTTATGTTCGTACTATATTAGTTAAATAATATAGAGAAGCGTATACTATACGGTTCTAACTACCGCTCGATAGTTCTACGAGACCCGATAGTAGCTAGCGCTAGTGCTAGTGCTAGTACTAGGCTGCACTAAGCATAGGATTATATTCTAGTACGACTATCTAATCTGCGGTATACTACTGTTCCTAGTAAGGAATTCGACGTCGATAAGTCTATCTTCGATACGTATAGCTAGGATATAGGCGAGGAAGATAAGGATACTATCGTTACCGATCTGCTAGCAGTTGCTATACCGCCTCGCCCTGTTCGAACTACTAGCTACCCCTTTTATAGTGCTGTCGTAATAGCAATCGCCGAGAACGCGACTAAGAAGTCCTAGTCTACTAAAGAGATAGGCTAGCGTAACAATATACTAGACATCTAGTTATAGTTATAGAATACGCGCTACTACCCGAACCTAGAATATCGCCGCTGCTTTCGTAATATAATCTTAGAGATATATAGCGAATACGAGTATACGTACAGCATTAACAAGGTCGTAGTAGGCACTGCCGATTGCTATAGTATATATAATCTAGACCTACTAGATCGACTAGTCTAGGAGAGCTATACTGCTCTAGTAGTTCTAAAGCTACTAATAGCTCCTAGTATTAGATTAACCTAGTACTATACTCTCCTATTCCTCGAGAGCTTCGTATCTAATATCGTAGAACAGATCTTTCTAGACTAGTACGATAATCGCCTCTTCGGGGTTATCCTATCGACCTTTTTAGTACCCGAGCCTATTCTATAGGATCTGTATAATATCTTTAGTGCTAAGTACGGCCGGACCGAGAATGCATTTCGAAACTATGCCTCTAGTAAGGACTACGATACCCTAATTAAAGAGGCGGACATCTAGGAGCGGACTATAGAGTTCTATACCTAGTATTAAGCGGAGGCTAATAACCTTCGAGAGATCTAGATAGAAGAAGACCTCCTACTAGAGCTAAATCGCATTATCTTTAGCGTGTTTGCTAAGTATAATATATTCGTTAGAAACAGAGATGCCGAGAAGAAGAAGAAGGCCGAAGAAGCTGCTACTACTACTACTACTACTACCGCTATAACTCGGATAAGCCAACCTATCGCTAATCGGCCTACTAACTAACAATAGCGCCGTAAGCAGCTATAGAAGAATATATAGAACTCTACCCGCTCTGCTATCGAGGCTCGTAAGAGGATAGTAGTAAGGAATACTAGAGGCATATAGGATCTAGATTACGAGGAAACTGCGCGTCGCTAGGCAGTAGGAGTTAGCTAAGTAGCAGGAGGCAGCTAAGTAGGGGATAGTAATAGTAGATCAAGCCGTCGGTTAGGCCGTAGCCGTACACTATCGGCTCGAGAGAGAGAGCGTAGGCGTAAGGCTAGCTAGTAGGAAGGTAACGATATAGAAGACTTGCTAATGTTTGGTATATAATATTCTGCGAGAGCATGCCTAGTTAAGCTGCTTCTACGAGAGCTAGCGCTAGAATTAGTAGTAAAATAGCGCTAGAATTAGTACTAGAATTAGTACTAGAATTAGCACTAGAATTAGCACTAGAATTAGCGGTGAATTGGCACTAGAATTAGTATTTAATAAGGCTTCTATTATGTCCTTATAAGCTCGCTAAGTCCTTGTCCTATCCCCGGAAAAGTAAGCCGTAACACTACGCTCGATCGCGTTGCTTCTACGAGTATAGGCCTAGTTAAGTTGCTTCTACAAGAGCAGGCCTAGTTAAGTTGCTTCTATAAGAGTAGGCCTAGTTAAGCTGCTCCTACGAGAGCCGGCGTATAATATAGGATGCCTAGTTAAGCTACTCCTACGAGAGCTAGCGTATAATGCCTAGTTAAGTTGCTTCTGCGAGAGCTAGCGTATAGTACCTAGTTAAGTTGCTTCTGCGAGAGCTAGTTAAGTTGCTTCTACGAGTACTAGTTAAGTTGCTTCTGCGAGTACTAGCGTATAGTGCCTAGTTTAGCTGCTTCTACGAGAGCTAGCGCTAGAATTAGCACTAGAGATAGCGCTAGAGATAGTATTTAATAAGGTCCTTCCTTACTACCCTTCTATTATATCCTTATAAGCTCGCTAAGCAGGCTCTTCTATCGTGTCCTTATAAGCTCGCTAGGCAGGCTATCTATTGTGTTCTTTGCGACGAGGGTTTATAGATAGTCGTAGGTATCGATAGTATATAAGAGCTAGGCGAGAAGCGTAAATTCGAGGAAGCGATAAGGATGCCGAGTCCCGCTAAGACCCCGGATTTAGTATAGTAGAGCGCTTAATTAGTAG